ATAAATTGTCTTGCTGTTGAAATTGTTTTCAAGCACATTGCACATTTTCACATTTCAATTTTCTTAAGTAAATCAGAAGGTAATGGCAATCACGATTGGAAAAACCCAATGACAAACAACAATAGGCCCCTCAAGTGCGACTTTTTTTGTTTTGTTTTTCATTTCATTAATAAAACAATAAATTGCGGTAATTATGAATGGGCGGGCGCCTCAATTGAACTGCAGATGGCGCCACAGCAACGCCATCGTGTCGCATGCAATTTGCTTATTAATTCAATAAAAACTTAATAAACGCCACACCACCACTGTCTGAAATTCAATGCTTGCGGGTAGTATTTAGGTATGTGGGTGTGGGACGGGGGGTAAGGGGCGTGGTAACACTCAATCTGGCAACGCTTCATTGCGAAGAGCACATGCACATGTTGGCCCCATCCCGCTCACACTTATGCAGTCAGTCGCCAAGGAGGCTGCAATGTCTCCCCTGCATTCGTTTTTGTTTTGTTTTTTTTTTCGCATTTTTAGTTGATGGATTTGCATGAATCATTGAGGCGTCACGCTCGGTAAGAAAAACGCGTCAGCAACAGCAAAAGCAACAACAAGAACAACAAGCAAGACAGAAAGAAAGAGCACAAAACAGAGAAAATGCTCTGAAATGCAAAAATAATATTGAAATATGAAAAGTTATTTTAATGCTCTGGCTGGCAACGAACGACGACGACGACGACGGCTGCGGCGACGGCGACGGTGGCGACCTAAAAGAAGAAGAGCATCAATGACAACCACAACGACGACGACAATTTTCCTGCCTTCGCTTTGACTGAGTTTCCTTTTCGAGTTTATGTAGTTTATGTTGTGCGTACTTCTTGTTGTTGTAGTTGTTGTTGTGCCAACAAACTTTTCCGGAAACATGGCGCGACAATAACAGACCCATGCACTGAAAAGTGTTGACTTCACATAACACCAGGAACTTGCAATGAGACCTCGTAAATCTATTAGAACATAGTTCTATTCCCATAAGTTCTCCTTCAGAGGCGCATTTAATTCGCAATCCAAAGTCACAAGAATGTATTTACTTATTATGAAGAACCAATTTACTAAGTTTCCCTCTTTGATTCTCAAATTTGCAACCAAAGCTTTCCAACTAAATTAGTTTGTTTTCCCCATAATTTTCTTTAGCTTCTTTTTATATCAGTTTATTGCATAACTTATTAGAATTCTAAAAATGTTGCACCTTCCCAGAACTACACAAGAGGAAAAGCGAATAAGAAATTGGAATTACAAGTATAAACATTTTCGTAAAAGCCCCCTCTTGAAGCATTTTTTAATAAAATGTAAAAATAGGTAAAATAAACGATCAATTATAGTATTGAGTATGCCATTATGTAAATACGATTTCAATTAAAACCTAAAGGTAAAATAATATAAATTTGTGTGCGACTTATTAGACTTACATAGACATCTTATTCTATTTTAGGATTCCTTTATTAACATATATTTGATAAATTTTCAAAATTGATAATTCACTTTTTCCATACAAATAGCTAATTTAAAATTCTGAAAAAAGTGTAGAAAACTTGTCATTGGATTGAAACTTCTGAATAGCATAACAACCCATAAAAAATGTGCTTCCCAGTCTACATAGATCTTCCAGTAGGCATAAAAAAAGGGTAAGATGGGATTTGAATCACCCATGACTTAATTGCTTCACTTTATACATATATATTATTCACGTCCTCGATCTTCTAAAAATATTCATCTTCTTAACCAAACTTTAAAGACAAGTCGTATAAATTATAATATTTAATATAATTTCAGTAAATGCTTTCTTTTTAAATAGTGCTGCTTTTCTTTTAATAAGATTAGGCGAACAGTTCTTTTGTAATGCAAAATCTTGGTTATTGCCTGTTCGGATCATTCAAAAATTGCCATATGCCACTTAATTGCTTTACGTGCATATAATTGGCCTGACGATGCCAAACAAATATTTTACAAACCTACATATGTATGTACATATATGCGTATATATGTATATGTATCTATGTATATACATATAAGTAGGTATATGTACATAAAAGCAAATTGTGAGCAAAGAAAAATGAAATAAAATGAAATTCATAAGCGTTTTTTAAATCATTTTTTAAGCGCATAATTAAGTCATAATAATAATGAAATGATATGCCAATTCTCTGGCAGACTCAGGCCTGTGTGTATTTGTGTGTGTGTGTGTGTGTGTGTGTGTGTGTGTGTGTGTGTGTGTGTGTGTGTGTGTGTGTGTGTGTGTGTGTGTGTGTCAGGGCAACACACGCACACCTCAATCGCTTTATGGCCGAAACGGCAACAGAAACAGCAGCGCCCCACAAATAAAATATTCTTCTCATTATTATTATTATTATGGTATTTTTCTTTGTAAATCAAAGCAGAAACTTGAAAAGGCTTCGACCGACGCGCCAAGAATCTCTTGGGCCTGAATGACAATTGTCAACTTGTTTGCGTGTGCCGCCTTCAATTCTTAATCGCATTTTGTGAGCCACTTGTGAGTCCACAGTCCGCCTTCCCCCGTTTCATTATTTGATGCCCAGCATGGCTGTGCTCCGTTCTTTTCATTCTTCGGTAACGTTAATCATACAATTTTTTGGGAGCGTGAGAAATATTCGCATACAGATGGATGGTGATGGGCGGTGAGGGTCGGTGAGGGAAGGTATAATCAAAATGTGATTTTATGGCGCGGGACGGACGAACATAAATTATAAACAATAATTTATCTTTAATATGCTACATTTAACAAAATATAAATATTTTGCGGCATTTTCTGCAAGCATTACGTGTGTATGTTCTCTGAATTCAAATCTGAATCTTCTTCCTCCACTGTCTGGCCACGCGAGAGGCGCATAAATTAAGATTCGCTTAGCCTTAAATCAAATCTGCAGACTGCGCGTCAGCGTAAAGCGGGAATATGTATGTTGTTTAAAAATAGATCGCTCGTTCGCTCGACTTCTAGTCGCATTGCCAGCAAATTTCGCTGGAAATAATGTGTTTGTATGTGGAAAGAGGTGGGCCCAACACCTTCATTGCAGCAAAGAAAGATTTGTGCATTTCAATTGAATTTTCGGCAACAATGAAAACGCAGCGAACCCACACAAATGAATAGCCAATAAATAAATGCAAATATCTAAATGTTGATGACGATGATGAATCATGCCCGGCCACATTTAATTGCCAATTACACACCCCCCACGCACTCGTCAATTAAGCATGTGATGCTGCGTGCTAATCGCCCCCAAAACTCCCCGAATCCCCCCAATTGGACTCGATCGAACCCTTCGGCTAACAAGCAAGCATTCAATGAAATAAATCGTCTACCAAGACACGTGATATGGCTAACTAATTAAAGCACTTGTGGGCGCAACCGAACAAAATAAATTCTCTTCACGATGGCCAACATTTCATTGCCAAATGACTCAGTCGGTTGCGAAGGAGACTTTTTGGCAACCCAAATCATTTCTTAAATGTGTAATTGGCTCTTTGATGAATACGCATACCCATGTAGCTATAAGTATACATAAATATGTATACCTAAATAGAGACACTTACCTGGCTATTTTAGATATACATGTACTACTCATATACAGCGTACTGCAAAGCACGTGAGCCTAATTCTCGCATTACTTGCATTCATATCGGTTTTCTGAAATGACTAACTTTCTAGCTCTATCAAGTGATTACATCATTGCGCCGGCTATCAGAACTAAGTAAACCACGATGTTTTATACTAGTAAGATTGGCAATCATGCGCTAACAGCATGCTAGCTACAAAGAACGATCGAATTAAACAATTATGGTATATTAAATGGAGTGGATTAGGGAACTAAAGCAGGTGGCAGAGATTGCACAAATTATTTCCCATCATTTATACAACTCCCGTTTTTTATATTAATTTATTATTTATTACATTTATCACAACAAGTTGACAAATGAAATACTTATAGACTATACCCCAATAGGCAGAAGCTGTAGAGATGAGGAAGTGGAAGAAAGCATGGAGCCTCTACTCTGTCCAGCTCTAAACAGGCGAAGGTTTATTTGTCTAGGGCAACCCGTTCTAAACGATCTCACTGAGATACCAAGAGATTGTGTAAATAGCAAAATTTAAGGGCAATGATAGCAGGGAATTGTTTATCTTACAATGAGCCTCTAAAACCCAAGTGGCTGGAAAAGCAACATTTCTAGCGACTTGCTCGGTGTGAAGTTTCTTTTAATTTTATTTTTAAGTAGACCCAGGCAATACACAAGTATTTGTTAAATTCAAATTGGAATTATTAATATATTGTAATACTCTCGATTGTTATTCAGTATCCTATTAGCCACCTATAAAAGAATTGAAGTAATTGGTATTGAATATTATTTATTGAGTCCACATTTATGGTTTCTGTTTCTGCTTTTTTGAAAAGTAAATCACAAATCACAGTGATAAAAGCATATTTCAATATTGAATTCCTTTTGATTGAAAAAGCATTTTAAAGACATTTTTCAAACTCATGCCTATTGAATGTCTGTCTGGCCATACCTTTAGTTGTTTATTTGCTGCGACAGCTCAAACCCCCTTTCTTTACAACAGTTTTCAGTTTTATTTGTTTGTGTTCAAAGTAAATTAAAATGTTTTTTTTAAAAATTGTGTCCTTGATAACCTCGCTATGATGATGGTCGTTAAACGGGCGCCACAGCAACATAAAATTTGTTTTTAAACAACTTATGTTCATCATTATTATCGCATAAAAGTAAAGAATTTGTGAAATTTTTAGTAGATGTATATGTACCTATAATGTTTATGGGCACGAGCGAACAAAAATCAACAACAACAACAAACATTTTAAACATTCTTCAAAACATAAACAAAGTCATCAATTTAAATTAGAAAGTAATTAGTATAAAATATATATAAGTACATATAGATGAACGGCATTCGAGAAAATCTTAAGCTTATGTTTGGAATTGTTTTACAGCGCAGGTCGCATCGATAACCAATATATCAGCCAGCAGTAGTACCGGAACAATCGGCAAACCGCTAAATATAACATGCAAAGTGGAGGGACGACCCCCGCCCAAGGTAACATGGTTCAAGGATGGGAAATCTTTGGCTCGCAAGCCGGTACATCGCAAAATATACCAATTCAAGCATTACAAGTAAGTGTTGATCGAAATAGCGAATTGGATCATAAATCATTATTTCTAATCATTATTCATTTCTCAACTTGCAGAAGACGTTCCGTGCTAACAATAATCTCCTTCAATAGTAGCGATAAGGGCACCTACGAGTGTCGTGCCAAGACCATAGACCGTAGGAACGACATCGCTAAGAAGCGCATATCAATCAATGGGCCTTCAGGTGCGTTCCAAAAACTTACCTATATCTGTCTACAAGTATATATAGTATGCTATACATACATACATATAGTACATGCTTTATGCTGCGATTGATAAAAATTGATGTCATCATGGCGACAGCTGACGATCCTCTGATCGTTCTGATCATGCCAAGTTGCCAGTTTGCCGTGTTAAAAATTAAACTGCTCCAATTCATTTCTTATTTATGGCCGCGTTTGAAGGCAACAGCAGCATGTAGCATGTGTACCAGATACATATGTATATATAGAATACGTATCTGTTCGATATACATATGTATATTTTATTTGTTTACCCTGTACTCGAAGGGTTGAAGGGTATACTAGTTAGTTGGTGTGCAAAATGTATGTAATGGGATGCGTGGCAGTGCCATTGCTATAGAAGTAGGTACATATATTATCAGAACAGCGAGACTAACCGATAACTGTCCGTCTGTATGAACACCGAGGACTTGTGAATGGAAAGAGCTAGAGACACCAATGCTGGTATGTAGACTTGCCTCATCCATACGCAGGGCAAATTTATTCCATTATTTTATGAGGCTTACATAGGAACAATCAGTGTAAAATTGACTTTTTAGCTTATACAGGATCTCTTAAGCAAGTAGCTATAGCTTTTGTATAGAGGCTTATAATAATCTGAAGAATTATCAAAACCATCGGTGGAAAAGCCAATCTTGCTTCTATTTATTTTGATATCGTAACAAAATTTGTGTATTTGAGTTTTTTTTTAAAGTATCGCCATTATCTATAGTTGTATAAAAACATTAAAACGAAAGAATTTAATTTATGGTGGATGCAGGGTATATAAGAGTCGGGCTGGCACGACTTTTCCATTCTACTCGATGATGTACGTAACCCGTAACTTAATTTATAAATATTGCTGTATCATTCCAGTCCAACCACGGCCAAATCCTCCACCTCGTGACGACGGCGTACCTTGTAAGGAGAATGCCCCTTGCTTAAATGGCGGCGCCTGTTATATGATCACCAATATAAGCATCTTGTTCTGCAAGTAAGTATATAAATACATATATGTCATACATATCGTTTAAATTCGTAACTGGCTTTAGCAAAACCTAAATGTACCAAAATTAAGCCACTGCCCCTAAATGTATTTGTAAGGCCATAGTTCCAATGTGTCTAGACATTTCTATTCACTGATCGGTTTTGATAACTAAACGAGCTTTCTGTATTTATACTCTGTACATGAAAGAGAGGCAGAAAGAGGCGTGGCAGACCCCACAAAGTATGTATATTTATTCTTGATCAGCATGACAAGACGAATCGATCTATGTCTGTCTGTCTGTCCGTCTGTCTGTCCGTATGAACGCCTGGATCTCAGAGACTATAAGAGCTAGAGACACAAAATTTTGCACAAAGATGCCTTATGTGTGTACGCTGTGCAAGTTTATTTTATTTCTTTTTTAGTTCCCCCCCCCCCACTTCCCCCTTTGGGGGCTTTCCCGATTTTCCATTCGTATAATCGCCTATATCTCGGAGACTATAAGACCTAGGAACACCAAATTTTAGTCCAAGATGCCTTTTGTGAATACGCAGAAAATGCGTATTTTGAATTCCCCTCCCTCTCCCCTCTCCCTCGCAAATCGTAACTCCCGTAATTCTTGGAATTTCGAACTCAAATTTGGGAAATACCCCCAGTTAGTCTTTGCGTGTCCGTATGCAAAGTATGTTTTTACACACAATTAACAAATTTTAGACTCTTACACCTCACATATTTTGAAAAGTGTATTTAAAAAAGTTGCCTAGAAACCACGACACATGCCTTTAGCTACAAAAACAAATCCGAAAGTGGAATATGCGGAATTTTTATACCCTGTAGCCGTAGGGTAAAAAGGGTATATTAGGTTTGTGCAAAGTATGTAACATGCAGAAGGAAGCATCTCCGACTCCATAAAGTATATATATTCTGAATCAGCATGAAAGCGAATTTTAAGGGTATTTGTGATTGCTCTGTAAGAGTTGACTTGATTTGTGTCGATCAGCAATGTAAGCAACAAAACTGCGGAAAATATGGGCACACAGATTGATCAAAGAGCACAGTTGCTGTTTAGTGTTTGTTCCATCTTCTGCTAGAGTTTTGATAAACTTTAAACAAAGTCAAATGTTAAGCAGCGCTTAAGAAGATCCTCTATATTATTATTATCAAAATATTGCCGCAGCATATGGCATACATATACTTCATAGTTAGTTTACCTTTGAAGTTAGAAAATAAATCAATTGTTAAAATTTGATAGTTTTGCAGCTAAACAATTTATTTAAGGAAGCACAACTCGAATAAATAATCATTATGACGCTGACATTTTGTAAAACAATCTTATTTGTTTTCTATTTCCGATCTACAGTTGGAATATGATATAGGGAATGCCACAGTCGTGTTCACTCCACAATATCTTAGAATGTTGTTCACTATTGTTTTGAGCAAAACATTTTTCGTGATTAGGCATCCCCCTGGAGTAGGGTTTCGTCAGTGATCCCAAAAATAGTTCAAGTGTTTTCGTCGTTGGTGATAAAATGCATGACAGCTGATAGAGTTCTAGGTCTTTATCGTTAGTTTCGGAGGCGTCGTATTACAGTCAGGGCTCACGCATATCCTAAAGTGAAAACTAATTGCTGGCTTGCATTTCGTGCAGCTGAAAAATCACAACACATCAAGATCCACGGCTGATCGACTGATCAGCAGCAGAACCGCCAGTCCGGGCGTACAACCGACTAACCGAAAGTACTATATACAGTCGAAATCGCTTCAAACGACATATAACAGATCAACGAAATTCTGTCATTATAACCGATTGTCGTTGTTAGTGATTTATTTTCAACGATTTAGTATAGGTAACCAAACTAGGTAGTCATCAGAATTTCGTCGTTTTAATCGGTATGTCGTTATAAGCGATGTCGTTATAGGCGATTTCGACTGTATGTAGGTATGTTTGGGAGCGAGTGCAATGTGAATTGTGTCTTTCAGCGCCTCGTTTTATACACAGTCTTCTTGTGTACACACACGAGTACATACATACATACGTATGTAGATATGTACAAGTATATGCGATTGTTCGATCTCATGTCCAAAACGAAGAAACGAAACGCATTGTGTCTACACACACACACACACCCTTTAAGATAAGGCTGCCATGAAAAATAATCCCAATTTCATTTCAATTTAGTGCACGACCATCTCCTACTGAGGTCAACTCTCTTAGCGCTCTATGTGTCTATAAGTATATCTGCGAATTTGTACTTCATTGAATTGCACATATGTACACAAAATGTTCGGGATTTGTGTTTATAGTACACCTACATACATTCATATATATATATGTATACTAAGTATATGGGTATTATTATTTTCTTTTTTTTTTGGCCAACTGCTGCAACGCAAATAAATATCATCAATTAAGAAAATACGTCATACTATATTAAAAAAAAAGGCACACACACACTCGTATATACTGTATTTTCAACATTCTTTCTTTCTACGCTTTCAGATGCCCAGAAGGATTTACCGGAGAGTATTGCGGGGATAAAACCCCAGAACATAGGTACAACAATACAATGAACAACGAATGTGGCGATGGAACGTATTTAGGAACACAATACTGCTAAAATAGGCCCTTCTATAGCATCGATTGTTTTATTTTTAAATCAAATACTACGAGTACACACAACAACTGAGCTGACTGTCCATCTCATACATGCACACATACTTATCCAATAAATCCAACAGATACTGCAACGAATATCAATATTAAATTATTGCCTGTCCTCATTCACACACACACAACCCAGACACAACAAACCAAATATAGTTTATAACAAACAACAACAACAAACAACTGAAACGATGAAGAAATATTAATAACACAAAGTACAAATACAGTATACAGTATATCTCCACACAGACAGCAGCTCAATATCTAAAATCAAAATAGAAATCAAAGGCAATAGGAAGTGAAAACACGACTCCATCCCTTCCCCAACCCCACTCCACCCCACTAGGTATATCCACGAACTCCGTGTCTATATTGATTTTGTTTTTTTTTTCATTCATAAAGCGAAATTTATTCGAGAACACATTCCAAAAAGCAACAACTTAAAGTCTTACAAATATAACTAACAGCAACAACACAGTGCGTTGTTTGTTTTCTTTTTAACTTTTTAAACATCTTATTAAATCATAATGCTTCTGAAAGAGGTATAAATAAATAAATAAAAACGAACAAAGGGTGCTATAGAAGGCTTATTTTAAATAGTTTTTATATAGGACTTTATTTTAATTTTCTTTAAAGTAAATGTTAAAAGAAAAACCAATTGATTTTCCATTTACACGCAAAAAAAACAAAACACAAAAACAAAACAAAATTATCAGCTCAATAAAGCCAGACACACACGCGAACACACAGACACACACACACACACACTTACAGATGCAGACACACACGCACACACATGCATATATGCATATCGTATATGTATATCGTGTGGGGATAACAGAGACTCAATACTAATCAGACAAATAGAATCAATTAGACTTCTACCAAATACTGAAGAACTTGTCGAATGAACATTCAAACCATCAAGTTGGCTCAGCCTACCACTCATACATACATACAAGCATATGGATTACGTTTTACAATAAACTATAAACAGAGGCTCTCTTAATTTAAATATTCTTTGCAACAATGGCAACCCACGCACTCACACAGACACACTTACACGCAACAACTGTCACCAAAATCAAAACAAAACAACAACAAAAACAAAAGAAAAAACAAATCGAGAACAAAAGTACAGTCACCAAAAATCTTCCTAACCATGTTTGTGAATAGGCTTGTGCTGAGCTTTGCTTCTATTTTAACTTCAAACCAACCAACCAACCAACAAATCAACCATATACTTTAAACTGAAGTTTAATAAACTATTTTGTTTTGTTTTCCACCTACATATTTTTTTGTAGTTTGCAAACAACAAAAAAGAAATACCAATGAATCAACATAAATACATAATAGTTCATTTATAATGTGTAAACGAAATGAATAACAAACAAATAGTTTTGCGATTAATTTAGTTGTATATTTCTACTCTAGTTTTGTCTTACTTTATACTACGAATCATTATTAACACTTTGGCTGTAGATTTAGACAAACCAACACCAATACCAATCAAGCAACAATTTCATGCTCCTGTTTTTTTTTTTAATTTTCTGGTGGTTGTTTATCAGTAATAATTCTGAAAGTTATTTCTAATGACTAATCCTTTGCGTTTCTACTGTTTCTCACTTTTGCTCCTTTCGATTTTTTTTCGCATTTTTCGTTTACAGTTGTTAATTCTTTTTTTTCATTTTTATCTTGTATTGTTGTTTTGAACTAAAAGCCAAAATCTAACGTCATTTTTTAAAAAGGATGCCAGAGAACTCTTAATGCATGAAAGAACAATTTGTTTTAAGTGTGAAGGTCCGATATTAATTCTTTGCTTGTAGTTCCCTTTCGGAAATGGTATAAGAGCAGAAATTAAAAAAAAAACTATAAGCAACCACAACAAAACAAAAACAATGATCGATTTTAATTTTATTTATGATTTAATCTCTTCACAGATATTTTGTTCCAATCTACGGCCAAATAAATGCATACCCTTTTAATGCGTAGAATATCTTTTTGAAACAAACAAACAGACAAACAAACAAGCAAACAAACAAAAGTACTCCCTGCACTCCAACGGCGACAAATGTAGTTTTTTATCGTTTTGAAAAATTACCAAATTTGTTGCACGAAACAAAGTTCAGCCCAGGCACTGTTCAAACCAACTAATTAGCTCTGAAGAGCTAGTTTTATGTCGATTATGATCATGTTGGCCCACACAGATGGCCAGAAAGCGAAATTGATAAATTCATGTAAATAATTTTTTTGCAACTACAAAGAAAGAAAAAGAAAGAACATTTTTGTTAAATTGTTAAATATGCAGACCGAACTGTTTTACTTTTCGGCGACTGTGCTCGGTGACGAAACTGAAAATTGAAAATTGAAATTTGAAAAATTGATCTGAATTTATTTATTGTACGACTTTGACACGACACGTTGCTTTTTTTATTGTTGTACCATAGACATAGAGCGGAAGTTAACTTAATAGATGAGGAGAACTTGTAATAAAATTGTGTAAATATTTCGTTTTAATTCGTTTTTAGTTAGGCATAAGTTTTATGTACATTTCAACTAAGTTATAATCTCTTTTAACCATAACTTATTGTATGTATTTAATGAGCATTAATTTAATATCTAACTGTAGACCGACTTGAACTACTACTTTTTTCGAAATACTATTTTATTTCTCCTTTTTTTGTAACAAAATGTAAAATTCAAATTTAGTCTATTATATGTTGACATCAGTTTTAATAGTACGTTAATGATATATGATATGATAATTGATTTTTAATTAAAATAAGCCCGACATTTTAATTTAAATATTGAACAAGTTATACCAAAAATACCATGTAATATAAATTTATAAATTTTAATTTTAGTTTAAACAAATGCATAAGAAAAAATTCAATTAAAAATTTTTCAAATACTTCACATTTTACCAACATAATGCTTTTAATTTTCTTCTTTCTTCTTTAAGTGCGCCACGAATAATTGTTTTTAGCGTTATTTTTTTCACAAGAAAAGAAAAAATATGAAAATACATACAAATAATTAAAATCTACAAAATAAAACCTTTTTATTTTAACCCTTATATTTATTTCCATTTCATTTCTGCCCCCTAAAAACCTCCACAACAAGGCTCTGGCTAACGGAGCCCGGTGTTGGCAGCTTCCAGTAATTATCTCGCTTGAATATTCAATATCTCTTTGAAATGCATATTATCGGTTTAAAGTGGCTTTGTTTCTATTCTCCCTGACAGACACCACACACAAAAATGGATGGAAAAGTGAACCCGAAGCTTGCGCTGACACACTCTGGATGCCAGCCACTGATGAAATGCTACTTTATATTCTCTATGAAATTACGCATTTAATTTGATCTCATGCTTAGTTTTAAAGACAGCTAATAAAGTTCGTGTATTTGTTGCAATAAACTTGTTTGTTTCTGACTATACTGTACGAGAGCGGCCGTTGGTACTTTTAGAATGGATATTGGATAATTGGATGAATATATGGAATTTGCGATACTCCCACAATACTTAAAAAATGTAAAAGAAAAAGCTCAATATTTGACATGTTGCACATTGCTTATACACATAGGCTAAGCTGTATGGTAGTATGTATGTATAGCCATGGATTGTGAAAAGCTACGCTAACCAAAGCATTAAGGAATCCTTATCAACACAGCCTGTATTCCCATTTATGTATATGGAAGTATCATACACAAATCCAAAGAGAGAAGAAAAGATAGGCGAATAAAAAACAAATATATACGATATACCATTGACCACTGTTCTTTTGGGATTTTCATCGTCCTAAAACCATCTGATTCTAACCAGTACTTACTCGGTCGCCGCTAGAAATACCCAACTAGCTTAGAATTCGACTGAATGCAGCTGTTCACAAGCAGTCATATGGTTATGAAAACAGATTTGGAGCTTTTCATAGAACCCACAAACTTCATACAGATATACGATATACCTATTTTACAATTATATTTTTACGAAGTTTGAAAACATTTGTCAAGCATGTTGCTGAAACATATACATATATTCATTTAATATGCAGACGGGTACATAATTTTTATGTTAAGCTACAAGTATTTTGTACAAGTTTTTCGAAAATATGGATTGCATACCGGTGACATTAAGTGCTTGCCGATTATTACGCATATTACACATATAAAGACAGAGATATTTGCCCGGTGTTTGACTTTTAGAACAATTATAAATATACATATTATTAAAATCATAACAAAAATTCCGTTACAGCTTAAATATCACAGTCACAGACTTAAATCACGAAGACAACCAGCGTCGCTATCGAAATAGTCACAGGAACGATTTCTCGTTATCGATGTACCGATAACAGCATGGCTACCATCAGCTGTGCTGGAACAGCAAGAAGAAGCGATATACACACAACATTTCGGAAAGATAAAGAAAACCAAGCGTTATCCATTCGCAAGAGTAAGTAAAAATTAGGACGTTTAATATTGAAAAATGAGTGCAGCCGCTGCATTATCGGGTATACAGAGTACCGCTGGTGCTGTGCCCGTACGCAATGAGAAGGGTAAGATAAATGAAAACCCGAGACCTCGTGAACCAATTCTGATTGTTGTCCTGCTACTTTAGGTGAGATTTCTATGCAAAAGGTTAAGGTGCAGCGCTACATATCAGGTAAGCGACCCGATTATGCGCGTGCTGAGTCCACATCGGAGGAGAGCGACGATGACGACTTCATTGACAATCGGCGACGCCACAAGGCGGAGCGTCACAAAATGGAACTGGCGCGGCGAGGCAGTGGCGATGAAAAGCAGCCGGAAGATGAAGAGGACAATGCTGAGGTAGACGATCCGCGACTGCGGCGATTGCGTACTCGTCCCGTCGATCAGGAGGATTTGGAACGCGAACGTCGAGAACGCCACAGGCACATCCATGAGCCCGAATTCGTGGACAGCGATAGTGAAGAAGAAGACAAAGAGCAAGCTGTCATCAATGAACAGCAGAAACGCATTGAACGTGGGACAAATAAAATCACACTGGCATCCGAATCCGACACAGACTCGGAACTAAGTGAGACCGAACTGGAGAAACGGCGCACGAAACTGCGGGCACGCATGTTGCAACAACAACGCGAAGAGGAGGTACTGCAGAAGGAAGACGAAAAGCAATCGGAGTCATCCGATTCGGAAAGCTCCGAATACGAGGAAGAATCCGAAAGTGAAGAAGACAATGAGCCACGCCTCAAGCCACTCTTTGTGCGCAAACGCGATCGTGCCACAATACAGGAAAAGGAGCGTGAAGCCCAAAAACAAAAACAACTAGAGGCGGAGGCTAAGCGGGCTGCCAAGGAGCGTAGACGCGCCACATTGCGCATGGTAGAGGATAGCGTGAAAAAAGATTTGGAGAAAATCAAGCCGGAGACGAATGAAGCGTGTATAGAGGATGTTTGCACTGATGATGATAACGACGAGCTGGAGTATGAGGCGTGGAAGCTGCGCGAACTCAAACGCATGAAGCGCGATCGCGAGGAGCGTGATATGTGAGTTGCAAGTACCAAGACTTGAGATAATATAACTAAACTTTTTTTCTCTTGTAGCGCTGAACGCGAAAAACTGGAAATTGAGCGAATGCGTAATATGACCGAAGAGGAACGTCGGCAGGAGTTGCGGTCGAATCCCAAAACAATAACCAACAAAGCGACCAAAGGCAAATATAAATTTCTACAAAAATATTATCATCGTGGCGCTTTCTATCTGGACGAGGAGAATGATGTGCTAAAACGAGATTTCGCGCAGGCCACCCTCGAGGATCACTTCGACAAAACGATACTGCCCAAGGTTATGCAGGTGAAGAATTTTGGACGTTGTGGGCGTACCAAATACACGCATTTAGTGGACCAAGATACGACAAAATTCGATTCGCCTTGGTATGCAGAGACCTCAAACAATATGAAATTCCACACGGAACGCGCCGGCGGAATGCGTCAGCAATTTGACAAGCCAACGGCCTCCAAGCGGAAGAAGTTAGAGTAACATTATCTTTATGTTTGTAGTTTATTCAACAATTTCATATAACTAGTTACAAAAAGTATGTAATATGTAATAATTAATAAGTAACAAGGAAAAAAATAGTCAAAAAGTACATTGATGATGACCATGATCACTAGTTTGCGTTAACAATCAACGCCATTGATGGCGATCCAGTTTCTCTACATCTTGGCACACAAGCGCTTGCATAATGCCCTCGGTTTTGATGACTTTAACGTTTTTATGAGTGGACAGATGTGTGGAGCGCTCATCAATAGATGCAACAACAACATAGAGCTTCATATCGTTCGATACTTGGGATGCAGTGCTGTGGACGACACCGGCAGCGTTTTTTATGATGGCTGCAATTAAAAGTATGCTGAAGTATACATTATTATCTCCCTATATATACCGACTTACCTTTCATTTCAGTGACATTTGGGTTTATGCCATCGCCTAACAAAAAGTGATAGCCAGCAAAAAGTCCCGGCTTTTCCATTATTCTTAATGGACAGAACTTAAACTTACGTTCAAAATTTTTATCGCTAAATATGTGATGTGATTCCACTGTTGTAAGGCGTGTCTTATTTATCGCATGCAGCCATGTGGAATTGAGAATTGGTTTGTTGGCTGCCACCGTTAAAAGAAATTTATAGGTGCGCTCGCCTTTATCCATGATTGTAATATCGGAATGCAGAGGATTTGTTGGAACTTCCACCACACCTTTCGGAATACAAAGAAAATTATTAAAGCATTTTCCGTAAGTAGTACAGATCAGATCTCAGAATAAAATAAAACAGAAACAAAATTCGTCGGCGAACATTCTTTAAAGCTGCCAAAACGCCGGACAACTTTTATAGAGCACTCTAAAATAATGAAGCTGTAACAGTTCGATCAAATTTGTTCAGAATTGAGGCTACTTTTTCTAATTATCATACAATGTGTAATTTCATCGAATTCAAGGTCCTTCTTCTATAATGCTCTTCATTCTTGGGTTTTGCAAGAATCGAACATTTATCCAAACCGATTTAGATGAAATCGCTTGAATCCGGATATGGAAATAATCAGCAAAATCACATGTAAGAATGTCTAGACTTAAAGTCTTGCCTCTCTTGTTAAAATCGCAAAGTATACTTACTTTTAACTGCCGATAGGCAACTGCTTAGATCTAAGAGATCACACATGGATAATGCGATTTTTATTTTCCGACCTGAGCTTCGAATTTTTTGCACATATTTGTTGATGGCTGCAAAATTTGGAACATAAATTAAACTCGAATTCCTTAACATCAGTAGGTTTATAATCACCTTGTACCGGCCCTGCAGAACTATCCTGACAACGCGTTCCTTGAGGGGATGCATTTTAAGATTGAAGATTAGGAATTTTATAGAAATTGATTTACTTACTGTTTGATTCCTCAGGCTCTGTCTTGATGGGTTCCAGTTTTCTCGCACGAAGTTTTGAAGGTGCTGGAAGATTGGGATTCATTTTTTTTTTTTTTGAAATTGTTAGAAATAGAATTTAAGCAACATACGTTCGTCCTGATCCTTACTAGCTGCAGGTAAGGGTCTACGACGCGTCGTAGTAGAATTGGCCGTCCCCGGTTTTGATGGCACTGCCTCTGCTGACTTCACTTTTTGTCTAATCGATTCGTGTTGCTTCGATCGCGTTTGAGTAGAATTTGTCTTTGGTTCTGCATCCTGTTTGTCTTTCTCCCTCTCCAAACGCTTGGATTGCGAATATTTCGAGCTCGAAACTAGTTCTGCTTCCATCGCGCTTTCCTTTATTGTTTGCGAATTATCGTTTGTCCTCAAGCGCGTAGAACGCAGGTTGGATGGGGCAGAAGTGGTATTCTGCATTTCCGGAATATCTTTTCTATCACCTTTTTTCTCATCTGCGTTTTCCGTACGTTCCCGTACGTTCATCGCCTTTGTGGACGCCATTTTCCCGCTTTTCTCAACATCATCACTTTTGAGATGCGATGCAGAATCTGGCTTCTCATTCTTAGCGTGCTTCAACCGAGACATACTATCTTTTTTAAATTTTGTCTTTTCCATGTTTTGCGATCCTGTTTCCTCTGCCGTTTTCGACGTTTTAGGTTTTTTAGATCTTCCTTCCTGCTTAGTTTTAGTCAGCTTTTCACCACTAATATTGGTTGATTTAGTGGACATGGAAACCTTTTCAAAATTATTGTAATTTAATTATTTTTCTTTTCATTATATCATTTCTGAATTTACCAATAAACTTACATTTTCTGCCTTTTCTTTAACCCTATCAAGTGCATCGCCTTTCTCACTTCTTTCTTCAGAGTTTTTATTGGACCTCGCTACTGGTGTCGTAGACTTCTTTGTTACCTCCCGGCTTTGTCTAGCTCTTTTTGTCGTTGATTCTTCGGAGGACGAATCCTAAAATCAATATTTTATATTTTAATAGGTAGATTAATTCGAATTAAATAGTTATTGAAAATGTCATTCTGTTTTTCTTCTTACATTTACAAATATGACTTACAACCACGGCGCACTGAATTATTTTTAAGTGTTATTTTTTGCTCAATCCTTGGAACACTTTTCTTCATTGTTTGGTACTTGTTTGTAAGATTCTGGTTCTTCTTCGGTTATGTTTGTTTCAATAATACTGTCTGTTTTCGTTTCCTTACTCTTTTTAAAACTTATATAATAAATTGTTACAAATATTTTAGGGTTAAGAATGTATGCCGATTGAAAGCGAAACGTTGTGTAATGTTTTAAATTTCCCCACCACTATTTAATGGTATCTCTATGTTAATTTCAATAAGTTTTATTTATCAAAAAACATTTATGCAATAATGCCGAATGAAAGTATTTATATAATAGGGTGTAAATTAAAAATCATCAGGTTTTAAAGCGAAAATTTGATCGCCTTCAAACTCCATCGTATTGAAAACAAAGGTTAGACTTGAATTTAAATTTAATGATGAACGTAAGTTTCTTGAAGTAGATCTTGAGTGTTGGTTTAAATCATGCATTACTGGTCTAATGGTTACTTGATCTGAGTTCATCAAAACCTAAGGGAGAATTAATTTTTGCATTAATACCTATGTCTCGGTTGCTATCTAAAAGTAAACATCCCATGTCACTTACAGTTCGGGGGTCTTGAATATGAGGGATTTGGGTAGTTTTCTTAGTTTTACTCTTTGGTGGCCGTCCAGGTTTACGCTTTATTGTTGCATTTTGCACAATTTCCTGATCCACGTTCGAATCTTGCTCCCTAAGAGGTTCAACACTTTCGTTTGAATTAGAAATATTTCCACGAACAGTTCTTGAACGTGAATTGTAATTTGTTTTTTTTAATTTTGTTTTCGCAGATCTGCTTTTTCTTCGCGTTAATCTTCTACTCCGTGGTACTCTCCTTATTCCCAAATTCTACATGAATACATATAATTTTTATTAGTATCTATCTAAAAATCACTTTCAGTTTTTATGATTTTTTATAATCTAAGTAGAAATTGCCAGTACCTGCTCTTAAATCGAGGCTTAACGGACATATACTTTACTTACACTATTTCTCACTTTCTTTATCTTTCCATGAGATCGTCTCTTTTCGACAGGTCTCTTATTATTTTCTACGTCCGAGGCTTCCAGTGCTGCGCTCTCGGATGGTTGGGCCGCTGCTGACATAGCTTCAGGTCTGCTCTTTGCATCAAATCCCTTTTGATCATTGCCGGTATTAGAAGTTTCCAAAATAGCCACATCAGGTGGGTTTTTAGCTGCTGTCGCAGATTGGGATCCCTTCTTCAGGTAAGGTTCCTTCTGTATAGTTTTTTTATCGAAGGCTTCAGGAACTGTAGCTTTTGATGGTTTCACGACGGGTGCCGCAAATTCCGATCTGGTCATTGCGTGGGTCCTCTTATCATTTATTGTACCCGAAGAAGTTACCAAAACTGCATCCCCGGAGGGTTTTGCCAGTGCTATCGCAGAATTGGGCCGCCTCCTTAAATTATTTTTAATTGTGTCCGAGGAGGTATCCAAGACTGTGCCCTCGGTTGGTTTCGCCGTAGGTGGAGCAGATTCTGACCCTTCAAATTGCCTTTTCTTTGGTCTACCCCTTTTTTTTGGTGGTTCCTGGAGCTGTGAAACCTAAAAATATCGGATTTATAGTTTTAATAGTCTAAAGAGGTGTTCTAGACTGTTCCCATGTATGTAATGGGAATAAAGAGGCCTAACCAGGACGTCGAGACGAATTAAAATTGAACACCAAGAACTTTACAACCATTACAGTTAGGAACAACCTTGGCATGGAGTTCCGATATGACTTATTGGTGCAAAAAGGTTAGATATCGTGTCCTAATTTTTGTTTCAAGAGTTTAGAAAAATTTCTTATTACATATATACATTTTTAAGCTTCTTTAAAATCTGTTAACTACTATTTCTAAATCAAATATCCTATTAGTTTTTTTTTATCAATCTTACTGTAACCTTTCTAGTTAAAGATAGCATAAGGAAATTTTCGTGCCACTTATAGTTTATTACTTACAATTTCCGATTCTTTAGCAGTTGGGGCCGACCGTTTTCTTTCGTTGCTTGCCGTAGTTTGTTTAGACTCTAAGTTCTGTTTTAGTTCAATTCCTTTAGATGTGGATGGGCCCTGGAATAAAGAATCCTATAAAAAAAAAGGTTTTATATAAATATCAATGTCTTTGCCTATTATTAAATTCGATTCGCAGCAATTTAATATGTAGTATTCAAATAAAGTTTTTAAAATTAAGTAATATACCATTGCATTAGATTCTAAATAATCGATGTAAATCGGATCTGCTGTTACCTCTGTTACCACTGTTACCACATCTCCATAGAGACCATTCGGAAAATATTCGAGAGATATAAAAGGATTGGGATCACGCTCATATTTTAGTACAGATTCCGCGGAACCTGATGTTATTTGGGGCATTTTACCAGATCTTTGTTCTGAATCGGCTTTGTTTTGGTTATATTTATATATAGAGCTGTTATGTTTTTTATCTATTATTTTTTTAGAATCACAATAGTCCAAAGACAAGGTAGACGTATCAGAAGTCAATAACATCTTTAATACCTTGTCGATGTCATCATTTACGTCAAGAGAATTTGCTGGAGAGTCCGGCAAGGGATCATGAATAACTGTAGATATAAGAAACATTGTACAATTTTAATTTAATATAACCAAGATTAAAAAAAAACCTACCAATGTTAGATTTAACTGCAACCTTGGGCTTCAGAAAAATCTGAGTCTCTAACATATCTTCATCGACATCGGTTCCGGCAGAACTATAAATTTGAGGCCTTACAGTTAAGGGTCTGACGCAATGGAATGGTTGCGTAGCTATAAAGTCTTGAATATTTGATACTCCACCTGAAGAGCTAGTTTCTTGAACATTTGGTAAATAGTTTTGTTTTCTAAAGCACTGGGTGGCTATGAAATCCTGCGAATTTTCCAACTGTGGGTGCTCACATAACATGCTTTCCCTTCCCCTATCACTTACAACCTGTAAAGGGTTCGCTTCATTGTGCAAACTTTCTTGAAGACTAGTCTGCTCTTTGCGTTGGATCTTTTCTTTATCGGTTGTGTCAGCCATGGATACGGATGAGGGAAAACATTGAGTTGCTATAAAACCATCAACAATTTTTGTCTGAGGAATTTTTTGCTTTCCGATAGATGACGTTTCTGCTAACTGTGACGAATTTTTAATGAAGTTGGATGTATTGACAGGATGAATGACAATGCATGACTTTTCTTTTTGAGAAATTTTCTGCATTCCGATAGCAGACGGTTCTACTAACTGTGAAGAGTTACCGATGATTTCTTTGGATGTATTGACAGGATCTTGAGAGGAAAATTGCTGCCTAATGCCTGCAACAGTTGTGTTTTCTATACCAACCGTTCCACTCAACGACAATGTTTTTGCCCGATAAAACGGTTGTGTGGCAATAAAATCCTGAATTTGAGTCTCCCCGATTGAGATTGAAGTGCTTGCATTTTTTAGAGAAGCTGCTTTCTGAACACCCTGAGCTATTATATCCGAAGGAGTTTTCAATTGAGGTTGATTATTCTCCTTGCCACTTGACGATTGTGAAACCACTGAAACCTCTGCACTTATTGGCATAAATGGCGGTGCATCGAACAAGTCAGGTGTACAGGTTCTTGAAGTAGATCTAGAGTATTGGCTTAACTCCTGCTTTACTGGTGTAATGGTTATTTGATCTGAGTTCATCAAAACCTAAGGGAGAATTAATTTTTGCATTAATACCTATGTCTCGGTTGCTATCTAAAAGTAAACATCCCATGTCACTTACAGTTCGGGGGTCTTGAATATGAGGGATTTGGGTAGTTTTCTTAGTTTTACTCTTTGGTGGCCGTCCAGGTTTACGCTTTATTGTTGGGTTTTGCACAATTTCCTGATCCACGTTCGAATCTTGCTCCCTAAGAGGTTCAACACTTTCGTTTGAATTGGAAATATTTCCACGAACAGTTCTTGAACGTGAATTGTAATTTTTTGTTTTCGCAGATCTGCTTTTTCTTCGCGTTAATCTTCTACTCCGTGATACTCTTCTTATTGCAAAAGTCTACATGAATACATATATTTTTTATTAGTATCTATCTAAAAATCACTTTCAGCTTTTATGATTTTTTAATAATCTAATTAGAAATTGCCAGTACCTGCTCTTAAATCGAGGCCTAACGGACATATACTTTACTTACACTATTTCTCACTTTCTTTATCTTTCCATGAGATCGTCTCCTTTCGACAGGTCTCTTATTATTTTCTACGTCCGAGGCTTCCAGTGCTGCGCTCTCGGATGATTGGGCCGCTGCTGACATAGCTTCAGGTCTGCTTTTTGCATCAAATCCCTTTTGATCATTGCCGGTATTAGAAGTTTCCAAAATAGCCACATCAGGTGGGTTTTTAGCTGCTGTCGCAGATTGGGATCCCTTCTTCAGGTAAGGTTCCTTCTGTAGATTTTTTTTATCGAAGGCTTCTGGAACTGTAGCTTTTGATGGTTTCACGACGGGTGCCGCAAATTCAGATCTGGTCCTTGCGTGGGTCCTCTTATCATTCATTGTATCCGAAGAAGTTACCAAAACTGCATCCCCGTAGGGTTTTGCCAGTGCTATCGCAGAATTGGGCCGCCTCCTTAAATTATTTTTAATTGTGTCCGAGGAGGTATCCAAGACTGTGCCCTCGGTTGGTTTCGCCGTAGGTGGAGCAGATTCTGACCTTTCAATCACTTTTTTCTTTGGTCTACCCCATATTTTTGGTGGTTTCTGGGGCTAAAAATATTGGTTTTATAGTTTTTATTGGCTGTACCCATTGTGTAAAAAGGTGCTCTAGAATGGTTGAATGTTCCCCTGTATGTAATTGGAATGAAGAGGCTTAACCAGAACGACGAGACGAATTAATACTGGTAAGTCAATCTGTTCGTATGTGCGACCATATGAACACCAAGAACTTTAGAACCATTACAGTTCGGAACAACCCTTGCATGTAGCTCCGATATGACTTATTGGTGTAAAAAGGTTTATATAGATATCGTATCCTAATTTTTATACTCTTTACATGAAATGTACAAGAGTATATTAGGTTTGCGCGAGCTGAAAAATTTAACAGGAGGTGTGGCTGCTTTGCATAGGCACACGAGACATATACAGACACACACAACACGCATATACATGCAAGGACATGCATGATTATTTTAAATATATGTACAGAGTATTTCAAAATCGGGGCACCCGACTCTAGCTTCTCCACTTGTTGTTTCAAGAGTTTGTAAAATTTCTCATTACATACATATATGAATTCTTAGGCTTCTTTAAAATGTGTTACCTTATCTTATATCTTATCTTATCTTATAATTACCGTACGATGATTTCTAAATCAAATATCCTATTAGTTTTTTTTTTATCAATCTTACTGTAACCTTTCTAGTTAAAGATATCATAAGGATATTTTCGTGCCACTTATAGTTTATTACTTACAATTTCCGATTCTTTAGCAGTTGGGGCCGACCGTTTTCTTTCGTTGCTTGCCGTAGTTTGTTTAGAGTCTAAGTTCTGTTTTAGTTCAATTCCTTTAGATGTGGATGGGCCTTGGAATAAAGAATCCTAAAAAAAAAGGTTTTATATAAATATCAATGCATTTGCCATTATTAAATTCGATTCGCAGCACTTTAGTAGTATTAAAATAAAGTTTTTAAAGTTAAGAAATACACCATTGCTTTAGATTCTAAATAATCTAAATTGGATCTGCTGTTACCTCGAAATTTTAACTGCATATTTCACTTACAGTTTTAGGATCTTTTTTGCTTTCGGTTACCACTGATTTCTCAACAATAGGTGTGTGCTGTTGGTCATTTAAGTTTACTAACGGAAAGACGGCATCTCCATAGAGAGCATTCGCAAAATATTCGTGAGATAAAAAAGGATTGGATTCATCCTCAGATTCAACGGAATCTGATGTTATTAGGAGCATTTTACCAGATCTTTGTTCTGAATCGGCTTTGTTTTGGTTAGATTTACATATAGAGCTGTTATGTTTATCTATTATGTTTTTAGAATCACAATAGTCCAAAGACAAGGTAGACGTATCAGAAGTCAATAACATCTTTAGTACCTTGTCGATGTCATCATCTACGTCAAGTGAATTTGCTGGAGAGTCCGGCAAGGGATCATGAATAACTGTAGATAAAAGAAACAATGTACAATTAAAATTTATTATAAACAAGATTTAAGAAAAAATAGTTACCCACCAATGTTAGATTTTACTGCAAACTTGGGCTTCACAAAAATCTGAGTCTCTAACATATCTTCATCGACATCGGTTCCGGCAGAACTATGAATTTGAGGCCTTACAGTTAAGGGTCTGACGCAATGGAATGGTTGCGTAGCTATAAAGTCTTGAATATTTGATGCTCCACCTGAAGAGCTAGTTTCTTGAACATTTGGTAAATAGTTTTGTTTTCTAAAGCACTGGGTGGCTATGAAATCCTGCGAATTTTCCAACTGTGGGTGCTCACATAACATGCTTTCCCTTCCCCTATCACTTACAACCTGTAAAGGGTTCGCTTCATTGTGCAAACTTTCTTGAAGACTAGTCTGCTCTTTGCGTTGGATCTTTTTTTTATCGGTTGTGTCAGCCATGGATACGGATGAAGGAAAACGTTGAGTTGCTATAAAATCTTCAACAATTTTTGTCTGAGAAATTTTTTGCTTTGCTATAGCTGACGTTTCTGCTAACTGTGTCGAATTCTCAATGAAGATGGATATATTTTCAGGATTTTGACAGGACGATTGCTGCCTACTTGCAATGAATGACTTTTCTTTTTGAGAAAATTTCTGCTTTTCGATAGCTGACGTTTCTGCTAACTGTGAGGAGTTTTTAATGAAGCTGGATGTATTGTCAGGACTTTGACAAGACGATGACTGGCTGACTGCAACGAATGACTTTTCTTTTTGAGCAATTTTCTGTTTTCTGATAGCTGACGATTCTACTAACTGTGAAGATTTATCGATTATTTCTTTGGATATATTGACAGGATCTTGAGAGGAAAATTGCTGCCTAATGCCTGCAACAGTTGTGTTTTCTATACCAACCGTTCCACTCAACGACAATGTTTTTGCTCGATAAAACGGTTGTGTGGCAATAAAATCCTGAATTTGAGTCTCCCCCATTGAGATTGAAGTGCTTGCATTTTTTAGAGAAGCTGCTTTCTGAACACCCTGAGCTATTATATCCGAAGTAGTTTTCAATTGAGGTTGATTATTCTCCTTGCCACTTGACGATTGTGAAACCTCTGGGTTTTCGGCAAAAACTGCACTTATTGGCATATATGGCGGTGCATTGAACAGGTCAGGTGTACAGGTTTCTAGTCGCTGATTTTCCTCAATGTTGCCAATTATATCAAATAGATCTGGAGTGCACGTTTCACGACCATTTTCACCGTCTGACTCATTTTCATTTGCCGTTGTCAAATTCAAAGAATCCGATGGCAGTTGGCCCTCGACTTTCCTGCAGTCTGTTAGGCGCTTAGTGCTATTGAATACAGTGCATTTTGAATTAGAAGTCGACCAATTTAAGGCACTCATTTCAAGGTCAGAAGCGTCGGTGGGCTCTGCAGAAATAAACGGAAGTTGTAAGGAAATTTCAATGGTGGCATGTATATTTGAAATACCCGCAGCCTGTTTTTTGTTTGAGCTGTGGAATGCCAACATGATATCGTCTATTATTACTGATGCATTTGAATCACATGTGGAATCATCTTCGTTAAACTCCTGTGTATTAATACGAAACTGTGAGCCAAATTCTGATTCCGCTTCATCACGAGTGGGCTCGCACAATTCATCTGTTATTTTATCTTTCTTGCTCTGTTGCTGGCTAGCAAACTTTATGCTGCAATCACCAAGCATATCCTGGGTTTCAGGAATATACAGTTCACCAGCAGATGTCTGTTGTGCTTGAGTTTCGGGTATGACGAAACTGTCTCCTTCGGCTGTAGTGTTGACCAGCGGCGCCTGAGTCTCGGGAATAATAAAACTATCAACTGTGGTGTTGGTGGACTTTTCTTTTCCATCTTCATAGCCACTGCTATCTTGGGCCTGCGAATCAATTTAAATAATTGAATACTACTAATACAATTACATTAGGCTTTTATCTATGTACCTTCTCATCATTTCCAACACCTTCAAAGTGTAATTTTGCCTCAACCTCACCAAATCGCAGCTCTACAAACCCAAATTCATTAGCTTGGCTTCGGTCGATTTTCAGCCCAAATACTTCCTTGCCATTAAAAAATATTTTGCCGGCACCACTTAATAAATGCACGTCGCCAGTATGTGACCAGAGCACAAAGCCGTGTATATGTTCCAATTTCTGGAATACCAAGGAAGTATTAATACATAAGTGATGTACAATTTATGAACGCACAGCGCTTACTTCATTATCAATACATAACTCCGCATGGGGACTTTTGCCGAACCGGTACGGAGAACACTGCTGTAGCTCCATAGCTTTCTGGCCGTCGACGCTAAGGCGCGCCATAATTCGCTTTCTTTAAATCTAGAGAACTGTGAAGGTGCTTTTGTTTGTTGGTTTGTTAATGCGTGGTAAACTGCTTTGGTGTTAGTGAATTTTTAAATTTAAACACGAAATCGCTAACAATCAACTGCGATAAACAATAATCATACAATCACAACAAATATAACAAAAACGAGTAAATTAATGGCAACAAATTCACATCAAAGATGTATGCGCGAGCAGAGGAATTGAATCTGCGTCGATTTTAATTAGAGATGAACAATAACTTGTAAAGTTGTGCGATATGTGCTTATCGATTTCGGAATTGCCCATCAGGCGGGATTCGGAAATCATTATTTAATTTAGTTAAATAATATCTTCACAATCTGCAGAAAAACAGAACAATAAATAATAATTATTCTGAATTTTGATTATATTAATCAAAACAATAAACTTTTTTTCTCACAATTTTGATTATTTTTTAACTGCAGAAGAAATTTAGACATTTTTGTTATTTAACTAAAAAGTTTTCCAAATAATTGGACGATAGACATACATGTATATATGTATTCGAATGGTACCTAAATAAATTCCGATTAATAAATAATAAATAAATTAAACAGTGGTAGTATTCCAGTTACTGATCATATAAAATAGAGTCAGTTAACGGAGCGATCTAATTAAATAGAGTGAAACCCTAATATACTAGAATCCTTAGCTGTTAAATGGAATCGAAGTTATAAGTGCTATCATAATATTTTAATTAAATTAATTACAACAATTAATGTGACCATATTTTGCATAGTGAACAGGTGTTGCACAAAATCTAATTACTAATCGAAAGAAGGTGCAGGAATCCCACTGGTGCCGGAAAGTCAAAACGTCAAAAAATGCCGTACCCAGTGAAGGGTTAAATCATAAACAACGAACAGCTGATGTGCAAAATTCATGTTTTGTTGAAAAAATGACGGATTTTCTTGCCGAGAATAATGCGTGCGGACAAAATTTACTTAACATTGTTTCAGTGGGAAATTCAATAATTGCTGAAATATTGCGTTTAAAAGACTATATTCCACAGATTTATCGGTAAGTAATGGAAAGATCGGAATCAGAAGGTTGTTAGATATGGAAGTGTGATGTTTAATATTCCACAGCTTAGAAACAAAAGCGGATAAGCAAAAATATGGGGAGATTATAGTGGACTTTAGCTATTTTAAGCTGGCCGAGGCGCACGAAAAGAAAATACGTGAGAATCCGGTGAGTAGAAAAAAAAAACGGGAAAAGCGGAGAGTTAACATTTTCAATTCTGCATATCTAGGAGCTGAACGACTTGGACGATGAAATACGTGCCAATAACTTGCAGTTAATCACCCGCTTCTATTTAGCCTTTCAAAGTATCCACCACTATGCCACCGATTTGAAGCAATATATCGAGGAGCTTAACACCGGCTACTACATACAGCAATCGCTGGAGACTGTGCTTCAGGACGAGGAGGGCAAACAGTTGCTGGTAATTGGGAAAGATATAAAAAAGTAATATTTGAATTAATGCTTGGACTTTCTCATTTCAGTGCGAATCGCTGTATTTGTATGGCGTTATTCTACTAATTCTCGACTTTCACATTCCTGGCGATGTACGAGAACGTCTCATAATCGCCCACTATCGGTATAGCGGCAGCAGCGCCACGTCCACCAGCGATGAGAGTAACATTCATGATGTTTGCTTGCTGTTACGTTCCACGGGCTATGTGCAACCGGCGATGCCAACTAATAATAGCAAACAAGCTGCAGCTGCCACATCCGGAAATGTATCGAAATATCCCGAATCGTACTTTGCACGCTTCCGCTTCGATTCAAACTACATTGATCTGGTGTTGGCTCGTCTGCGCTGCGATGATATTTACAATCAGTTGGCCATCTATCCACATCCCATGCATCGCACCACTGCCTTGTCCAACCAGGCAGCCATGCTCTACATCTGTCTATACTTTTCGCCACAGGTGCTACACAGCCAGCAGTCCCAAATGCGCGAAATTGTGGACAAATTCTTCAGTGACAATTGGGTACTTTCCATATATATGGGCATCACCGTCAACCTGATCGATGCGTGGGCGCCGTTTAAGGCGGCAACATCGGCACTCACGAATGTCGTGACGCCGGCAGCACTGAAACTCAACTGTACCCATCAGCGTGAACAGCTCACGAAGACTTTGCAAAAGACGCAGGAAATCGTGCGCGAGGGCGTACTGAACGATGCCTTCGTGCTGGAGCATATCAACAAAATTATTGTACTGATGCGTCAGGCGAACGTCCTGCTTCGTTGGTATTGCCTGCACACAACACATGTCGTCTTTGTCGTGGCCTGGCAGGCTGCCAAGCAGGCCCAGGTGCAGCAACTGGTACACACCGAACTTAAATTCGATCAAAACGTGCTCTACCAACTTATGCTCAACTGCTGCCAAATGGAATTGAGCGTCCGGGAACTGCTGTCTGAGCTGCAACGAGAACGTGGGGAGCGTTGGACCAAATCCCGGGACGAGGCCATGCAACGACTAGACGAACTGAGCGAAGTATTTTCTGGCACACGCCCTCTCTCCAAAATCGAAGCAAATCCTCAGTTACAGCAGTGGTTTAAGGCTGTGGCGCAGCGCTTACAAAAATTGGACCTCGCGAGCCCCCAAAAGGCTGGACGTTTACTTATACAGGCTATTCAGGCCTTAGATGATGTGCAGGAGTACCACAATCTGCATGCCAACATGTTGGTTAAGCAGTTTCTGCAGGAAACGCGGGAATACCTCAATCAAATGGCACAGGTGGGTTTATAAAAAATAGATGATTTGATGTCTATATGTATATCCCTCCTTTCCTCTTCACCTCTAGCTAATCAACATTAAGGACGACATCGAAATACAAATTCAAATGATCACAGACTTTAGCTATGCTTGGTTGCTGCTGCAGCGAGACTTTACGCCACTGATGCAGGAAAACATCAAAAAGCAGCCGCAATCCGTCATCTATATACGCACCGTGTTTCTTAAATTGTCGAGCACCCTGGAGGTGCCGCTTATGCGCATTAATCAGGCCAAAAGTGAAGATTTGGTTTCTGTGTCCAACTACTATAGCACCGAACTGGCAAATTTTCTACGCCGTGTCCTCCAGATTGTGCCCGAGACCATGTTCAGTATCCTTGCTCGCATCATACAACTCCTAACAGATGTTATTAAGGAGTTTCCCACCCGTTTGGAGCGCGAAAAGCTGCGCGATTATGCACAGTTTGAGGAGCGTGCCAAGGTGGCTCAATTAACCAACTCCATAGCCGTCTTCACCAAAGGCATCCTAATGATGAAGAAGACCCTGGTGGGTGTCACAGAGCTGGATCCAAAACAGTTGCTGGAGGATGGTATACGCCGAGAACTTGTCAATCACCTGGCCAATGCGTACAATCTGGGTTTGATTTTCACGCCAGTAAAGGGTCAGACTCCTGTGCAGCTGCTGCAGTCTAAGCTGCAAGCTTTGGCTAAGACCATCGATGGCTATCGTCGCTCTTTCGAATATATTGAGGACTATATGCGGGTGCAGGGGCTACGTCTGCTACAGGAGGAATCGCAGCGCATTCTCAGCTACAATGTGGAGAAGGAGTGTAACGTCTTTCTGCGCAACAAAGTGCAGGAATGGCAATCCCAGTTCCAGTCTACAACCATACCCATACCAAATTTTGTCCCCCTACAGGGTGACCCCAGTAAGTCGGAAACCTTTATTGGCCGTCTTGCCCACGAAATTCTACGTTGCACTGAGCCGAAACAGACAATATTTTTGGACCTAAAGTGCACGTGGTATGAGAAACGAGCGCCACACAATCAAGTGCTTGCCGCTTCCGGTTTCTTTGACATGCTGCGCGAGGCACTAACACCGGCAGGAATGGTCGGTCTGGAACGCATCTATGCTCACATGCTGAACGACGAACTGAAGCGTAACTTGGAGAAGCTACACAAAAACCTCACATCGGATCGCATGTGGTGTGACGCATTGTCAAGTTTAACAAAAGAATTGGAGTCGCGTGATTTTCCTGGCGACATCGCAAAGCAGCCTCTAAAGTATTACAACGGCTACACGCAGCGCTGGTTAAAAGTTTGGCCTACTCTTCTGGACTGGGTGCTGGCCTTGGGACACAAACAGCTGCTGCGTCAACAGATCGCCCATGAGTTGAGTTTTAGTAGCAAGTGCGATGCCAAGCTGCTTGAGAACACAACGGACACAATGAATCGGTAAAGTATAATTCTTTAGATGATAGCATTTACATACATAGGTGTGTTCAAAATATTTTCCGTGACCATTAAGTAATACTCTTCTTCAAGAGTCGCCCTGAAGCAATATAAAGGAATTACATGTGTACCGATTTCTTTTTCCAGAGCCCTATTGCTAGAGTTGACCACCAATACGAAACTCTATGACGAACAAGGCGTAGCCATGTTAACGGAATTACACGAAATTTTACTATACACTGGCAACTATGAGCCCTTGGAGCACGTCTTTGTTATCACCAAGAATACGCATAACATGTCTCTCTGGCTTTTCCTCTTCACCATTGCCCATGTACCACGACTTCAACATTCGACAAACACGGATAGTTTGTTACCCAAAACAGCCAAGGATGTGATAGACTGTGTGCCTCTAATTGTGGGACTACTGACCATATTGCAGCAATTCCACAAGAATGTTAAAATGCTATATATCTCCTACCTGTGCCAGTATGTTGTGGTGCTCGCCGAGGCACAACTGCAGTAAGTACATACATATAAGGAAAATTCAAGTTTGTCAATCATATCGTGCATTAAAAGCTAAAATATTAATTCGATAGAGATATAGCTTTTTTAAGCCTACCAGTCAAAAATTGTATTCTTAATCAAGCGATCGTTTTCATTCTTTTTGTTCGTTGTCCGAGAATCAGAAATTCAACAAAAATACGGGGGAATACCCAAGATACGTTAGGCAAATTTAAGATAACCAGTTCCAAAAAGAATGGAGATACTTTTTTGTTTTTGTTCAAAGCACCCTACGAAAAAGTCTGTCTAAAACTGTTGAGAAAAAATACACTAGAAACGTTAGAAAATTGAATAAAACACTGAAAAGACAGACACGCTCAGAAATGAAGCCGGGTAGATCCCAATCGTTATGTCGCGTTATTGTTCTGACCTCTTAGATCAGATAAAAAGATCTTTACAAAAACTAACACATTTTAAAATGTGAACAGATAATCAAAAATGCTGACATTATCCCATAAGGCAGGCTCATTGAAGTACATAGTTCTTATACATCGTCTAATTTATTTGTACTCCTCTCTTTCATAGGGACAAGGAAATGCTAAGCGCCGAGGTGGTCACCATGTTGCACTTTTTGAATGCGTTTGTCCGCACAGCGCATTTGCCGCTCAGCGTCTTGGAGCAGCGTATACCGACCATAATATTGAGCGAGTTTGAATATCTGGCTACGCCCGCCAAGTGATGTGGAAGAAATCGAAGATATAAGCTACACACAAATTTAATAAATTCATAAGGTAACAAAAAATGCCTTTTCGAGGTACATTTGAGAGTGTAATGATGGGATAGGATAGACGAAAAGAACAACAACAGTATGCACTCGGCTAACAAGATGAGAGGAGGTAGCTCGCAGTTGGACTCGATGTTTAGCTTATGTAATAACGGTGGGGGCATTGCGGCCCGTAAACTTTGGCAGTGCAGAGATTTCCAAGGCAATGTCAATCAAAGGTTTCAGCATGACACTGGCCTGGCCCAGCACATTGTCCTTTTCATAGGAATCGATATACAAGCTGTAAAGAGAATTAAAAATATTTAAATTTATGATAGACCTTTTAGTAAAAACTTGATACTCACCGCACAGTGGCGCCTGAGCTGCCAGTGCCGCTCAAGCGCATGACAATGCGGCTGCCATCATCGAAGACAATGCGCAGGCCCTGTTTTGTGGCCACTGATTTGTCCACGGGATCGGTGTAGCTGAAGTTGTCGGCCTCCTTAACTTTGTAGCTCTTGCCACCACTAGCGAATGTCTTGCCCACAAATCCGGCAGCTGTGATGCTCTTTTCCATGGTGGCCATCATTTCATTGCAGGGTTCCAAAGCGCACTCCTCGTAGTCGTAGCGTGTAAAATAATTGCGTCCGTAGACAGACCAATGCTGCTTCAATATGTCCTCAATGGATTTTCCTGTATGCTGCATTACTGAAATCCAAGCCAGCACCGCCCAAATGCCGTCTTTTTCGCGTATGTGATTGGACCCGGTGCCAAAGCTCTCCTCACCGCACAGGCAGAGGCGACCCGCATCCATTAAATTGCCAAAGTACTTCCAACCAGTGGGCACCTCGAACACCTCCTTGCCGAGCTTCTGGCCAACCAAGTCAACAGCAGATGCTGTCGGCATACTTCTGGCAAATCCTTGCACGCCATTCTTTTGAAAGTAGGGAATGGCCTCCAAGTAATGGGCAATTACTGCGAGTGAATCGCTGGGCGTGACAAAGAATGCCTTGCTGCCAATTATCATGTTTCGATCTCCATCACCATCAAAGGCAGCACCAATATCGTAATCTCCCTTGGCCACTGTTTCCACAAGATCCTTTGCATACGTTAGATTCGGATCGGGATGCAAGCCGCCAAAGTCGGGCAGTGGCGTGGTGTGCACTACCGAAGCCTCACTGGCGCCCAGACGATTCAGAAATATCTCACGTACATACGCGCCTGTCACCCCGTTCATGGAATCAATGCGCATCTTAAGCGGCTTGCCCGTTGCCTTGCCGCTGACAAAGTCACGGAGCTTGGCGAAATCAAAGATCTCCTCCATATGTCGCACGTAATTGGCAACAGAATCGATCACCTCCACCACAAAACTCTTGCCGGCCACATCGAAACTGCTCACACCCACCTTGCCAATATCAATTTGAAGTGTGGGGACCAGCTTGTATTGCTTGATGACCGTGGACAGTTGATGAATATTATTGGTGAAGGCATCGGGGGCAGGTCCACCATTCTCACAATTGAACTTGATACCGAAATCGTTTTCGGGACCGCCTGGGTTGTGCGAAGCAGTCAGCACAATGCCGCCTGTGAGAGCGAAGAGAACGAAAATGTTGCATTAATTAATTGACGATTTGTAAATGGTCTCTTTGACCTTGAGAGTCATCCAAGGCACAGCAGCACATTGAATTATTTTACGTGCTCAGAGCCTAATTAAGCTGACTGTTATCAGTTAATGCCGACAACTTACAACAATCAAAACAAAACAAGTTGTTTGTTAAATGCAATCGAGTGTAAATAATCATGTAATTAAGTGCTGCTTACCCAAAGCGTTATTGTGACGTATCAGACTGGATACGGCTGGTGTAGAGAGTATGCCATTTTGGCCCACTAGCAACTTGGACACCTGTAAAATATTGCATTAGCTCTCTTTCTTTACCTCTTCTTCAATATCAATAAAATTTCATCACTAAGAACTCACCCCGTTGGCCGCACAGATGCGAATGATGAGTTCCGCAGCCTCCTTGCAATAATAACGGCCATCACCACCCACTACTAGGGTGGAGCCGTTAAGAGCAGCACCATTGGCATCCAGAATACATTGCACAAAGTTTTCGGTATAGTTCTTTTGCGTAAAAACCTTAACCTATAGGCAACGCGGAAAAGTTTTGAAATGGGATTCTTGGCAGGAATGGGTAATTTATATTTTCTGTTATTTACCTTTTTGCGTAATCCGCTGGTGCCGGGTTTTTGACCCTCATAGGGTGTTGTTGTCACAGTTTCCACACTCAACGACATCGTCAGAACTCTTTCCAGCTACTGAGCAACTATTTCTGGGATGCGACTTGGCGGTAGCAGTGCTTAAAAGCGTTTGCGGCCGAAGAAAATTGTGTGTCAGGCACAACCAAGCAGTATTTTGCTGCTGCTCTTCGCCCACTGATAAGCCCACCCAACAATGCTGTTTGAGGCTCGGCGGCGTCGACACTGATAAGCGCTATCTCCATCGCGGGAGAACCCTTTCGCCTAATTTATGAGTGGAAGTGCGCTAATCGTACATATGTAGACACAACAGTAACTATTTATAAAGGAATTGTGATGAATTAACGTTCGCAAATGATACTAAACTATATTTGCTAATAAGCTTCTCTAGTGAACAAATGGAGCCCATCCCTTGAGTGTAGGGTGCGTATTTGTCCAATGTCATTCAAGGGCATTTGAGTATGCCGGTTCTAAAATGTTTTTAACGCGGCGCTCAGAAATTCCACCCAACTGGATTGCAGATGCTCCATTTTATGTTAATAGGCGACACAAAAACAAAAATTAATTAAAGCACACAAATAAACAATAAAAGTCAAACGTTGTGCATATTTTGTTTTGTTGACAGTCAGCTGTGGCGCCAGGCTGCCAACTTGGTGAATCATCGAGTATATTGGGCAAAGTATCGCCGACTACTTGTACTTGCACGAAGTTTGACAGCCGAAGTTTACACGTCACATCGTGCCAGCCACGAGAAAGCAAGAAACGCCGCCGTCAAGCGAATTGTATGGTGTTTAGTTTATTTACAATAGCCGCAAGGAATTAACGAAAATTAATGTAAGTTGTTTTAAATTAAACCATGTTATCATGAGCAAAAATTTGATGTATTTACTGGCCACATTTATGTTAAAATATTCCTTAAATTAGTTATTTATAGTGACGAGTCAAAATTAATACGTTGGCTTGGCCCTTCCACGTCAACAAAAAGAGAAAACTTAAAGTCGATTTACCTTTGCAATTTTCTTTCAGAATGTTCAAACAAATACTCGGCTTGTGCGCTTTATTTGCTGTCTTCAGTGTCTGCCTGTCCGACGATGATACCCGTGCCCGCCTTCTGGTGTCCAAACAGATACTCAACAAATACCTTGTAGAGAAGAGCGATCTTTTGGTGCGTTACACCATATATAATGTAGGCAACGGTGCGGCCACAAATGTTCAGCTGGTTGATCAGGGCTTCCATCCAGAGGCATTTGATGTGGTCGGAGGACAGCCTTCTGCCACAGTGGATCGCATTGCGCCACAGACAAACTTCACACATGTTGTGGTGGTCCGTCCCAAGGCCTTCGGTTATTTCAACTTCACCGCTGCAGAGGTGTCGTACAAGCCCGTAGAGGAAGCTGAGACGGTAAGACATTTTGCATTAAATAAATTGGTGTATTTCTTAACTCTAAACTTTACAGCTGCAATTGTCGATCAGCTCAGAGCCTGGAGAGGGTGGCATTGTTAACCTAAATGAGTACAACAAGCGCTTCTCCTCGCACTTCTTCGACTGGGTTGCATTCGCCATCATGACCCTGCCTTCATTGGCCATTCCCCTGGCGCTGTGGCACTCTTCGAAGAGCAAGTACGAACGTTACGGCAAGCACAAGAAACACTAAGGCCGGGTCTTTGTGTCTGTCGCATTGGATCAACATTATAAGAGATTTTCAGCCCACTATAATTCCGTACAACATTGTTGCTTCAAATTCCAATGGACTCCATGCGTTCATCCCTTCACACATTTTACATTATCGTACGAATATTTCCTCGATGAGCCAAGCAGAGCGTTAAATCGTTTTAGATTTATTTTAAAGACGCATTGAATAAATCCAAACGTTAAGCTATTTTTGTGTCATTAGACTGTTTTCTAAATAAATTAAATCAAATTAAATACATACTTTTTACTACTTGTACTTTAATAGCTACAAACTAATATCTAGGTAAGCAGATATTTGCGTCCAAATATTTCTGCTTTCTTTTCGAACATAGTGGACTTGATGGGCGTGTTTATCTTATAGAATGCGTTCATGGAATGCTTAATGTACGTATCGTACATTTCATTGAAGAAACTCTTGATACCTTCATCGTTTTTGTTGTCGTGTACAATGATGAAACGAATTTGGCTGGCGGTGATGAAAGCAGAGACAAACCACTGATTGAAGCGATCGATGGACTTTAGCTGCATGCTGGCTGTTTTCCATTTGTGCTCGTCCACTAGATCCAGGGCAGCATGCGCTATAAACTGGCTCAGGTGCCTATGGTCCTCCTTCTGTGTGGGCGTAACAATAAAAACAATACATAAAGTATATTTGCTTTGTTTGCGGTTGTTTGGCGTTACTTACGCGCATCTCCTTGTTTAAGGTAGTAAACTCCTTCTCAAATATGGGATTGTCGTTGTGCCCAACGATCACAAAGTAGTATGTCGTCATGATAAGCAATTTAAAGTAAAATAACTTTCCAAAGTTTACACAAAATGCGACTTCTTCCTTCTACATGTCAAACAGCTGATAGAAAAATAGGTGTTAACTAACACTGGCCTTCTTATCAGTGATTTCAACACTTTTTGCGCTTCACAGCTGAAGCTGACAGAGTAGTAAAAACGAGCCCGTCAACAAGATTGCAAGAGCGGTGGGCATTTTCCTGAAGTTTCGCAACTTTCAACCTAATAAAAAGCAATTAGTAGGCAGAGCTACATTGCGGTGCACTCTGATGTACCTGACACGCAAATTTGGAGCCAGTGGGCTCTAGCGCTTATATAATGGCCTTGACACTGTGTCGCAAATTTTTGGCCTGGCAAGTGCAAGGCCAACGAAGGCGGCTGCTTAGCACAGAACTGACAGCTGCACTGCGTCCATTCTACTTTGCCGTTCACCCGGATCTCTTTGGACAGTATCCGGAGCAGAGGCAGACTAACGAAGAGTCCTTGAAGATGCTCAGCGCACATCTGGAGTCACTTTATGAGCGCAACTATCGGAGCACCCAGGATGCCAAGGTGCTAAAGTTTTATGTGCGCGAGAGCGCCGAAGTCGAAAAACGTGACTCGTTCAAACTGGTTCAGATTCGCATGGATAGTCATGCGCGCGACGCAAAGTCATTTATACAGAATCTACTGGAGTTATGCAATCTCTCGACTGAGTACATAAAGACTGTGAAAACGGCGACGCACAGCAGGCCGCAGGAGCAGAGCATGGCCTACAAGCCTGGCCAGGATTACAACTATGATGTGGAGTTTGCGGAGTTCGAGTCGGAATTTCGTCACGTAGGCAATGTTTAAATGCGTGCTATAACAAAATGTCACTAATGCTCTTTATTCGCCACAGGAACGCGCTGAAAAGAAGCCTGATTTGGCCACTTGGGTGGCAGATAATGTAGAGAAGGCCAATCAACGCACCAAAGACACAGCGGAACTCAAAGCCGAAATTGATAAGCTGCAGGTGGAGTTGGTAAAAAAGCTGCAGTTGCGCGATGCGCGCTACGAATGCGGCTGGAATATTGAACACTACCGGGGGTGTCTGAAAACTCTGGAGCGTTTGGCCAACACGCACATGACTGATTTGGACGCGCTTCGCAATCGAATCGTTGTTTTCGCGCCCTTCACAGGAATCAGCCTGGAAGGGCATGTGATGCTGTTTACGGGCGATGTGCTCAACAATTGGATTGATTTTATCAAGAACATTCCAAAACACGATGCCTACCTCAAAGTGGTGCCCGTGTACGAGCAAACGCTTGCCCAAGTGTTGCGCGGCATTCAGATTGGGAGACGCAAATTTATGCCAAAACAACAGGCCAGCGGGTATGCTAATCATTTAATGAAGGTTACGACATCGCTGAACGATTATCTGGGCAAGCAGAAATATCCGAAAGCATGGCCCGAATCTCTGGGAGAGTTCACCATTGTGGTGGAATCGGAGGCGGGCCCCTTAATGGTCAGTCCAACGGGTCAATATATTACGCCAGCCACGTGTCCCGGCGCCATACTCGTCGATTTCATCACACAACACATGGAACTGGCACGTGAGCGCATGCGCAAATACGAAGCGGACAAACACATCGAGCAGCAGCTCATCGATGAGTGTATGAGTCAACTTAAGCTACAGGCATTAACCAAAGACGATGCTGTCACGCCAGATAAAATGATATCAGCCTTGAGTGAACTGCGCCAATGCCAGCCACAGTCGTTTGCGCACCTCAAACTTCATATAACCCACTACTATTCCGTGCTGACAGATGGTATTGTGTGCATACCATGGGACTTTATGAATAATAAATAGAGGACTATTAGCATTATTATTATTTTCTCATGTGCCTTACGAGCGTTTCCGGCTGTGAATCAGTGACCAGGAATAAACTCATGTCTTCTCATAGCAAAGTTTTATACTGACAAATGTTTTGTAAGTACACAAGTTGTTTTTATTTCTTTTGCTAAGTATAAATCGGTTTAAACCACGTCATTTTAAAAAAGGGCTTGGGTTTGAAAAATGGATTACTTATCCAAATTTCTAGCAGACCATTCCCCAAATTTTTTTTAGGAAAGTTCTCATAAGAAAACTATACTACATATACAAGTATATGTATGTATGATATTAGTGTACAATCGCGAATATATCATTTGATGATAAATCTACAAGTATAAATATAATGGACTCACTGAACAGAAATATAGTTTCATTGATCTGTTATCAAAGATGCTAAAAACAGAAAAATCACTTTTATGTGTGTTATGTATTGCTTTAATTGAAGTAACTTGAGAAGTTTTAGCGCTTCTTAAGTTAACCTCTTTTTCACATTTATTATTTATTTTGGAACCGTTTTCGACCTCTATGTTTATAGGTTTAATTCCATTTTAAATATTCTTAAATAAGTATTGATATTCAACAATAATCAGAGGTATTACGAGTCAAAGTCTAGTAAGTAGTCTTAAGTCGCCTCAGTGCAGTTTTCGACACGCCACACGCACTCCCTACGATAGAGATTAAAGTCTGCGGCTCGTCGTGTATAGACATGATGCTCCTCACCATCCCGGTGCAGGGGATTGCCACCACAGAGCACAGCACTGGATGTGCCGGCGTCGTATAGGGCGACACCTTCTTCCAAGTGGCGAACCTGCCACCAGTAAACGGCGTTGCGACTATAAACATTCTTGCTAATGCCAGTAGTGCTGTTGTAATCCGACGTCGTTGTCGTTGGTTCCCGGAATATGTAGCGATTGCGCCAATAGGAGCTATAGAAAGCGAACTGCAGAGTTCCGTTGGCGTTGTGTCCGCGTTGGACATAAAACGCGGCCTTCTTAGCATCCTGGGGATTGCTGCAGATGAGATATGTCTGGGGGCATTCGTAGATATAGGCATTGTCATCTGTAACATTGCGCAGACAGATCTTTTGGGCCGTGTAGAGTGTGCGCTCATCCAATGGCAATTGTTCATACAACTCCTGACGCACTGAAGTCTCCACATTGCGCTCGAATTCCGGCTGTTCTAGGAGCTCGCGCAGATTTCGTTGCACACTTAGACGGGCCGGTGGATCTTGTTGCAGCTCAGGACGATCTAAGAGCTGCAAATTGGCAAAACTGAGTTGCAGGATATTGGCGCTGTAGTTGCTGAGGCGGTTGGCCACACTCAGGGGCGGGTTGAGTGCCAACACAATCTCGTATAGGATGGCTAGAATGTCTCGCAGCATGTCCAGCGTGTTGAAACTCAAGCGTAGAAGCAGGGCGTTTACCAAAGGAAAATTTGCGGTCTGACTGTTGGTGTAAAAGGGCGTCGAAAGCAACTCTGCTCCACGCTCCAGAAATATTCCATAGACCTCCTCGAGTAGTCCTTTTGGTACCTGAGACTGTTGCTCCAGCTGCTCGTAGAACTCCAGGATCTTCACGGGATTATATATCTGCTTGCTCTGCCGTAGCTCCTGCCACAACGCCCTGTATATGGCCTGTTTTAGTTGGATGGTACGTGTTTGATTCACCAGCTGCAGCACGAACCTGCTGCGCTCCCAATCCCCGCTGATCTCGGCACGAATGATTGACTCCAGGCTGGGAGCGGGTGTGGTCAGTGCATTGTCATTGCCATTGCCACCACCACCACCACCGGCAACCACATGTTCCAGCAAACCCAAGTCCAAGTGAACCGAGAGATCTATGGAGCTGCCATTCAGTGTTTTGAATATTTGGCTTCTCTCCAGCACCAAGTCGTTGCTGTTTCCGCACACGGCGCTTAGCCATATAAATAGGTAGATTAGAACTACGCCTCTGTAAACCGCCATGATATCAACTGTTTGGCTGCCATCTTATCGCCAGTGCTTTTATACGGTGGCTGCGAAAAGTTATGCCGCTATTTGCACCCCGCCCAGATGTCGATCCTATTTGCATTTCAATCGGATATACCTACCAAGTATTTGCTCGGAGCTTTCGCTGTTGGCCTTTACGAGTAAAACTGCACCTGTGCGGGCAGAGGCTCCAGCGATAACAAGAGCAAATAAACTGAATTAAATTTCGTGCTAGATTGCAAAAATAAAAATAAAAAGAACAATCATAAAACTTGAACACAATGATGCGCAAAATAAAAAGCTGCCTCTACACGCTTCAACATTCTCTTGCGAATTCTATATTTGCCTACAAGTTCCCCGAATGGGCCTGCAAACAGTTCATCCAATAACGAAGAATAAGGTTCTCAAGATTCTTTTAACTAATGCAGATCTATCCATCTTTATCTTTCTTTCTATCTTCACATAATCCTTATGAAAGAAAACGTTTTAACTGAACTGAAGAAGCAAATCGGGTTATGAAATAATATTTCTTACGCAAATTGGTCTTATGATATCTATAACATTTCTAATTTTGATGAGGTTCCAAAAAAATACTTTTACGATAATAGTAATAATAATTATCAAATAAGTAATTACTCCTATGTCAGCTATGCTCTATGCGAGCATTGTAAGTATTAATACACATATAAATGAAGATACCACAAGTTCTTTTTTCCTAGTTGCAGTAGCTCAAAAGGGAGTTTATGAGTTCCCAATACACGGTCCCAAGTTCTAGAAGTAAAATAAGCTTTAAAAAAATATAAGTTATTGCTTAAACAATGCAATAGTTTAAATAAATGTTTAGCACTCTGTGAAATATTTATTATATATCTAACCCTTGGAAAACACTGAAAAATATTTCCTTTATTTAAATGTACACATGTCTGTCTGTCTGTCTGTCTGTCCGTCTGTCTGTATGAACGCAAATATCTAAAAAATTATAGGAGCTAAAATAACCACACTTGTTACACTCATTCTCCTAATTCCGAGGAAGCCCAAGATTGTCTATTTTCGCGATGCATCCGCCACTTCCCCGCTATTATCTTTTTTTAAATAGCTCCCGTAATTCTCTGAATTTCTTACTCAAGTTACTAAATTTTGCGGCAATTATATCCGGTTAGTGCATACACAAAGTATGCGTCGTCATGTTTATTTTAATTGTGTTAGATAAAGTGTAATGGAAATAAATGTAATCTCTGCCTCTGCTCTGGTAGCAGATGTTGTTCTACTGCACACACGCATTGAGTTGGGCCTGCCAGACAATTCTATCTTGGTGATAAATCTTTTTTATGGAAACGAAACCGATAAAAGGTTATTCACTTAATACTGGTATAACAAAATATGGGTATAATATTGGAATAACCAAAAAAATTGGTCAGTTCAATGATAATTGTTTTGTTGTATGATAATTTCTTTGATAAAATTGGGGGTTGTCGAGTAGAATCATGCTTCATGGGGTCTATCACACTCTCTGCGTATTGAAAGAATAAACTAAGAAGTTCGGTTCTAGCGAATTAAACTAGTATACCCTTGCACCCCTTGGGGACAGAGTATTTAAGGTTATCAGTAGATGACGATGATTAATTATTGTGCTTTGATGCACAAAATTGTACAATGTTTTAATGCATTAAGGTGGTTTTGTCATGTTAATGCTATAGTGGTCAGACGAGGCAAAATATTGTAGAGAGAGAAAAGTTATATCTTCCTTGAAGTCGGTAATGTATGATGTAGTGAGATTAGAGTTTATTGAGATGTCATTAAATGTTCTTGCTTAAGACTAGTATCACAAGATCGTGTAAGTTTATAAAATGCTAAGAGCATGTATATGAAATGCTATTAACACAGCTCGTGCTGGTGCTGGACATTTTCCTACTTAAGAATTAGCTAAGTAAATACTGGGCAGTGAGGGCAACTCCAGCCCACGAAAGTTGCTTTACAACTTGGTAGAGTTACGCGATTGCACCGATCGCCGCAGGATACTGGAACGTAGCTCGCCACGAGTCGAGGCATTCAAGGAAGCGCCGGTTTGGGTGCCACGCACGAATGCCTGCGAACGCACCTCTACATCTTCGCATTTTGGACGAATAGCTTCGTCGTCGTCGTCCACATGCTTGGCCAGGCAGGGAAAGTCCCAAATGCTCTGACCGCGTCCGAACTCCTCGCCATCGCTCAGAGTTTGCGGTAGATCGTGATGCAGAGTTTCGGGAAGGAGTAGCGACAGCAGACCTCCGAAAACGCCGAGCAGGCCAAGAATAATCAGAGGCAGTGAGGGTGATATGTTGGCCAAGTAGACCACAAAAGGCGCTATAATGCTGGCCACATAGCCCATGATGTGAATGAAGGCCACGCCCTGGGCGCGCACCACAGTGGGAAGAATCTCCGCCGCATACTGCAGTCCAATGTTGTAGGAGATATTGACAAAGAAGCGACCCATTATGGCCATGGAAGCTGAGTAAATACCCATAGGCACTACTGTGGCCAGCAGACTGAAGATGCCGCTGACCACCATGGAGCCGCAGGCCAACCAGCGACGTCCGAACCTGTCCAGGGTGAACGTAAGCAAAGTGTCCGCCGGAAACTCCGTAAAACAGGCGACCGTGAATGTGAAAAATATGTCCAGACCTAGTGAGCCGACGTTTCGCACATGACCATCAAATACCAGGGATATAGCCATCCAGATGACAATTAGCAGCAAGGTTGTGCGCCGCAATCGTGGGGACTTGAAGAGATCCAGCACCGAATAGCTGCCATTCTGTGATTCATTCTCGCGCATGCGCTGACAACTATCACTGAAGTTCTTGTAGGTCTGAGGGGGCACCTGCTTGCCGTTGCGTCGCTCCAGCTGCTTCAGGATGCCAATGGCTTTGTCCACCTTGCCCTGCGAGACGAGCCAGCGTGCCGACTCCGGCACAATCAAGGGGGTGAATACCACAAGCAACAAAGGGGCCGATGTAACAATGGCCAGCATTTTCCAATCGGCCAGGAAGTAAGCGATCCAGGGCAGCAGACAAGCGGCGCCAGTAAAGAATATGGCAATCGACATGTTGGCCACAAATGTGCGATACTTGGGACCCACATACTCGAGCACTGGAAAATGAGTTTTCATTATTGAACAACCCGCATCCATATTGGTAAAGAGTATTAAACTTACCCAAAATGTACATCATGGTGAAGCAATTATCGAAGGCGAAGCCCACAAAGAATCGCATCGCGGCAAACTCCCAGAAGTTCGAAACAAAGGCTGTGGCCACACCTGCAACCAAACCCACCAGATTGCAGGAGATCAGCGCCGGAATGCGTCCAAAACGATCAGCTATCCAACCAAAGAGCAAACCACCGACAATGGCGCCCAGAAAGAATATGGATTGGGCATAGGTGGGCAAAGCGGCATTGTCGCAAACCCAGTTTTGTTCCGTGGCCACTGTCGAGTAGGGAATCTCCGTGAAATTGTAGGACCAGCCATTGCGACACTTGACCTGCGGCCACTTGGTATCAGCCATCATCATGCCCTTGGCCAGCACTTCCGTATAATTCACATCGTACATATAGCAATTGTTGTACTCGCCATTAGCCATCGGTATGGAGAGGGCCAATCTGTGGATGAGAATAGGAGTTTCATTTCACACATTTGTTTGGTAAGCTGTGTCATTAACTCAAAGCATTCAGGGTCAGACGTGTCTGTTTCTGTGAGTCGAGTCGCCTTACTAGTTCTCGCATATAGCCATGACTTGGCCAATTCTGCACACGGTGGCTGTGGCAGTGGCAGTGGCACGTTGACGTTGACGTTTACGTAAACGTTGAGGCTGAAGTTGTTCAGCTTATGGCATAATTACTTGTATCTTGATCTTGACGGATTGAAGTCTACGCTATGACTACTCAAAGCATTAATGGGCATTTAAAGTTGCCTCAAAATACCTAAATGCGAGTTGAAATCATTTCGAATGAAATGATTAAATTATTAATTGCACTGCTAACCTCAACTGTTAATCAGATTATTGAATAACACTCAACTAAAAGCGGATTTGATGTTCACAATGCAGGTCTATTCCTGTTTTACTCAAAGCTGTTTGAAACAATTGCACGATGATTTACAAATTTTTATGAAATACCCAGTAAAGTCTCAACTAAACAAAAACTTGTGAGATGTTTTTTTGTTGAAAATAAATTAAATTCAAATAAGTGTAATCTGTTCGGCTTATGTTCTCTGTGTTCTCTAGGGAGACTATTAGTAGAGTCTAGTTGATCGCAAGGGAATAATTGATTAACAATTCGACCAACAATCAAACGAACTTAATCGATATTGTTGTAGTTTTTAAACGATTTGGAGAAGACATTTTACAGTTGATCTGTAACTTTTTTATTTGTTTCCGTACATCCACAGACTGGTTTGTGGATTTAATAGAAATAATGAAAATTGAAAATCAGGCAAATAATTCATATATCACTTTAATTTTTCAAATATTTTTAAAGAAAATATTTTGAAGCGTTCCATGACGGTGTAGAGTAGGAAAAGGAACGAATACAAGCATATTAACAAATTGCAACTCTATACTACTGTTTCTCCAGTTTTGAAATTAATTAATTTTATATCAGAAGCCGTATTCTGCATAGACATAATGAATTACACTTCACACATAATTTTTAAATATATATGTATATAGTATAGCAAAGCTTCAGATATGCCAAATATTAGACTGACAAATCTACATAAGCTTCGCTTAAGTGTTCATTCATTCACTCACTCATTGATTCATTCATTTGTGCTGTCAGTCATGCAACAACAACAAAAATTTACGTATTCGCCACACAACATTAGTCGCGCTGTCTATTGTTGTTGTTGTCGTTGTTGTTGTTGCTTCAGCACTGGCGGTTGTTATTTCATTTTTTTTTTTCATTTTGTTGTCGCAACATGGGTTGCTAATTATGCGCCCACCACCGCCTCTCCGTCAGTCGTGAGCTGGCAGCCGTCTTATCTAACTGCCACTGTTTAAATTTTCGCTCTGTTGCCGGCCATTCGACCGCCCCTCTTTCCACTCCATCACCGAACCACCCAACCACCGAACCACCCCACCACTCGCCTACTGCAATTAGATGCCCGGTCTGTAAGGTTCTTTGCCTTATTAAGCCGATTTAAACCAATCACGGCACAAGGTTAGTTGGCGTTCTAAGCCAACACTTAGACGGCTTAATTGCTTCGGCTAGAACACAAATTTAAACTTCAGCTCAGTGACTGAAGCTTAAATTCGAATTCAAATTGAACGCAAACACATTATATTCGATTTTTGGCTTACGGTCAAGAATTTGCGGGCCATGATTTAAACGCTATTTGTCTAGAATTGGTAGCAGGGAAAGCCAAGACCTATAACCGGTATTAGCCTGTCCAATTCAAGGCAATTTTATTGTTCGGCTTCATATTAATTGAGCGATAAATCGATCAATTACAGTTCACGTTGTGAAAGTTAACGGAACCGCATTGCTAAAATCAGGCATTATTGGGCAGCACGTTCTACACACAGCAATTTCCGGCTCGCTTAGCATTTGTCACAGCCTCTCCTCTACTCTACAGGTACACATATATTCATATGTACAAGTATATCTATAGATATAAGTCTGTGTATGTCCATATTTATTGAGTGGCATATGACGTATGCTCATAATTGATTTGTGCTTTCAAGCTACCGCATATCGATTTAAATGACATACATATGTACAAGTATGTATGTCTGTTGTAGAACATCTGTTTCTTTTGTTGTGTTTTGTAAGAGATATAGACTTGAATGGCGAATAATGTGGTCTTGTAAACGATTTACGACTTAATTCTTTGATCTTGGCGTGCGTGTGAAATATGTATATTGACTAATTATGTGCGAGAATGCTTCAAAAATGTTGATTTCCTATTATTAATCAAATGTTAAGCGTGTTGTGTTAAGAAGATTATTTAAAAGTTTAAATAGTGGTGCGAAGTTCCTGACTTTAAAGCTGCTTATTATTATTCGTCGCGACTAAGAATATCGGAAATTCTTTATAACGTCAACTCGTTGATTGTGAATATGCTCTATTTATACAAGTAGAATAGAATAGCAAAATAATGGAAGGAATTAAGGAAGGGATAGTCATCAAATTGTTATTATAAGAGCAGAGTTTTTGTTGCATTTTAAGAGCGCAAAATTATAAAAATACAAAATAATTATTGAGCTTCATGACATTTTCTTAGCTGTAACATTATTGATTCAAATTCCTTCAATTCTACTTATTTGAAAATAGTTTCCATAAACTCTCACTGTCATTAAAGGAAATATTAAATAACATAAAACCGGGCTAGAATTCCCAATCTTATAATTTTTAATCAATTTATGTTCATAATTATTTACAGAATTTCCAGCTACCTTAAATATTCCAAATATATCCACAAGAAGTGGCTTTTCTCTCTAGTTACTACATTGCTTTTTGAAAATCCTTGATTTTTCATTATTCAATTAACATGACTGTACTCTTTGTATTTGCTATTTGTTTCAAACGTGGCGTTAGAATGATGATGGGAAAATGGGGAAAAAAGAAAGAAAAAACGCCAGACCTATTACATTTGAATCTATCTCATTTTATCCCTTAAATTTTTAAGTATGTTTTGAGAGTGTGTATTATGGTATAAGCCTGTCTTTTTAAAATCATTGATATTTGGAGACTTCAAAAAAATTACTTCAATGTAAGATTTTGAGCTTCGCCAATATTCACAACGATCGCAAAATTTTTAGAACTAAACCATTGATGTGTTCTCTGAACATTTGAACTCGTAAATAGTGGAACCAACAAATATTAAACGAGAGCGATAATTAAAATTGTATTTTAAAATAACAACAATAGTTAATAAACGTTTCTTCTTATTTTAAACACTTAAGATTTATCTTTTTACCGATCCCACTCACAACGTGTATATTATTTTCACCTTTTTGTTTACTGTAGAATTTAAGGGCCATTGCATTCACGACTTTTCAAACAAATAAAAAAAGTTAACACCCACAGTGACCATATAGCTTTGAAACTTATGTAATCCTCCGGACACATGTTCGATTTTATATACCATATACGAGCACATTTGCTTTATTATACCGGTTTCAAATCAAGCATCTGGATTCTTTAGCTAGAATACAACTTTTACTAAAGGATCGAGATTAACCCACACAAATCAACACTATATGTCGCACTATTAAGACAAGAACATTTGAATATATGTACATACATACGAGTATAAGACACCACTCGACATCTTAATGATTCGATTATATGAGTTGCAAAGCGTCACAGCTGCAGGCAGTTTACATGACTAAGTTTTGCATTTAATTGCCGCCTGAATAAGAATTTACATATTCTTCAAATTTGCAAAACTTCACAGAGGTTAGTGTGGGGTTTTTCCCTCAACTCCATGGACTTCCCGAGACCATGACTCAGTGCGATTTCAACTCCACTTTCACATCGTTGCCTGTTTGGGCGGGGAACTCACCTTGCCTCGACGGGCAACGCTTCCAACTCGGGCACATGACACCAATGCTGCTCGGGAATTAGTGTCATGAAGATCTGCGAGAAGTAGACGAAGGCCACAAAGAACGAGAAGGGTATCATGCAGAGGAATAATATCTTTTGGTAGCTTCCAAATTCGCCAATCAGTGGCAAAATGTCATCAAAGTCGATGGTAGGCGTTGTGATGGGAGGAGCAACATCGCCTTTCTTGGACAGATCCAAGTGTAATCCGTGCGATGTGCCACCACTTTTGCGACGATGTAGATTATCTCCACCACCTCCTCCGCCTCCGCCACCCCCACCGACACCGACACCACCACCCGCACCAAGTTGCTGCTCTTCGTGGTTAAATGCTTCATTGACGAAGTATGCTTGTTTGGCCTGACCTTCCATGTTGTTGCTGTGGCTGTGTTGTAAGTGCTCTTGTTGTTGTATTCGTTGTTGTCGTTGTTTTTGTTGTTGCAGCTCTGACCTTGCCGTATGTGTGTCACTTTGTAGTGGCAAAAGAAATTCAATTGGTCTTGACGCGTTCGACTTCAAAGCGCATGCGCGCGCGAATTTACGAGTTTCAATTGCGTTCTTCAACTGACTGGAAACGCGCGTCCGCTTGTGTTTTTATATGAATGGCTGGCAATAGTTTTGGCACAAAGCCGAGCTTAGTTAGCAGAGGCACTTGTTGGCCAGAACAAGAATCGCGTCGAGCAGCGAAAGTTAAACAGCGACGTCGACGTGAGCCGAGAGGCGGCTCAGAATTCACACAGCTGGTAAACCGGTCCTAAGATCCAAGCCCCTAAGTATAAGCCCGTGCCAAAGCCGCTCACATGAGATAAGATCTGCCGGCTTTGGCGTTGTCGTAGCGTCGGCACTTTACCACCTGGCTTGGCTGCTCGATTTTATTTTATTTTATTTGATTTGATTTTTTTGCTCATTATATTTAACAGTTCAACTTGAACTGTGGTGCTGTGAACAACAATGCAGCTCGAGCCCAGCTGCTTGCTGGGCTTGTTTTCAGCTTCTTGGTATTAATAAACGCGAGCACAACGTTCACAGCATCTTCAGCTGAATCACGACAGAGAAAAAAACCACGAAATTGAGGAAATTTGCATAAAAGCAAACATTTGTTGTTGTCATAAGCACGTCACTAAAAATAAACGCACGCCACACCAAACTAAGGCAAAGCCATTCATAAATTGAATCCCAGCTGCCTGCCTAACTGCCTGCCGGCCATATAGCCGGGGATTAACCTCAAAGCGAACTCACAGCTAGAATGCCGCTCGCTAGCTACGTCACAGACAGACTTTAAACGTTCATACTTGTATATAGTTTGTATGTATTTTTTTGGCATTAGTCAGCAGACAACAGTGCTTGAGGAATATCCATAAATGTGACGTATTTTCTGTTCTCTGTTTTCTGTGAAGGAAATGGGTTCCTCATTCCTCTATCGAGCCAATAAACATGCAATAAAACGATTTGTTAATTGGTGTTTTGGTAACAGTAAAGTCGTTTTTGCATTATTTGGAGACGAAAAATATGCGAATTTCTGTGAATTCATTTAATTTGATTATAGTTTTTCAAATTGTGAGCATTTTAATTTATTTATTTCTGTCAACAAGGGCGACTGTAAATATTATAAATAAAAACTTATGAACAAAATTATGATCATTTCTAATTTTATTAGCTCTCTGGACAGCTAGAATTAAGAATTATGAGTATAGCAAGGGAAAAATTAAATAAAAGAAAAGACGTGGAAACAAAACAAATAAAAATAAACAAAATTTGTTAAATTTATTAAATTACCAGAAACTGCAAATAATTAATTGCATAGTTTCTGGCCCGTTATTAGCCAGCCTAGCGATCTAATTTTTATTTGGCTGGACATTTTTTGTAGAATTTTTTTCCGTACAAAACTGATTGCGTTAGCATAAACTGCTTGTCTATTACTTTATGTGATTAAAAATGTGGAAGAGTTTCAAACATTTGAAATTATGTTTTGAAAGAATTGTTTTGAAAGTAATAATATTATGTCATTCCTAAGTATTATTATTTTTATTTTTGTGAAGAACAAAATTATTCTACTCCAGAAATGTCAGAAATGTCTTATCATATTTTGCATTTGCATTAGTTTAAATTTTTTAAATTTTATTGCTTTCAGTAAATTGTTATGTTTAAATATTGGCTACATGTTTTATCTGCTTTGATCAACTTTTATTAAAACGGACGGTTCAGTGTTTATTATACTATAAAGAATCACAACCAATTAAATCATTATTTCCACATGGATTAATAAATTTATAAATTATTTACATATTACATACATGCCATTGTTCTCCCATTATAATAAGAAATATATTAAAAAAAATAATATATATATATAAAAAAAAGTTATATTTACATAGTATATGGCAACATGGCTAGATATAGGAATTAAATGCAATATAACGATGTATTAATGATGCATATTACTAAAGCGAAGAGAGAAGACCTCTCCGTCTCCTTGGCTACTGCCGTGTATAGAAGAAGGAAGTTTCCGAGACACAGATGGCCACAAGAGATCTATCCCCAACTATAGTATAAAATAAAAGTTCGATCTACATATACTCGGACAGCTAAGCGGTGCTTAAAGTACTTGATTTCCATTTGGATAGCTCCAGCCTCATCACCGACTGCCGTAGATTTTTTAAAGAGCAAGTCAGTGCCAACCTTATATGGGAACATGCACAGCGGAAGACTGGGTTGCAAAAACAAAGGGTATTTTATAAGTGGGAAAGCCATCTTAACCCACAAATATATATATTCTTGATCAGTATACAAAATAAGTCAATATTACCACGTACGTTTTGAGTGCAATAATTTCGGATAATATAAGACCTAGAATAGCCAGACTTGGAAAATAGGTTTCGCGAAATCCGAGAAATGACAAAATTGTGTTTTTTTTCGAGACATTGGCATTTCATTCTTTTTTGTTTCTAACTTGCAATCATTTAAATTGTGTCTAAAAGGTTGTATTAAATATGTAGAAGCACTTGTGTTTAATTGAGTTGGTGATCTACGAGTATAACTTTCATAAAATAAACTCTTTTTTTTTTCTATTTGCATAGTAAAAAGTATTTACTTAGTTTAGTTACACCTAAACGCTTGAGTTTATTTTAAACATAATATGTATATTACATATAAGTGCGAAAGTTGTTTTCGCTAAGAATCCAGTTTCGTACGGCTTGTGCATTTTTGTATTTAATTTAATAATTCTCGCTTTAGTTGAAGATATAATACGTTGGCTGGCATTTATGTCTAGTCGTTTAGTTCGCTACGCATTTAATGTTTTAATTAGCACCGGTTGGCGAAATTTCAAGGATTTTGGCATTTGTACACGCTAGCTGTTGAGTTCAAAGCACCCCCTCTGTGTTTCTTGATCTCGACAGCTTCTCAATAGATCTCCAAGTAGATAGCGTTAAATGCCTAATTTGATTTTGTTGACTTTGTTTGAGCGCATGTTTGAACTGTAGCAGGTGTCAATTATATTTTTAGAAAGCCAGAAAAACAAAAACAGCCTTTTTAAGTATTTCACCATATTCTGTAATGTGACGCGCCAATTAGAGTTTATTTAGTCGGCGATGATTGGGACACTAGTTGATTACATTAAGATATTAGAATCTTTGCAAACTCTAACTCTAACTTACGTATGTTCGTCTGTCCATTTGTCCGTCTGTATGAACATCGATAACCTTTGAGCCACACCAGCCAGAGACATGTCTGATCTATATGAAGAGCAAGTTTATTATAAACCGTATATAGGTTCAGTTTTTTTATATAGGAGCCGACCGATCGACTTATTTATAAATCGTGACTGAACTTAATATTTATATAAAAAGGTTTATAATGTCTCACTCTATATACTATATTTTTATAATAAACATAGGAGGAATCGGTGCAAAAAGTCCGGACGAACAAGTTTTTGGGGTATCAGGCTAATTAAATGGGTCGAGCTAATGCGGAGAGTGTAGCGTATACAACAATCTGTACTCTACCCTCTTTAGCCTCTTCGTACCGTACTTAAATGACCAGCCTGGTTGTACCTTCTATTATTTCTATATGTGTTTTTTTAATTAACCTTCAATTTAACAAACAAACATTGTATTATTAAGTGCGTTTCCGTTTTAATTCTTGTTTCGCATTATTTTGCAGTTTTGCTGTACACATTTTCTATACGTTTTTGCATAGCATTATGTATTCGTTAAATTATAATGATTGGAAAAGTTGTTTGGCACATTTTGCAAAATAAACAAAGCTAGTTACTCGTACATATGTTATTAACTGGGGAAGTAAGATGATTAAGACAGGGGCTTTCAAGTGGAAATAATTATATTGTCTAAGCCAGTAATTTTGTTGTAAATAATGCTCGTCTACTGAAAGATAAACCTTTCTGAGAAGACTTAGGTGCAACTGCTCGCGGAACTTTGACTTATCTATTAATTTATGATGTTAAATATGCAATCTAAATATATTTTTTCCATTCTGCGCAATTCTTATCTGCGGTATTTAGTTAAAAGCTCAGGTTATCTATGTGCGTGTATAAATATGCAGAGATACAAAAATTTTTGTGGTTATGTTAGAAGTATAATTATATAATAAAAAACTCCTAATATTGAAAGCATATGGTGTTTGCTAATCAAACAATTTAACAACAAACAGTTTAATCCACACCTTTGTCATAACTTCATATAAAGTTTGAATGTTAATTAAAACTTCTTAGCTTTTATGTTAGAGTAGTTAATATAGTATGTTTTCATTCAGATTTTCTAGCACTTGTACTTCGCACAATCTGTAGCACCTTGAAAACTGGTAACTTTCCACACATTTTGCCAAGTTAATAAACAAATCACAACCTCTCCCTTATTACCAATTCCTGTCACATGGCTAAGACCTAACCATACTCATATATCTGTACATACCCCTGTGTTATATTTCTATTCAGTTAGATTTCAGTTCCAACCGCTTAACAGCAGATCAAAACTCGTAATTAATTTGTGAAATTAAGGAAAAAAATATGCGAAGTTATTTAGAAATATACGAATAAAAATGTTTTAGTGAGCAAAAAGATTAATTATAAAAAAATTAATAAAAACAAAGCTAGCCATTTGAAAAATGTAACAGGAACCTTAAGACTTTTATCAATGCAGTTTGAAATCTGAAGACGCGACAAATGAAAAAATAGTTCGTAGGCTCCTAACAACTCATAATTTACAAAGTTCCCCTAAAGGGGACTGAATGTCTAAAAAATATATGTTATGGTTGCTTTTTGCTTTCTAGGATAACATTTTTCTGTTGAATCTCGATGGCTCTAATGGGATTACACATGTTGGGCGAACATAAAGAAGGTTTTGAGGTTTCTCAAAAAAACAGCTTTTGGGAATACTATATAAGTACTCCTTGGAGAGAGTTCACGATTTAAATAGAGTGGAAATGAACAACCAATTGGTTTTCATATCATAATTTTCGATAGAAAATAAAACAATGTTTTAATTTCTTAAAGTCATTTTTCAATAGCAAATAACTAAGAAATGTATGTGGATCACCTTGTAGATCGTGTACTCATGTTCTAAAATATTGCGAAAAGATTGCCTATTTTAAACTGCTTTTGCAGAACTTATTAAAAAAAACGAAATCTAAGTAGTTATTGGGTATCATAATTAAGATATTTCTCATTTATTTCTCATTCAAATTGGTAGAAAATTTGTCAATGATTCTATTCAAAATAAATATGAAATATGTTTAGTTATTTATTCATTATGCCTGAACATTTTGTGCTTTGAGTAAATAATAGTTATTTAAAATATGTAAACAAGTATAATTTAATATTCCTACAATTCTTAGATGATTAGCGATATCACAACTACCTACCGATAACAAGTTTACATTCGAAATAAATATAGTTATATTTTAACAACAAAAAACATTTATGAATTAGATTAAGTACAGGAATATTTATAATGAAATTAGGTATTAGGAAGTATTCGAATATTCTGGAATATTCAAAGGATACTAGAAAATTGTGTTTGAGAGGTTAAGAAGAAGTAATATTATTTTTACATCCTCGAAACTTTATGAATCTAATGTTTAATTAGGTTTCTAAAAAGGCAACGAAATCAGACATATAAGTAGTATATAGGACCCTATCGATATGGACAAAATGTGCAGATAGCTTAATGACTTCACCTACGTAATGAAATGGTAATGAAATCGTAATTGCTAGACTAATTATAGCCCCTGGGCTCTTGTAGATTATGCTTGATGTAGAAGCCCAGAGCTTGGCGTGTGCCGCATGCATCTGAGCGATAAGCAATAGACGAAAATGGTATCGCTCAATATCAAATTTATTACATTTGCATGACCCGCAACTTGTACTTGGCACCGATTTGCAAGAGATATAGATGGCGTTATCTACGTTTTGCTATTATCACTTATCAATAGCATGATTAACAGTGATTTATACGTATGTTCCTGGCTATGAATGGCTTTCAGCAGGTAGCCATGATATATAGCTCTGGCTAGCCTTCGAGTGAGCTATAAAAGTGGAACCACCAAGCCAATAAGCTCCAGTTTTATTCGCCATGAAGTTCGTCTGCGTCTTGTTAGTTTTGGGTGTCGCTATCGCGAGTGCTACCAACGTCGATTGGGAGTCGGTGAAACCCCGTCATGTAGAGCCCAATATTCCAATGCCGCGACGCGCTGTGCCCGGTGGACGTATTACCAGCGGCACCACTGCCGGCCGCAATCAGTTCCCCTATCAGGTGGGTCTACTCCTCTATTTCGAGGGCGGAGCTGGCTGGTGCGGTGGCACTGTGATCAGCGATCGTTGGATTGTTACTGCTGCCCATTGCACAGATGGTCTGAGCACCGGTGTGGATGTCTATCTGGGTGCCTGGGATCGTACCAACAAGGCCGAAGTGGGTCAACAGATCATCTTTGTGGAGAAGAAGAATGTGATTGTCCATGAGACCTACAATGCCAATACCATTACGGATGATATTTCGTTGATCAAGCTGCCCGTGCCCATTGAGTTCAATGGTAAATAGTGAATGTTTTGGTCCTTGAAAATCTCTCACTTATGCCTTACTGATTCCGTATGCTCTTAGAATACATTCAGCCCGCTAAGCTGCCCGTCAAGTCCCTCACCTACAGTACCTATGTCGGTGAAACCACCATTGCCTCCGGCTGGGGCAAGACTTCTGACAGTAAGTAATTGGCTTACTTGTGTTATTTTTCTGGGCAAGTCTTTAATTCTGGGAATTGTTACTTAAAGGTGCCACCGGCGCCACCGACATCCTGCAATACATTGAGGTGCCAATTATGACCAACTCGGGCTGCAACACTTGGTTCTTGGGCTCGGTTCAGTCCACAAACATCTGCATTAAGACTACTGGTGGCACTTCCACCTGCAACGGTGACTCTGGCGGTCCCTTGGTCCTGGCCGATGGCAGCAACACCTTGATTGGCGCCACCTCGTTTGGTATTGCTCTCGGCTGTGAAGTGGGCTGGCCTGGCGTATTCACCCGCATCACCTCCTACCTGGACTGGATTGAGAAAAACTCTGGAGTGGTGAACAACGGCGTGTAAATAAACCACTTCAAAATATGCTTATAAAATAGTTGTTTTCTGTATATTTTATACACGGCAATATAACTACAAAAAATAAAATTCATACTCCGACTTGGGTCTGTTATAGTGTGGGCGTTCCTGTTGACTGTCGTCCTCGTCAGTTTCATCATCATCCTGATTACCATAATTATTGCCACGATGCCTCACATCCAACTCATCGGGCCTATCATCGATTTGGTCGGCCTGCTGCTCCAGTTTTCGATGATGCCTCTGCTTGCTGTAGTTCTTGATGTACTGATCGAGAAAGATGGCCTCCGTGGTGTCCTGATGCGAATGCACGCCCGTCTCGTCGCTAATCCAATCCAGATACGAAGCCACCTTCGTGAAAGCAGCCGGATAGCCGCGATCGCAGCCATAGATGCTGCCAAACGAGGTGACCCCGACGAGCACGCGTTTCTTCGAATGCCGTCGCTGGAGCACCAGAGGTCCACCCGAGTCCCCATTGCATGTTGATCTCGCATTGCGACCGCTGGTGCAAATATTGGTGCCCCGGTAAGAGAGCGGAAAATTGCGCTTACAGGTGCGGCCATCGATTATCTGTAGCTGAACATAACGCAGTACATTGCTAATGGCATGCACACCCGTCGAATAACGGCCCCAACCCGAGGCAATGGCCAATTTGTTCTTGAAATTTCGATACTCGTAATGCCTTTTGGGCAGCTGTATGGGATGTATGCGCTCTGAAAGTAAAAATTGAACAAAATTCAACGAGCATCTTTAGAACATAATTAAGAAACCAAAATGCAAATAGGTCTTGTTGAACTGAATTGAACGGAATCTCCAGACAGTACTTTTTGAACATATATCGTCCTTAAGAGGAGTATATGACTGGCAAATGTCTTGAAGAGATTAATTTTCCTTGCTTTTTGGGTAAATTTTTTGTTAAACTTTGTTTAATTAAATCAAGAGAAAATAGTACAGCCGGGGGAATAGTTTCGCCAATAATTGGTCTTATGATGGATCGATTCTTGGTAAAATATAAAACAAATATTACCTCTAAACTTTATATGAAAGTTAGTTTATTTAGCTTTGGAATTATGGACAGTATTAACGAAAAATAAAAAGTAAATAAATAAATAAATTGTGTTGCCAAGGCACACACCAAGTTTAATCAATGTGGACTCAGCTGAGTCCGAAATCCAGACATTCAAACAGTCTAGATCGATTCTTTTTATCATACTGATAAAAAATATAGATATAGTATATTTTATGGGGTTGCAATTGCTTCCTTCTGCCTGTTACATAAGTACTTTTCGCCAACCTAATATGTCCTTTTTAACATTTAAATGCAGGGTATAAAAATTGGTAAAAAACATTTCTTAAATTGGATTAATCTAGAATTGTGAGATTTTTAGAGGGATCGTTAACTGATCAAAAATTTATCTTTATAGTAATTTGGACACTTCGTTTTCAGATTTCTGGCCTAAAGGTTGGTTGAAATTTTAACGTCCTCTTTAAATGAGTTTTATAGTACATAATATTTAAGATATTTGCTACAAATTTTAATCTTAAATTCAAAAACATTTTCCTTTAGTTAAATATGTTTTTAAAATTTGTTATCATTTATTTAGGTAATTCAAATTTGCAAGCAACTAGATTAAAAATTGTTCGCATTGTTCAGTAAATCTGAATATTTATTAGGAACGGTTAGAAGTTAACCTATAAAGTTCACAATTTTGCTTCTACCCTTATATTTTCGAGCTATATTTAACTTATAAAATCTGGAAGTGACTGAGTCACTCTTATTTTTAAAAATCTTAGTAAGAGTGGAAGCGAATGTTTTCGATTGAACTTCAATCATGAATCATGATCTGAATACAAACTCTATGTGTTGTGTTTAATTCTAGTAATTGAAAAATCGCCCAGCATGTCTGTAATTGTTTAGAATATTATTGATTGTTATAAATTGTAAGACTTTAAAAATATTTAATTTTAAAAAACCGTTTACAAATCTATTTAGCCTTCTTTGAAAATCAGAAATTTTGGAGTATTTAATTTAAAAATTGATTATAAGTTTGACGCACAAGCTTCTGCGCCCCCATATAGAGTTTCGATTATGCTTACCATTAAAACTGACCGCATGTGGCAGACGTACCAAGGCAATGTCATCTTTCAGTCGTTTGGGATTCCATGTGGGGTAGATTTGAAAATTGGTGCTGGGGACCATCATGCGCACTTGACCCTTTTCCTTGGCATTCTTGATTTCGTTGGCGCCCAGGAAGACGAGGGCACGTTTCGCCCTGCAAAAGAAAGTCAGTAATCATGGGATAGTCCGGCATAAATCCTGTATCGCTACGCACATATCCACACAATGCGCCGCCGTCAGCACATACTGGTCCGATATCAATGAGCCGCCGCACCAGTATAAGCCCTTGGGTCTTTGCAGCAACATGCCCACTTGATAGGGAAAGCAATGGGGATTACCCACATTGCCGCCAAATATGCGATCCATGGCCATGGCACCCTCAGGGAGCATGCTATCCAGTAGCGGTGTTGTCTCCAGATTCAAGACCAAGGGTTCCGGTTCGGCGCGATCATCATCATCATCATCATGGACATGAGCATGAGCATCAATGGCCTTCTGTCTGCGTCCATTCGTAGTGCTGGCACTCATTTCCGTATCGTGCTCCGTAGATGAGGAGAGCGAGGAGTGCGGAGAGTGTGTCTGCATGTTAAATGGTGCCGGATACATGGACACCAAATACATGGGCTTCACCCCTTGCCAGTTTATGGCAGCTGCGAAGCCATGCAGCAGCAGCAGCAACAGCAGAGCAGTGCTCACCGGCAGCGGGAGACGCGGCCTTGTCAATGTGGCAATAAATGAAGCACTTGCAGTCGATTGTATAAACATTTGGGTTGATTTATTGTTGCTGTTGTTGGATCAGGCATTTAATTTTGAATTAAACTTAATTTGGTTACAATAGGAACGCGCGCGCACTCCTTCCTTTTTTAATTAGCGGACGACAGACAAGGCGCTCACTTGGTCACTTTTGTTTCCCCGTTTCGCGTTTTACTTCGTTTTCTTTCTTCGTTTGTTGTAATTTTTGAAAAGCCGTTATAGGCAAACAACGTTCGACCCGTTCGTCATTAAACTGGACACTTAGGCGCGCGCGCGTAATTTCTTCACTTTCCTTGCATCACTTTTCCGTTATTGTGGTTGTCGTTGCTAACTCTAACGTTGTCGCTGTCGCTGATTTTGTTGGTTGCTGCTGCTTCTGGTGTTGGGCCACCATGGACTCTTACACTTGCGCGTCTCACTTACAACTGTGCGGCGGCGCGCATGTTGCAAGCATTTTTATAAACTTTTGCCACATTTTTTCCTCACTTTAACTTTAATTATGTACGAATAGAGTATGAACGTACATACATACATATGTACATCTCACAAAATTATGTGGTTGTTTGATTTTTCTGCATTCAATTTTTTTTTTGTGTTTTTTTTGCCTTAACGTTTCGTTCAATTGCCACTGCAATCTCAATTGCCTTTGCCTGTCAATTTGCATGTGCTTGCGCTCCCAACGACTCTCTCTCTCTCTCTCTCGCTCTTAAAGACACCCACACATTCAGCTTTACAGTTACGCTTGTGCTTTTTAACGGCTTGGAGGGCCATCGGACTCTCACGCACTACCACGCACAATTCATTCACTCAGTCGCAGACGCAGTCATGACCTTTGGGGTGCATTTCTCCACATAGAGCTGAAAGCGGAATTATGTTCGGCTGCTTAGTACGCAATATTTAAATGAGCACATTTAATAGTACTATATGTATAATAAAATCTACTATATATTCTTCAGAATTTGCTTTACTACGTTTGTTATAAAAGTCATTATTTTATATGCAGTTATCATAAGTTGAGCTGCATTTGTTCAGTATTGAAATAATGATATGAATAATATTTGATAATTTGAGAATATGTATATTGAATTAGCAAATCTATTTTTATTTATCTGTTTTTTCTAATATTTTCAAGTCTTTCTTAAATATTGAAGAAGAACTATTCATAAAATAAACGTTTCTTCAAAGGTCAGTCAGCTTTTGGTAAATAAGTGTGCAAATATTTTCCAAAATAAATCAATTTGGGTATTGTTTTTAACCTTTATTTGTGCTGATAAGAAAAATATGATTTATATATGTCAATTAATCATTTAAGACTCATTTTTATTCGAATGCAACTTTAACGAAATATGTGTGCATGAAAAAAAAAATCAAGTTATCAGCCAGTTTGATCGAACAAAGCTCAATTCACGCCTTCACTCCAATCTTGATGAGCTACTGAGTAATTTGTTTGCACAGATTTGTTCAGTTTAGTTCAGTTCCACTCTCTATCTGCACGCTCCCTAATGCCGGTCGGCATAACCATAACCCGCCGCAATAAATTTAAACAACATTGTTTCGCGCGTTTGTTGTTGTTTTTGCTATTTTTCTTTGCATTTTTTACATACTACGAGTATATCTGCGCGTATGTAATGTAGGTAAAGTAAGTAAAGTTGTGGCTCTCGTTACTTATCTCAGCTACATTCATACCTATATATGTACATATTTGGCGCTATTACATCACCAGCTGGTGTCTCGTGTGTTTGTGTGTGTGTTTGTGTGGTTTTGCTCTCTTTAGCTCTGTGAAATGCACAGCATGCGGAGCTGTGAGTAAAATGCTTTCATTGAGAAAAAATTGCAGCTAACTGGCGTGGTAAGTGAAATAAAACACCATTACACATTTACACTCTGTCTTGTGCCTCTGCCTGCAAATGCCGTTGCAAATGAACGCACAGTGGAGCGGTAACTAAATAAAATCAGGCTAAATCAAATTTACATACGTATACATAATGCAAAATCTAAAAAAGGACCATAATAAGATACAAAAATGATTGTAAATAATTTAATTTTAGGATTTAATTGTATTTATATTGTAAGCCAACTTGGCGAATAAAAATCGAATTTTCCCCCGTCTGGCGGACACGTCCCCATAACAGAACCTAGCTCTATATCTCAAAATATGAATGAGCAGTCGTTGCAATATTTGCACAAATTGTACATATAAACTCTCTTATTATTATTTCAATCCAAAAAAAGTAATCACAACTTTAGCCCAACAGTTTTGTTTTGTCTTAATTAAAACACTTTTAAATGGCATGCAAATCCTAATAGGATATTAAAATACTGGTAATGCAGTTTTTTAGAGATTATTATGCAGAATTCCAAGCTTATACTCAGAGCTATTTATTTGAAAACAAAATGTTTTTACCTAAAGATTTATTATTAATGCAAAAGAATAAGAGATAACAACTCAGACAATTCTTATAAAAAAAGAAAAGAAAATGATTGGGATCAAATTTTTAACTGTTTTCTGGATTTTTTTATTAGGAGTGCTGAGATCACTTGTTGTTTGTGTGATACGAATTGACTGCTGATCTAACATATGTACAAGTATGTATGCACGTATTTTCGGGCCCACAGTGCAATACTCTTTAGACCTGGTACGGGCTGTAAGCAATGGGCAACATCTTCATCATGAAATGCCAACGGCTTTGTTGCCAGTTGTTATTGTTGTTGTTGGGCATTGTGCTGTCAAAGCTTCAAGGTTATTGCCGGCAATACCTGACAACGAGAGCAGCAATGCGGCAGCCAATAATTGTTGGTGGGCGGGCGTGTTGCACGTTGATGTCATTATTCAAATTTCGCAGTAATTGTTGTTGCTACTTTTGATTGCATGTTGCGCCAATTGGGAATGTGTGCAGAATTTTTAACCGGAAATAAACCGCAAATGCATTGTTTTGCATTTGTTTTCTATTATTTCGCGCCCCCTACCAACTTGTTGAATGCATTTATAATTATTATTTTATAATTAAATTAATTCGTGCAAGTTGAATTTAATGTTACCATGGTGTCGAAAGTATTTCTTGTTGCTTGCACTTTTCGATTTAGGAAATTGGTTTTTTACTTTTTTTTTATTTTTCTGCTAAAAAGTTTTTCGGACTAGCGAAGCAAATAAATCGAATCGTCTCGACGAATGCGCGCAGTTGGTGATATGTTCGAATATAATGGCGGGGTTACAAACACACAAACACACACACACATGCACAGTAATATACATGCAACAATAACAACAATAGTCGCTGGCGATTATGCAAATTTATACATTTTTACCATTTTCTTGCATTTGCGACTGACGCTAGCACTTGTTGGAGTTGTTGTTGTCGTTAGTGTTTTTGTTGTTGTTGGTGCTGCTGCTAACATGCATTTTTTCTTTCGCTGCAATTTGATGGCGTGCGTCGATATTTAATGCATAATAGAAAATTATGATTATGATCAGAGCTCATGCTCACTTTTGTTTTATTGCACTTGTTAATATTTATGCCGTTACTTAATTTAGCACCACTCTCGCACCCAGTATTTATTCACCATATCCATTAACTATTTTCCATTTTCTGTTAGCCGTTTTTCTTTCGCCTCTCATTGTTAGCTTATTGTTGTTATTGGTATTGGCGTTTTGGTGCTCTGTTACGCATTTGTGCGTTTTCCAATGTTTTATTTATTTTTTTGATTGTTTTTGTTGTTGATTTTTTTTTTCATCACCCACCTACAAAACTTCGTGCACTCGTATTCGAGTTTTATTTAGCGGAATTGTTTTACCAATTAACACAATATGCTTTATTTCTGAGTTCCTGCTGTGAGTAGAGTAGGAGTTGCGGGAAATATTTATAGCGCAGGAACTTTCTGCAGAAGGCGTGGCAATCTCCACAAAATATAAATAATTCATATATTCAAGTAAACGTGTACAAGGGCGTAGGCAGGGGGAGGGGGGAGGGGGGCAAGGGGGCCGTTCATTATTATGACGCACTATTTCGCCTTAAAATGGATCTGAGTTGGATTTGTTGAAGTTTTTTGTTATTTTTATTTTTATTATAGCATGATCATTTAAATGCGTCGTGCATTATTTAATCAAAATTTTAATTTTTTTGATTTCATTCTTGATTCTTTAAATATATGAATACGACTTTTTTTATGCAATGCGGGACAGCCGTTAATCCTTTATAATCCAGTTGTTGGTCTGCCTCCAACACCAAAACAGTCGGTGGCATCCCATACTATTATTTGAGTACGAAAACATGTTTGTCTGTGAAAATCTGTTAAGCAAAGATAGTATTTATGAGTTTATCATGGTGTTCCTATAGCTGTCATAGCAATGATCTGTGTAGAAAACAATCGTAGTACCAAAACCTTTTTTCTTGATTACAATGATTATTGTATCCAAAATTTATATGTATTATTTTTTATATGACTATATTATGTGGCTGCCATATGAAAGATTGCTACAAATAGCAAACAACATATAAGTAGTTTTTTGAGATACATACAATAATCAAATGGTGGTTTCAGGTAGGGGAAGATAAAAGCAGAATTTGCTATGCATAATGTCTTCTTCCTATAAATTCGAAGGGATAGATAACAATAGCATACGCAATCCAGAGTTTTACTCTCCTGTCTGGTGAACTGTGAAAGATCCCATCCGATCCCAATCATTAATTTGACTCTGAGAATCAGGGATCAGCTGTAAAGCTAAAGCGAACAACATCATGAACGAAATATTAGAAATTATAAATTTATTCCAAAAAGTATGTACTAATTTACGTGTCAAACGTGTCTGGCCTAAAATAGTTATTTAAGCTATTTAGACTTTTAGGTCGAAGACTTTGGGAGTGTTGTTTATGTATGGAATAAAGTATTTAGGCGTTTTATTTGATTTTAGATGCAAAGTTCAAAAAGCCTAAAAAGGACTACACACTAATACTTTAAAGATATGTATATGGCACATTAGCAAATCTTACATTATATCATTTGTGAGCTGCATTCTGCCTTTTTGCCTCTTCAAGGTTTTTTTTTTTCGGATATTTGTATATATATATACGTAACAAGGGCGTACGCAGGGGGGCAGGGGGGTGCCGTTGCCCCCCCCTAGAAAAAATTTTTCTATATAAAGTCGACCACACGTTCATTATTATGATGCACTATTACGCCTTAAGATGGATCTGCGTTGGATTTGTTGAAGTTTTTTCATCGATCATATGCAAAAATTATTTTTTAAATGCTTCGGGCATTATTTAATCAATATTTTAAAATTTGTCCTCTTATATCCTCTTGGTAGTTATGTCCGAGCGATCTTAGTATTCCTTCATCCTTTTTGCTTATTTCTGTCTTCGCCCTCTCAATAAAGTGGTCACAATGTTTGTTTTCTGCTCTGTTTTCTTCCTGCATTCAGCGGCATCAAGCATTGCTTATAATCCATAGCCTCGTCCGAGCTCAGAACTATAAATTCGCAAAGTGTGTAAAATAAATCATCCTTTGCTAAACACTGGATGAATTTTTTCACATCCGTCTCAGACCTGGTAAGACGAGTCAATATATCTCTGTCCGCCTGCCTGTCCGTTTTCCGTCTGTTTGAACGAAAGGATTTCAGAAGGTACAAGAGCTAGAATTACCAAACTTGTTTTTGAGTCTGAGTGTTGGAATATTAGGGCTCATATCTCATTTGAGTTGGAGGTTTTATACCAACAGTGAAAGCAACGCCAATAGGTAATTTTCCGGGATTTTAATATGGCTTGTTGACTGCTGGGGCACTAGGTAGGTGCGTAATACAATCGCCCTGTTTATTTCGCTGGGTTATCTGCTAGCTCATTTCCTTCTATGTGTCCTGTGTGTCCTGAAATCTTGCTATGATCTTGTGTGTAGCAGTGTTGGATCGCCAAGTATATTGTATGGGTTATAGAAGTTGTGTATAGGCTACTCCTAGTTAGGCGACAGTCGGCAGCTGTATGCAGTTTCCGACTTTGTGGCCAAAATATTATTATGGGTGTCTGATAAGCAGATTATCGACTCCAATCGAAAAAACGTCGGTGGTTGAGAAGTCGAAAGAAAAGCAAAAGGTTATTTGACCTCATAATTACGCTGTTTTTACACATGTACACAATCATATTCCGATTTGGTTTATTATCAGTAATACATAGAGATATCTCATGAGAGCAATGTAATCTAGGTTCTAAGCTAAATTTATTTAGTGTAGAGTTGTTGTTGTTTAAAACATATATTACTTGCGCTCCATTTATAAATATGCTAATTTGGTAATAATTTATCAGTGTTACATATACATAGATAGATAAATATCTTATAACATTAATATGGATATACGTTCTAGGTTCCTATTTAAATAAGTATGATTTAGAGTTGGTGTTTTAAACATTACTTGCTATTTACATACATTACTTTTGATGTGGCAGTATTCAAGCGATAAATGGGTTCAATGGAATGCTCGAAAGACAGAAAGTTAACTATTGCTACATTTATTACCATTACATTCGAACTCGAGCAATTTCACAACGATATATTCAGTACACGAAATGTGCCCGTGAGAATTTGACGTGGCCGAAGTGGCTTCCAACTATGATCCAATTGTTGCATAATGTATGTGCTTGTGTGTGTGTGTTTGATGGTGTTGGGATTCAGTCTCTCGAGCGTTCGACGCTCTATTCGAACGCCGGTGTCTGCATTGTTGCTGCCTCAGCCAATGCCGGCAGCTGCATATCATCCATGGTTGCTGGAAAAGATTTAGCTAAAGTCGCTGCCCCGCCGCTTCCCCTTCCGTGGCCATTCGCAATGATTTCGGATTCCGCCTCTTCGCCCTCGAGCATGGCACTGTCAAAGCTTTTGTTGAGACGATCGTGGAACTCGGACATGGAGATTTTCTTAAGTGCGAATCGTTTGCCAAATGCCTTCTTCACCTTCTGTCGGCGCTTCTTCACTAGCGCTTTGTTCTTGTTCAGGCCATCGCTAAAGGAAATGGCGCGACGCAGTTTGCGGGCGCCAAATGTTACGAGACGGACTTGGCTGCTGATGCCACATTCCTCGCTGTCGTCCTCGGCGTCGGCTGCATTCTCGTCACTTGGCTCCTCGAAGATCGTCTCCAGATTAGTGGGCGTGAGCTTCTTCATGCGCTTGTTCGTGTAGAGCTTCTCGATGCTCTTCAGGGTCTGTGCATTGGTGGATAGAGTCTCCTTACGTTTTTTCTTATTCGGCTTCATAATGATGCTACTGACGCGATTGAAGGCGTCCTTTGAGGCGCGCGACGGCATGCGGCGACGTGCAACGCCGCTGCGACGTCCGCTTAAGGAGCTCATGTGACTGCCACAGCTGCTGTGGCTGTCGCTGCTCTCCTCGTCACAGCTCAACTGCGCATCTGTCTCCTCTACCTCCTGCTCGTCCTCGCTGGTTGTGTTTGTGGTATCTGTGGTGTCCTGCATCTCGTCGTTCATTGTGCCACCACTGGACGCTGTTGTTGTTTGTTTCAGGCTCCACGAAAAATTATTACCGCTTGCGTTTGTTGTCGCAGAAGAAAATGCCATTGACGATCTGAACGAAAAAGAGGTTCGAGGTTTTGACAATTAAATCTTATTTGACAATGCCTGCTATACTCGTACCGGTTCTGCGTTACCACTACTTCCTTTGGCTTTGGTTGAAATGTGATTCTCGAGAAATTGTAAACAATATTATCCATTTTCACTTTTGGTGGATTGTGATGCCAAACATTTCCAACCGGCGCGTCTTTTTCTTCCACCGTTAAGCTTTGAATTGGGTATGTGTTGCACGACAGCTCTGCTGCAAGGTTCGGCGCGTGTTGTGATTGTTTTTGGCGATTACTATTAACTTTGTAAATGATTTGATTTCAGCTTCTTTCTGTTTTTGTAGTTAATTGTACAGAATATAATAGTGGGGAGGCAAATACGGCAAAACACAGAAATTGTAACTGGGTGGCAACATTGAACAGATTTGCACTTGATTAGGGTTACCATAGCCTACCACAGCAGAAACCAACTGACAGATGTCGCTACAATAGTTTTGGATTTTATTCACAGATGTCGCTTGCGTGAGCGCCATCCTGCAATCATATTGTGAAGTATACACAGAGCAGCATTTGCTGTATAAGAGTAATACAAAATGCGTTTAAATTGGTGTTTTAATTCTTTTTGGCCTATTAATTCAATTGTTAAGGATGCACTCACGACACGCAACTTATACGCTTAGAAGCGAAATGGTTCTTTTAATATATAAATAGTTATTACATTATAGAAAAATAAAAAATCTTAAAGCAAATCCTTTGAATACCATTCAATATAAGTATTATAAAATTATAAAATAAATAATAAATAATCATGAAAATTAAATAATTTAAATCACTTAATCTGTGGTTTGGGCAGACAAAGAATTTGCACATAAATTAATCAAATATTATAACCAAATTCAATAACAATTGTGGAACATCGTAGTTCCAAAACCTATTTGTCAAAAAAGATGAATTGGTTTGCAAATTATTTGCATGTCTCACTGTAAACTTTTTATAGCCTATATCCAAAGGGTAAAGGGCTATACTAGTTTTGTGCGAATGTATTTAACACAGAGAAGGAGGCGTGGCAGACCCCACAAACCATGAATAGATTCTCTACCCAGAAAATTGTATATGGGTCTATATAAGAATATGGGCGCATGGCAACAGCAAAAAGAGGAAGTTTCTGTTGCACTTGGTGGGCGTAATACTGGAGTAAAATTGCTTCGCACATAACTTTTCTTGGTAATAACCAATTTGAATGAAATTTAAATAAAAGTTATTTTAACGAATCCGACACGGTGGGCAAATTTTATTTGCCAAACTGTAGGCTGTGCCCCTATTCACAGCAGAGAGTAGTCAGATACGTTATTAGACCTATCAAAAAAAAAGTGGAGATGAAAAAATAGCAGAAGATAAAAGAAAACTAATTAGCAATTGTGGGCAGTACTGACAGAAAGACACACAGACGGGCGGACCTGCATGTCTGACCGATTTTTATCGTCATCTCGATTAAGAATATACAAGTATGTACATATATACTTTATGATGGGGGAGATGCTTTCTTCCAGTATTTTACATTCTTTGCTCAAAGGGTCTAGGGTATCAAAAGACAAGTAAAATACTAGGTTTATACAAGTATTATGTATTTTGGTAAAATGTGACTTTTTCTATGTTTATGCCAGCACAAAAGCATTAAATCATTTAACGATGTGGGTTATAAATCGCAGCATTAACGAAAATCGTGACTTAAAATTATACGCGAAAATTTGCGAATTTTTTTTGGAGTATCATACTCGTTGCTGCATCTTTATAATTTATTTGTTGTAATGAGTTTTTAATTCTTAAATGTAAACAAAAACAAAGTTCATAAGACTTTTTTGTAATACCTAGTAAGATTTTATTATAAAAAGGTTGAAAAGGACAATATTCAGATATTGGAAGTAATCCGGTGTGGAATCCAAATCAACTAAAAGTAGAACTAATTGGAAATATTTCAACTTCCATAGTTCGATATAAGTAAGCTCCTAAAGTTTTTGTACATTTTAAAAAAAATGTTTAATTCCATTTATTGTTTTTATTATTTACTCATTATTATATATATTTACTATACTCTCATAATTAAAGAAAATAGATACTTATTTAGTTTTAAAATTAATGCTTTAAAAAATATGTTTTAAAATTGAATATTAGTTGAAGATATCAGAAAAAATTTCACATTTTAATGGCCTTAATATTTGCTTACAAGTATATACATGTTTCTCTTTTCACTGAGCTCAATCATTTCCAGATAATAAATAAATTAAGACTACCCAGTAACAAATTACTTAATAAAAGATGAATTTAAATCGAATGGAAAGTGCTTAAAAGTAAATCTAAACGACAAATATAAAGAGTGGAACTTTCAATTGGCACAAACCCGAGTCTTGTACTATATACTCGTAACAAACCATCTCTTCAATTAAAATAAACAAAGCGCGCCAATTATTCCTATGGCGGCTATATGTAATAGGAAGTCGAAATTAATAAAACTTCATAGATACTTATTAAGTTTTCAATATCTTAATAAACTAAGATCTTGACGCCAAAATGATTTTGTAGTGCCGATTTGATATTTCTACATATCAGTTTTGGCTAAGATATCTTAATTGCAAAAAAGTTATCCCACTAATAGAGGCATCGGTGCTCTCATGGCTCAAAAGTGCTGGGTGTTCATGTATGTTAATATTGATTCGTATGGTCATGCAAATCACTTGGAGTCTGGTACCATTTCTTCTGCCTGATGCATATTTAGTATTTCTTTTTACCTTTCTAGTACAGGGTATAATGATAACGATATGAGGTAATACTTTTTTTTGTGAGCACTTACTCAAGAATAATTGACAATACCTATCGGTCACGTCTTTTAAGGCGTTATTTAAAGTGGTACCCATGATTGTTAATTGGTTCTGATACTCCGTCCTACTATCTAGCTATTGTTTGAATAGAGGTAACTGATACGCATCCACTTGGGTATTAAGTTAACAACAAAAAAGGAGCGTATAAGACTCGCAGACGTCCGACCCAATCGTATAAAAGCGCGCACAAGCGTCCAAGAATCAGAAGTTGTTCCCTCAACATGAAAGTGTTCGTAGCGATTTTGGCATTGGCTGTTGCCTCTGTGTCTGCTGGCACTCTGCCCACCCAGGATGATGCTGTTCCCTTGAAGGACATTCAGGGCCGCATCACCAACGGATATCCAGCACCCGAGGGTAAGGCTCCCTACACCGTCGGTCTGGGTTTCAGTGGTAATGGTGGCTGGTGGTGTGGTGGTTCCATTATTTCCAACACCTGGGTGTTGACCGCTGCCCATTGCACCAATGGAGCTAACTCTGTGACCATCTACTATGGTGCCACCTGGCGCACTCAGGCCCAGTTCACGCACCAGGTTGGAAGCGGAAACTTCAGGCAAAACCCCAACTGGCCCAACACCAATGGTAACGACATCGCTCTGATCCAAACCCCTCATGTGGACTTCTGGTCGATGGTCAACAAAGTTGAGCTGCCAAGCTTCAACGATCGTTACAACAACTATGAGAACTGGTGGGCCGTCGCCTGCGGCTGGGGTGGCACCTACGATGGCAGCCCCTTGCCCGATTGGCTGCAGTGCGTCGATCTTCAGATCATCAGCAATTCCCAGTGCTCTCAGACATTTGGCTCTCTTCCGGACGGTATTCTGTGTGTTAGTACGCCAAATGGTAAATCCACCTGCGGTGGTGACTCTGGCGGTCCCCTGGTCCTGCAAGACGATAAGAAATTGGTTGGTATTACCTCTTTTGGATCCGCCAGTGGTTGCCAATCTGGAGCTCCAGCTGGTTTCACGCGTGTCACCGCTCACCTGGATTGGATCCGTGATAACTCTGGCGTGGCATACTACTAAATGACACTAACTCGCAAATAAAATTGATTGAACAGAATGAGCGTCTTCTCTTTTCAAAATATATGTATTACCAATAGTTTGGTTTTTTTTGCCCGTTTTTTTTTTTTGGCAGAATCTCGAAATATTAAGATTTTTACCCAAAATTTAGTTTGTACGCATATTTTAATACCTCGAGACGACATACGACAAGTTTGGTTCAGTTTGGGCCACTATTTCATATAGCTGCCATATAACCGATATGGTCGATTTTCACTAACTTCGGCCTATATATTTTAGTTCACAACATATAAATAATTGAATATGGGTTTATTTAATTTTTTTGATTTCCCTCTTCCCCCCTCTGCCAGGCTACAGAATTTCGTTAATACTGTGCACATTTCTAAAGCTACATAAACAAAACTTTGCACACGTAATTTATATAGAAGCATCTATTTTTGTTTTAAATTTCAATCAAATCGGTAAATTTTTAGAAAAGTTATTAGCGAAAAGAGTTCACTCTAGTACTACGCCCACAAGCTACATCATCAAGCTACCTCATCTTCGTTTTCCTTCCGCTATGGGCGTATATAACTCAGTGCTTGAAGTTTGTCTTGGTACAGGGTATTTCACTGTCGGGAATGCTCGTTTGTAGTGTTTTCTATCACGGCTCAAAAGCGCCATCAACATCAACAATCATGTTAAAAGCAAAACAATTTGTGTTTTTTTGAATGGCTTTAAAGTTCGATTACAACTTGGCATGTGTTTTTTTTATATATATATGGAGTAGGATTTTACTTTTACCGATATTAACAAAGTAGTATTGTATTCATCTAAGATGCTTACGTTAATTTTCTGTAATATAATCTGCTCACAAGGCCTAAGTGAGTCGGGGTGCATACCCTGGCTGCCGCTCCGACCTACCTACCTAACTAATCTGCTTAAATGCGTCTTCTGAGTCTTTGTTGCTGCTACAAATGTCAACAATGTTTGCATGCCCAAACAGTAGTTTTGCTGCAACAAACGCAATTTTACAGAAAACGTGCAAATTGGGACGAAGTTCTTTAGTAATTCCATAATAAACACATATTAGTTAGTATTTCCACATTTATAACTTTTTGAAATTCCTTACCATTCAAAAGTACTATTCCACGAAACACAGCGTAACTTATTAAGGTTAATTTTTAAAAAACACATGAGCAACACATGGCACTATAACACGAACACACTTCATCGCCTTAAAACAGTTTTGGATTATAATTTTACATACCTTGATTAACGTTTTCCATTATATGGCTTAACTTTTGTTGGTTGTTTTCTTAATTCTGCAAGCTCTGAAAGTTTACCAAAAATTTCTGTCAAAATCACAAATACATGTGTTTCACACAATCAGGTAACTTTGAATGCGCGCCAAGAAAATGGTGTTGCCATATCAGCAGTAATTAATTAATTTTCGCTTAATTAGGCAATTTATAATAAAAAAAATAATATTTTTATAGCCTGTACCCAAAGGGTGAAAGGCTATACTAGTTTTGTGCGCATGTATGTAACACACAGAAGGAGGCGTGGCAGACCCCACAAAGTATATATATTCTTGATCAGGATGAGAAGACGAGTCGATATAGCCATGTCCGTCTGTCCGTCTGTCCGTCTGACCGTCTGTCCGTCTGTCTGTATGAGCGCAAGGATCTCAGTAAGTACAAGAGCTAGGATAACCAAAATTGGTATCAAGGTTCCTATAAGCCCTAGGCAGAACGAGTTTGTTTATTTTTTCTGATACACCCCCCCACTCCCCCGCAATTCGTATTTTTTCTTATAACTTCCGTAATTCTCGGAATTTAAAAATCAATTTTGGTAGGTACATCCAGTTAGTACTAATGTGTCCGTGTGCCAAATTTCATCATGATAGGTCAATTCTGAAGAAAGTTATAGCCATAAGTAAAATCGCTGCTCATGCGCTGCCTCTGTCGGCAGCGCTGCCCGCAGCTGTTGTTGTTGTTGCTGCTTTGGTTTAACTTTGTGCTGCATACATACACGCATATAAACACGCATAGGTACGTGATGTAAATGTATGCTGTTTAAACTGAACATAAACATGTATTCTAATTTAATTTAATTAATTATTTTAATTAATTCATTCATTCATTTTTTTTAATAATTTAATTTTTTTTAAATTTTTTTTTTTTTTAATTTTTCCTTTTTGTGGAGAGTACAGGCTATTTTACTGTCGGGCTTGCTCGACTGTAGCGTTCTATCTTGTTTATATTTGAACAACATTTTTTTGACTTTCTGCCAAAAAACGGGCAAAAAATCCATAGTGCAATGGACGGAAATGTCTTTACAAGTATGTGTCTCGACAGGGCTAAGTGAAATGCTATTTATTTTACAATTAACTATTTCTATCAAGGGCATCTGTGGCACAATTCTTTTCGCAATCCTAAGTGTGGTACAACATGTGTGCATTGCAAACAGAATTAATAAATAATTTCCGCTAAAAATCGAACTGTTTGTTTGTATGAACGCAAGGGTTACTGAAAGTATAAAAGCTAGTACTACCGAGTTTGGTATTTATGTTTTACCTTTTTCTCAAGGACTGTAATCGTTATAAAGGTTATTATACAAATAACAAAATAATGATTATTTTTATAGCCTGTACCCAAAGGGTGAAAGGCTATACTATTTTTGTGCGAATGTATGTAACACACAGAAGGTGGCGTGGCAGACCCCACAAAGTATATATATTATCGATCAGGAAGACAAGTCGAGCCGATATAGCCCTGTCCGTCTGTCCGTCCGTCCGTCTGTATGTACGCTATGATCTCAGGAAGTACAAGAGCAAGAATAACCAAACTCGGTATCCTTATTCTCCTAAGCCCGAGAAAGGACGAGTTTGTGTTTTTTTTTTTTGCTGATGCATAGCATGGTATTTTTTTCATTACTCCCATAAATTTTGTACTAAGATTTTGCAAATACCTCGAGTTAGTGATTATGTGTCTTCATGCCAAGTTTCATCCCAATAGGTCAATTCTGAAGAAAGTTATAGCCATAAATAAAATCGCTGCCCATGCTCTGGTTGTACCTCTGCCCGCAGCGCTGCCCGCAGCTGTTGTTCTTGTTGCTGCTTTGGTTCAACTTTGTGCTGCATACATACTTACACGCATTGAAACACGTATAGACACGTGGTGTAAATAAATGCTGTTGAAACTGTACATACACATGTCTTCTATGTATGTATTAAGTAACTTGTATTTAATTTAATTAATTAATTAAATTTTTTTTAAATAATTTTTTTTTAATTTTCTTTTTTTGTGGAGAGTACAGGCAATATTACTGACGGGATTGCTCGACTGTAGCGTTCTCTCTTGTTTAAAATTAAATAATTTGATTGATTGGAAACTAATGGCACAACAAATACCGAAATACCAAATATTTCCAAATATTACAGATTTGGCACCTCAACAATAGATGTTAACAAATATAAATAGATTAACCACGAGCACTTCCGCGCGAGATTTAAAAAGTGCTGGCTTAAGCTATGTTTAATACTGCTATAATAATAATTAGGCATTTAATAATAATTATTAAGTTCTCAGTATTCCAAAATGGAACTTATTATCTCTTCTGTTCCTCTCTACATCTATCTCTTAATCGCTAGATCTATTAAAGTTTCCGACTAAGTACTCTCTTAATCGGGGTATAGTTGGCTGTTCGGCAAATATAATTTCCCCCTATCGAGTCGGTTTCGTTATTTTGTAGATATTATTGAAATATTAGGGGCTTTTTCTTTTTACTATTAATTTATTTCTTGTACTGTTTTTTTTTTTAACGTCGATAGCTTTGTTTGTCAATGAATAAATTAATAAAATAAATTAGTCAGTAATTTTGCGCACTTGCGCTGATTGTCTAGCAGCCGGGTTTGTTGTGGCGCCTGATAACTTATCGGCTTTTAAATTTGCACGGCATTAATTGAGAGATTGCTCGAACCAGATGGGCTATAAGTAGTTAGGCGAATGAAATAGAACTCTTCTATTCCGGTCGATGTGACGTTCAATCAATGGCTGATATGCTTGCACCCATTTCCCTATGAGCTATTTTAAGGAGTTCGTGTTTGCCAGTCGCAACAGCTTTGCAATCTCAAACTTATAAGAGTCGACGAATTGTAAATGCTATTCATAAGTAAATGGAAATAATTTGGAATACCCTGTACCCGAACATTAAGGCCGTATTCTAAAAAATTTGAGCCTCAAATGTGTGTAACAGGCAGAAGTTGTTATAGACGAATCGTTATAGATATGTCCGTATGTATGAACGCCGATATTTTATTTTTGACTGCATTCTCAATATTCAGAAGAAATAAAAAAAAAATTTTTTTTAATTGATATTGACATTAAAAACATTCATATTAGATTTTCATATTTTCAGAATGGGGATCAAATATATATTTGAATTTTCATTAGCTTCGCGAACTTTTATCTTTGGCTCAAACATTGTTCTACCAATCATTCATATATTTATTTATTTAATAAATCATCAAATTGTGCTGTCGATACAGATTGCTATGTTTAAGATGCTTAATATTAATTTATAATAAATAATATGATGTTATATAGTAATTTATATCAAATATATAAAAAATAAGAAAGTGCATAGCTTTGTGTTATAATGCACTGATCGAAGAAACTTCGGATTATATATTTAGCTATAAGAATAAGAATTAATTTATACATCAAATTAAACAAATTAAAGAGTCGAGCAAGTCCGACAGTAAAATAGCCTGTACACTCCACAAAAAAGGAAACTTAAAAAAAAAAAATTATAAAAAAAGTAAATTTAAAAAAAAAAGTAATTAATTATTTAAATAAATAAAGAAAATGTATTTAATACATACATAGAAGTCATGTTTATGTACAGTTTCACCCTTTGGGTACAGGCTATACAAATTGTCGTTCTAGTAAAAGGAGGGTTTCCAACGATCGGGGAAGCTCTATTTGGTTTGTACGAGTAATTAATTTGGTCTGCGTATGGATAAAACGAGGGTATGCTTTTCTTGGGTGATGTCTGTAAACACATAACATTATTATTATTTTATATACAATTAACCGTTTTATATAGTATATATCCATATCGGCATGCTCACCGGATATCGTGATTGGCGGTTTTTATGTTCAAAATTGTGTCAAGTGAGTTAAACCTATAATTTGATGTTATTTCTAAGTTCATTGGCGCTTATCGTCTGCACCCAGCCAATATCTTTATGGGACTGCTCTTAGGCGCTTATCAGTTTTTAGGTCTTAAGTGGACTTATGAGATTTATTTACTAGCACTTAATGCCGCCACGCTTTATTTGATAAGGTGGCAGCTACTCAATGAATTATGTTATTGACTCTTATTAAGAATCTGAGCTGTGTCTTTATTATGTTTAATTACGCTTGTTTATACAATAGATCATTGTATTAATAGACAATTCCGGTAACATCGCGAATCCAGTCGAGGTAGCCGGTAACGCGAGTGAAACCCGCAGGTGCGCCCGATGTACAGCCCCCTCCAGAGCCAAAGGAGGTGATACCGACCAGGCGATTGCCATCGTGGAGAACCAAAGGACCTCCAGAATCGCCGCTGCAAGTGGACTTGCCGTCGGTGGTGCGGATGCAGAGCGTGTTGTCTGTTATGTAGTTACTGCCGAAGGTGTTGCGGCACTCATCGTTGCCCATGATCTGCACATCGACACAGTTCAAATAGTCAGACATGCCGCCATCGTTCCAGGTGTAACCCCATCCGGAGGCAACTGCCCACCAGCCGTTGTAGCTATTGTAGCGATCGTTGTAGCTGGGCAGCTCGACACGATTCACCAAGTTCCAGAAGTCCACATGGGGTGTACGAATCAGCGATATATCGTTGTTTAGGTTATCGCTATTGTAGTTGGGATGCTGGACAAAGTCGCCTCGACCCACCCAGTGCGTGTATTGGGCCTGAAAGCGAAAGCTGGCGCCATAGTAGATGGTCACAGAACTGCCATGGTTGGTGCAATGGGCAGCCGTCAGCACCCAGGTGTGTCCAATAATGGAGCCACCACACCAGTAGCCAGTGCCATCACTGCGCGTGAAGCTTAAACCCACAACGTAAGGCACCTTGCCCTCATACGCTGGGTAGCCGTTGGTGATGCGACCATCAATGCTCTGACTTTGGGGCAGATCCTTGATGGGCATAACCGACGCAAGGCTGTCCGGCAAGGCGCCGACTGCAGCGAAAATCAGAATTATGAACAGTTTCATTCTGGAAGAGAATAAGCTAAGTGGTGAGCTAAAGGGAAGCGAGCTTTTTATAGGTAGTCTCTCACTAACTTATGTAGGTATATCTGGCCCGATACGTCTACCGAGCAATCAAAGTTCGTAAATATTCTTAACTCGTATTTATTGTGTAATAAATAAATATATATATATCGCAATCTGATTAAAGTATTCATGAATGAAATGTCATTAAGTACTTGCAACAAATTAACAAAAAATTTAGTATCCGGCTTGTGCTTTATTTATATTTGTTTTGATATTTTAGTTTGTTGCTCAACACATTTTGGGTTTATCGGCTGTGCATGTACTTTTAATTGTACTGTATATGTTTTATGGTTCATATTTTATATTGGTCCGCTTGTCGGGCATTTTTTAGAGCAATTCAAACACGTTTTTTTCTTTCATTTTATTTCACTCGAAATCACATGCACTTTAAATTCGTTCTACTGCTGTCAGGAAGGAAGACAGGTGTTGTACCCCCCTCTTCATCAAAATAATATTTCTCCTCCCGAATGGGTTGATACATAGTATGTATGTAGATAAAAAATATATCAAAAATGTGCTTCAAATAGTTGCTGAGTGATGACAGGTTTTGGGATTCGATTATGGGGAAGGACGTGGTTTTTTATGCAGTAGTGTTCGATATAGACATATATTTTTAATCGGATCAGTTTAGTATTTATGACGCCTAATTAAACCAGTGCTGCCATAATTTTTTGAGCAAAACAAGCTAGATTGTCAAAAAAATAAATCTAAAGAAAGCTAAATCCAAGGCAAAATAAGGTTTAAAAAAACCTGGTTTTAAAAACCATATTTTCTTGGTTATATTTAAGGAAATATCTGTTTTAATATTTTCATATTTATTCTAAATTCTTATTTCATAATTTATAATAATAATATGTCAAAAAAAATAATAATAGAACTCACATTAAATTCAAGTTAAAGATAAAATTTTTTAATTATGTACTGCTTCTTCGTCAGGATAATTAACGCGGTTGCTTCCTGACACTTTGTTTAAACACTTTAAACATTTCTTAAAGCAGCGAAGACAAACTTATAAAATAAACAGTCTCGAGGTGATTTTGAAAGATTTTACTATCGAAAGTCGTTTATAGCTACTTAAATTCATGATTTTGAGTCTTGATAAAGATAGAAAAAATATGTATGGTGAAAAATAAAGTAAAGCTAAAACAGGCTACATTTTTTTAAAGCTAGAATTGTCGCAACCTGCTATTTTCTCCCGCACCGGCATTAAAAAAACTAGATCTGGCGGGAAAAAAAGCTAAAATGACAGTACTGACTAAAACAGAATGTTATGTGGCTTCTGAACTACTACCTTTACCGCGTAGTGGCTTTGTCTTTATTTAATAAGTTCTCTTTCTAACCTAACTCTACAATATACTACTATAATACACCAAATAGGAACTCGTTAAGTTAAGGCACAGTGACAAGACGTCCATTCACCCTAGGGATGTGAAAAACCATCGATGTATCGAGCATCGACGATGTTTTTACGATGCATCGATGTATTGCGATGTTTTTTTTGCTTGCGATGCATCGTCGATCCATGGAACATTTTTCATGTTTTGTTTGGGGGGCACATTTCTTTGACTGGTCTACCGGAGAAGGTATTATTGTATTTAAATTTACTTTATATTTTTGTTGAAATGTGTATTTTATATATTAGATGGTTAAGATTTTGATCTTCATTTTGATTTCTATACATGATGCCAAAGTAAGTTTTTCTGGAATTGCAGTATTTTAAAGGTATGTGTATTAATATTATTCAAATGGGTAACTGCAAAGCGTCGGATTAATTTATTTTTAAGCGGTCCATTAAAAGTCAGGATTACGATTACTTTATAAGTGAATAACATTAGGTAAAATAGTATACTAGCTTATCTTAATTAATACACATTTTTAATTTAAAACATCTCTGTTGATTTTCTCCCCAATATGAGCGTCTTTTTCGATGAAAAGCTAATTTTTGAAAACAGCGATGCATCGACCATGCATCGATTTTCTTAAAAGAGACATCGGTAGACATCGACTCTCTTCGACTTACATCTCTAATTCACCCTATGCCCAAATATTGCTCCATAAATTTGAAACCTTACAATCTGACTTACATCAGAAACTCATTTAAGAACATATGAAAATATTGATTTTCAAAGACTTTTCTGCAGAACTGAGCCACCGAAAACTTTGAAAATTTTTAAGAAGTTTACTTTACAATTTTGAGTTATGAACACCACTGACAAATACATTACCAGACCATGAGTACTTCCCCTAACACAAACATGATAAAGCGTCCAACTATCGACAAATTGCAATATCCTAAGCGGACAAGATAGCATCAATTTCAGGCGGAATTAAATGAAATTACAATTCAAAGCAATAACATTTTTAAAAGACATGCTTTATATTTAAGGTCGGACAAAGTACGATAGTTTCCTGTCCGGGAATCAGCCAAATTAATTCAAGTTTTCTGAGTGCAATCTGATTAGTGGTCTACAATATTTTCAACCGTACTCGTACTTGTATCAAAAACGTATATCAGGCGGTCTTATCAAGCCACGTTCAACAACCATTCAATTCAAATTTACGATCGTCATTATCAGAATCATTTTTAGTTGTTACTTTTTAGTCTATTGTTAAAATATTCATGATAACTATAACTTTTTGCACTTAATTTGTTTGTTGATAAAACCGTCTGAATGAAAAAACCCACCAAAGCTGCAAATAGAAAATTTGTTATATTTAGAAATTTGTAATCTTAATAAGTTCTGGCATTGATTTGCCTTGGCTTTTGAAAGAAACCTTACCGAATATTTCTATTAGGACACTGAAGGTCATAGGCTTAGTAACCGATCAAATAAGTTATATGTTCGTTGATCCCCTTAATGATTTTGTTATATTTTGAGGTTTATCTTGTTGCCCAATTCATGGTTATTTTATTCCATCTCTTATTTCTTGCTCTTTAATCCATTAATCCTCTTTAATCTTGAAAATAAGGAAGATGTTATTCATTGTGGATACTTGGTTTTGAGATTATATATATAATTTAAAATATAAACAAATTATAATTGAAATCTCAATTAATAAATTTGGGCTTTCTGATCAACTGCAGCACAATAGAACGAAATTTGTATTCGCTTAAATTACTAAACTGCTTTTTAATTAACATGGGCTATATATGGAAACACAAAAGATAACAATCTGCTTTAAAATAGATGTGCTTTGTGGGTAAAAAGTTAAGATTACGGGGAGGCACTCGTGCATAACAAGTTTGGTTAAGATATCTTGAACCGATCGGTTTTATGACAGATATATACAAGTAAATATGTAGGGTATTTCTTTCTGCTATGGCTAAAAAATTCTTGATTAGATGGTCATGATAATATCGATTCGTCTCAGTAATCTGATCATATACATATGTACCTACAGTAATGGGTCTGCCACGCCTCGTCCTGGCTGTTACATATATTTTGGCTTTTTGTATTCCCTTTTACCTTTCGAGTACAGGGTACAATGATCACGACGTGAATAAAATAAATTTGTTTTTTGTAAGCACATACTCAAGAATAAGTTCAATACCTATCGGCCATGCTTTCTAAGGCGTACTTTAAAGTGGTACCCATGATTATTAATTGGTTTTTCATACTCGGTTCCACTATCTTACTAATAAGTAGAGGTATATTAAATTGTTTAATAGAGAGAACTGATAGGTTTGCACTTGGGTTTTGAGTTGACAACAAAGAAGGGAAACATGAGATTCTTAGACGTTCGACCCAATCGTATAAAAGCGCGCACAAACGTCCAAGAATCAGAAGTTGTTCCCTCAACATGAAAGTGTTCGTAGCGATTTTGGCATTGGCTGTTGCCTCTGTGTCTGCTGGCACTCTGCGCACCAAGGATGACGCTGTTGCCCCGAAGGACATTCAGGGCCGCATCACCAACGGATATCCAGCATCCGAGGGTAAGGCTCCCTACACCGTCGGTCTGGGTTTCAGTGGTAATGGTGGCTGGTGGTGTGGTGGTTCCATTATTTCCAACACCTGGGTGTTGACCGCTGCCCATTGCACCAATGGAGCTAACTCTGTGACCATCTACTACGGTGCCACCTGGCGCACTCAGGCCCAGTTCACGCACCAGGTTGGAAGCGGAAACTTCAGGCAAAACCCCAACTGGCCCAACACCAATGGTAACGACATCGCTCTGATCCAAACCCCTCATGTGGACTTCTGGTCGATGGTCGACAGAGTTGAGCTGCCAAGCTTCAACGATCGTTACAACAACTACGACAACTGGTGGGCTGTCGCCTGCGGCTGGGGCGGCACCTACGATGGTAGCCCTCTGCCCGATTGGCTGCAGTGCGCCGATCTTCAGATCATCAGCAATTCCCAGTGCTCGCAGACTTATGGCTCTCTTCCGGACGGTATTCTGTGTGTTAGTACGCCAAATGGTAAATCCACCTGCGGTGGTGACTCTGGCGGTCCTCTGGTCCTGCAAGACGATAAGAAATTGGTGGGTGTTACCTCCTTTGTGTCTGGCAATGGTTGCCAATCTGGAGCTCCAGCTGGTTTCACGCGTGTCACCACTCATCTGGATTGGATCCGTGATAACTCTGGCGTGGCTTACTACTAAATAAGGTTGAGCGACTTTTCATTTTCAAAACAATTCTATCAATAAAGCAATAATATAAAAAGCAAATTTAATTTCGTTTTTAAAAGATTTTCAATTAGTAGACAGTTGGAAATAAATATGAATTATGAATAGATTCTGTATCCAGAAAATTGTATATGGGTCTATATAAGAATATGGGCGCATGGCAACAGCAAGAAGAAGAAAGTTTCTGTTGCACTTGGTGGGCGTAATACTGGAGTAAGAGTAGAAATAACCAATTTGAATGAAACTTAAAAAAAAGTTATAGCTATACATATTATTTTCTTGTATTAGTTTATTTTATTTTATTTATTTATTTATTTCATCGACAAACAATGCAGTCGATGCAAAAGAAAAAGAAAAACAAGAAAATCAATACAATAGAGAACTTGAACTAAAGAAATAAAAAGCCTATAAAAAATAACAATAATATCTAATAACGAATCCGACACGGTGGGGGAATTTTATTTGCCAAACTGTAGGCTGTGCCCCTATTCACAGCAGAGAGTAGTCAGATACGTTATTAGACCTATCAAAAAAGAAGTGGAGATGAAAAAATAGCAGAAGATAAAAGAAAACTAATTAGCAGTGATGGGCAGTACTGACAGAAAGACACACAGACGGGCGGACCTGCATGTCTGATCGATTTTTATCGTCATCTCGATTAAGAATATACAAGTATGTACATATATACTTTATGATGGGGGAGATGCTTCCTTCCAGTATTTTACATTCTTTGCTCAAAGGGTCTAGGGTATCAAAAGACAAAGTAAAATACTAGGTTTATACAAGTATTATGTATTTTTGTAAAATGTGACTTTTTCTATGTTTATGCCAGCACAAAAGCATTAAATCATTTAACGATGTGGGCCATAAATCGCAGAATTAACGAAAATCGTGATTTCAAGTTATACGTGAAAATTTGCGAATTTTTTTTGGAGTATCATACTCGTTGCTGCATCTTTATAATTTATTTGTTGTAATGAGTTTTTAATTCTTAAATGTGAAAAAAAATCAAAATTCTGCAGACTTTTTTCTAATACCTACTAAGACTATTTTATAAAGTGGTTCAAAAGGACAATGTTCAGATATTGGAAGTAATCTGGTGTGGAATCCAAATCAACTAAAAGTAGAACAAATTACTTTGCAAGGTTCCGAATTACCTTCAAAAAAACATAAATAAAAGATGAATTTAAATCGAATGGAAAGTGCTTAAAAGTAAATCTAAACGACAAATATAAAGAGTGGAACTTTCAATTGGCACAAACCCGAGTCTTGTACTATATACTCGTAACAAACCATCTCTTCAATTAAAATAAACAAAGCGCGCCAATTATTCCCATGGCGGCTATATGTAATAGGAAATAGACGTTAATAAAACTTCATAGATACTTATTAAGTTTTCAATATCTTAATAAACTAAGATCTTGACGCCAACATGATTTTTTAGTGCCGATTTGATATTTCTACATATCAGTTTTGGTTAAGATATCTTAATTGCAAAAAAGTTATCCCACTAATAGAGGCATCGGTGCTCTCATGGCTCAAAAGTGCTGGGTGTTCATGTATGTTAATATTGATTCGTATTGTCATGCAAATCACTTGGAGTCTGGTACCATTTCTTCTGCCTGATGCATATTTAGTATTTCTTTTTACCTTTCTAGTACAGGGTATAATGATAACGATATGAGGTAATACTTTTTTTTGTGAGCACTTACTCAAGAATAATTGACAATACCTATCGGTCACGTCTTTTAATGCGTTATTTAAAGTGGTACCCATGATTGTTAATTGGTTCTGATACTCCGTCCTACTATCTAGCTATTGTTTGAATAGAGGTAACTGATACGCATCCACTTGCTTATTAAGTTAACAACAAAAAAGGAGCGTATAACACTCGCAGACGTCTGACCCAATCGTATAAAAGCGCGCACAAACGTCCAAGAATCAGAAGTTGTTCCCTCAACATGAAAGTGTTCGTAGCGATTTTGGCATTGGCTGTTGCCTCTGTGTCTGCTGGCACTCTGCCCACCCAGGATGATGCTGTTCCCTTGAAGGACATTCAGGGCCGCATCACCAACGGATATCCAGCATCCGAGGGTAAGGCTCCCTACACCGTCGGTCTGGGTTTCAGTGGTAATGGTGGCTGGTGGTGTGGTGGTTCCATTATTTCCAACACCTGGGTGTTGACCGCTGCCCATTGCACCAATGGAGCTAACTCTGTGACCATCTACTACGGTGCCACCTGGCGCACTCAGGCCCAGTTCACGCACCAGGTTGGAAGCGGAAACTTCAGGCAAAACCCCAACTGGCCCAACACCAATGGTAACGACATCGCTCTGATCCAAACCCCTCATGTGGACTTCTGGTCGATGGTCAACAAAGTTGAGCTGCCAAGCTTCAACGATCGTTACAACAACTATGAGAACTGGTGGGCCGTCGCCTGCGGCTGGGGTGGCACCTACGATGGCAGCCCTCTGCCCGATTGGCTGCAGTGCGTCGATCTTCAGATCATCAGCAATTCCCAGTGCTCTCAGACATTTGGCTCTCTTCCGGACGGTATTCTGTGTGTTAGTACGCCAAATGGTAAATCCACCTGCGGTGGTGACTCTGGCGGTCCCCTGGTCCTGCAAGACGATAAGAAATTGGTTGGTATTACCTCTTTTGGATCCGCCAGTGGTTGCCAATCTGGAGCTCCAGCTGGTTTCACGCGTGTCACCGCTCACCTGGATTGGATCCGTGATAACTCTGGCGTGGCATACTACTAAATGACACTAACTCGCAAATAAAATTGATTGAACAGAATGAGCGACTTTTCTTTTTTCAAAATATATGTATTACCAATGTCAACAGCAAGTGTCTCGACAGGGATAAGTGAAATACTATTTCTTTTACAATTATCTTTTTCTATCAAGGGCATCTGTGGCACAATTCTTTTCGCAATCCTAAGTGTGGTACAACATGTGTGCATTGTAAACAGAACTGTTTGTTTGTATGAACGCAAAGGTTACTGAAAGTATAAAAGCTAGTACTACCGAGTTTTGTATTTATGTTTTACCTTTTTCTCAGGGACTGTAATTGTTATAAGTGTTATTATAAAAATTTCAATATAATGATTTTTTTTTAATATTATTCATTCTCTCACAATATTGTGATTAATTTTGAGTTAATCATTATTGTTGCACGAAACCATAAAACTCATAAAATAATGTTACTCTATAAGTTTTATTTTCGTTGGGACTAAGGGCAAAATGTATATACATACTTGTATCCTTAAACTTTGAGCACCTATTGTCCAGATATTGATTAAAAAACATCGTTAAAAAATATATTTTCATTTAATAATATTATTTACGGCTCATTTATTTATTTTACGAATATATATTTTAAATTTCCATTTTTCTTAATTTTTTTTTGCAGTTGTTTAAGGATATACATAAAATTTGTCTTATTACCTACAAAACAGGCAAGATTGCAACTTGACTATTATTTCTGATCAACAAATAAAACTAAAAGAATAATCATCATTTTATTTAATTTTTTTTGGAAATTTTTAATCCCAATTTAAAATCTATCCTAGGTTGGGCAATTATTATATTTTATGATAACTTTGACAATTTTGATCATGCTTGGCTTGATGGCTGCAGCGTGATTCGACACAAGAGTGTTTTATTTTTCTGCTCATAAATATGGATTATTGGTTGAGTTGTAAAGTATAACTCCACATAATAATTATATTGTGGGAGAATAATAAAAATATAAATTTTCAAATCATGGTGAACATGCATAGAAAATCACAAAAAAAAAGACAGTGGTATAATCCTCATTTTCTCATTATTTTCGGCTCCTGCTTTTTCTGGCTTGTGAACCTCTATTTTCTACAATTAAGCAATATTCCTAGTCTACTGTTTATAGTAGTGTCTAAAACAAAAGCCATTAACAATTTATGCAAATGAACGTTTTGTAACTCCTCGACTTGTTAATTGATATGCTTTCATTCCACAAATAGATCACAATAGATGATCAATTAAAAAACTTGTATCATTCAAGACCGTGCTCATATAGTTTTATCTGAATTATACGAATTTGATTGCTTAATTGAGAAAAATTAAACCACTTTTTAGATTTTGTACGAATATTTTGTATTGCATACTTTCCGGCTTGCTTTTTTATGTGGATTGCTTTAAATTCGGAATTGAATTGTAATGAAATCCACATATTAAATCCACTTTTGCTGTCGGTCCCAAAAAGCAAAAAATTGATCAGAATTTTAAATTCAAAAGACATCATTTACAAGTCAAATAAAGACTAAAAATGTAATGGAAGAAACCAGACGAGCCAAAACTCAAAAAAGTCTTTTTAAGAAGATATTGAAAAATATTCATTGCTGTGTTTTTTTTTTTTTTGCTGTTTTGAATCCTTTTGTGCCCAGAATAGCTGTATTCGGTAATACTTGGGTCACAATTCTAGATCGTACAAACGTTGTATTAAGTAACATTCTGCCAAAATATCACTTCTGTGTTCTTATTTTGTAAAAGTGCTGTATGCTTTTGAATACACCTTGTGCATGTACTATTAAGTTTATGAATTGAAAACAAAGACTTTTAAAAATCGAAACTAAGAGAAAGAAATGCATGCAAATAATTATTTTTCGGCAAGTTAGTCTTTGCAAGACTCCTTGTCTAATGAGTAATGAGTAAATTTTTATATTTATATTCTAAGTGGAAAATTTTGTCTGGCAGAATAGATTACCATCAGAAAGAAAATCATTTTGCGTCTACATTATAACAATTTATGTTTATGTACTCAAGTATGAAAACGCTTTCACATCTTTAAACAATAAGTAGGTTTGCCAATTGAAATCCTCTTTTGATTTATTTTCCCCATCGACTTTAAGATAAGATGGGCTGTATATTATAGATTACAGTAAGTGCATGTCGTTATGGGCTCTATATAAGTTCGAAGTAATGGCAGTGTAGTACAAGTTTTGTTCGCAACATGAAGGTGTTTATAACATTTTTGGCGCTTGCCATCGCATCAGCTGCGGCGGTCGAGGAAATCGTCCGTCCAAAGGATTTGCCGAAGATCACTGGCAATAAGATCGAAGGCCGCATTACTAATGGGTACCCGGCATATGAGGGCAAGGCGCCCTACACGGTCGGTTTGGGCTTCAGCAAGAATGGTGCCGGATGGTGGTGTGGTGGTTCCATAATTGGCAATACCTGGGTTCTAACCGCATCTCACTGCACAGCCGATGCTGAATCCGTAACTGTCTATTTTGGCGCTACGTGGCGCACCCAAGCCCAATACACTCACTGGGTTAGCAGAACCAATTTTATTAGCCACTCCAGTGCCGACATCGCCCTCATCCGTATTCCCCATGTGGACTTCTGGTCTATGGTCAATAAGGTTGAGTTGCCCAGCTACAACGATCGTTACAACAACTATGAGAGCTGGTGGGCCGTCGCCTGCGGCTGGGGTGGCACCTACGATGGCAGCCCCTTGCCCGATTGGCTTCAGTGCGTCGATCTTCAGATCATCAGCAATTCGGAATGTAGACAGACATATGGCTCTGGCACTGTCACTGACTCTGTCATATGTGTGCGGGTTCAAGACGGCAAGGGCACCTGCCAGGGCGATTCTGGCGGTCCATTGGTTACACACGACGGTAACAAATTGGTGGGTGTTACCTCATTCGTTGCTGCTGCCGGCTGCCAAGCTGGTTTGCCTGCTGGATTCGCTCGCGTCACCAGCCATTTGGATTGGATTCGCGATAATACTGGCATTTCTTACTAAAATTGAATTTGTATCCGAAGTTATTCAAATAAAAATGGGTTCTATATAAAAGATAAGGCGCATTATTTATTAAAAAACAAGAAAGGAATGCTAAAGTCGAGCAGCAAGGGCGTAGGCAGCTTTTACCAAAGGGGGGGGGGGGTTCAAAAAATTAAAATTTTGATTAAATAATGCACGATGCATTTAAAAAATAACGTAACAAATCCATGTGGTCGACTTTATATGGCAAACATTTTTGTAGGTGGTGGGGGTGGGGAGTTGTGGAGGTTGTGCATCGGGAAAAATTAAGAAACTCGTCCTTTCTCGGGCTTAGGAGAATCTGGATACCAAGTTTGGTTATTCTAGCTCTTATACTTTCTGAGATCCTTGCATTCATACAGACAGACGGACATGGCTATATCAACTCGGCTTGTCATAATGATCAAGAATATATATACTTTGTGTGGTCTCGCACAAAACTAATATACCCTTTTACCCTTTGGGTACAGGGCATAAATATCAGTAAGCATTCGTCAAAAACAAACATCATTTTATAGAAGGACTTTTATTTTAAACACCACTCCAATGAAATATTTGGCCTACACATCCGACTCAAGCTTTGTAACACCATTGTGTTACAAACTTCCCATTCATACCATTTGGGTGAAATAGTTTTCCCACAAGAACTTTTTTAAATCCTGATCGTACAATATGGTAGCAATATTATATAACAGTACTATTTGATATAGGCATTAGAAACAAAGAAGTTCGTCCAATATCTATCGCACTATTACTATGTAGTTATTCAGAGAGATGGGTATCAAATGGAGAGACTAGTAACAGTCTATGGGCAGTGCCGGAAAGGGGCACTTTGTTTGCTTTAGGTTCTCAAGTTTAGGGTATGTACTAGGTGGGGTGAAAAGTAACCTCCTTGACCAACACAATGCCGCCTTTTAGTCCATTCATATTTAGGTAGGCATGTTGAATTTCAGCTCGATACAGCCTTTAATTTTGTTTTTATAGCTGATAGTTGTTGACGTGTTTCGCATCATGTTCAGAATGGAAAAAGAATTAAGTTCGGTCTCTTACAAAACGGTTTTTTTTGAGACGCAAAACATCGAAGTAAACTAAACAAAATTTGGATAAATATTATGGGGCCAATGCTCCTTCAGATTTCACCGTGAAATATTGTTTTCGAGAGTTTCATGGTGGCCGAAACTGCACTACCGATGAAGTGCCTAGTAGCAGGACCTCCGATGCGGTTACTCAGGAAAATGTCCAAAAAATACATTAAATGGTTTTAGCTGACCGAAAAGTGAAACTGCGGCTAGCAGAGGCCACAAGGATTAGTACTGATCATAGATGGCATATTTTGGGCAAGATTTTGCATACAAAAAAGGTATTCTGCAGTTCAGATCAAAAATATGATTGTGGGCACGCTTCGAAAGTGTTTGGTCATGGTGGTCCGGAATCGGGCGGACTTTTGGCGTCGATTGGTGACTTTCATCATCTATTACACACCAGAGACCAGAATGAGTGCCCCGCAATGAACTGAAGCCAGCACAAGTGCTCCGAAACGGCCGAGGGAGGCTCAATGGGTCGGAAAGGTTATGGCGTCGGTTTTCTAGGATTTTCGTGGCATACTCTTCGTGGACTATCTCGATTATGTCGCATTATTGGAGCTATTGAAGGCCAAAATCGCTGCGAAACGGCCTCACATGAAGCTAAAACAAATTTTGGTTTTTGCAAGACAATGCACCGGTACACGAGAGCATCGGAACCATGGCTAAAATCAACGATTTAGGACTCCAAGTGCTTCCACATGCACCTTATTCATCTGATTTGGTTCCCTTGGCCTATTATTTCTTCCCAAACCTCAAAAGATGGCTCATCAATAAAAAATCAATCTCGCGCGAGGAGATCATCGATGCTGCAGAGGCGTATTTTGTAGACCTTCCAGAAAATTAATTTTCAGAAGGGATCAAATAGTTGGAAAATAGTTGGAATAAGTGTATCGACCTAAAAGGAGACTACATTGAGTAAAAAAATAAAATAAAAAATTTTTTCATGTCCAAGGAGGTTACTTTTCACCCCACCGTAAATAAAACAAAACTGTTACTAATAAACTTTTCTAATTTTCAAATTTAGAGATTACACTTTCAATATCGACTTCTCTAAGCAAATCATGCTCTATGTTCAACAAAGTGAGACCTTCTTGGCCCATCGTGTTCCTTAATTCATTTTTAATACGTTTTAATGTTGAAAAAGAACGTTCGCCTGCAGTGGCGATTATGAGAGACAAGTAAATTCGCAAGGCAATTTCTAAGTTTGGGAAACATGCTTCTAAAGAATTATTTAATTTATAAAATTGCTGTTCCAGAGGCTCCTGTTTCTTGCTGTCAACAACAGTAGCCACATCTGTTTTCAGCAGCTCTGCGAACTGCATTAATTCGCCACTTAGGCTGTTCTCCAAATCATATTCGTAAGCACTGACCATACTTGAAGATTTTTCCAAAATCACTTCTGTTTTCTTAATTTTTTTTGCAATTGCTTAAGGATATATATAAAATATGTCTTATTACCTACAAAAAATTAAAACTAAAAGAATAATCATCATTTTATTTAATTTTTTTTTGAAATTTTTAATCCCAATTTAAAATCTATCCTAGGTTGGGCAATTATTACATTTTATGATAACTTTGACAATTTTAATCATGCTTCTGTCTTGATGACTGCAGCGTGATTCGACACAAGTGTGTTTTATTTTTCTGCTCATAAATATGGATTATTGGTTGAGTTGTAAAGTATAACTCCACATAATAATTATATTGTGGGAGAATGAATAAAAATATAAATTTTCAAATCATGGTGAACATGCAAAGATAATCAAAAAAAGGACAGTGGTATAATCCTCATTTTCTCATTATTTTCGGCTCCTGCTTTTTCTGGCTTGAGAACCTCTATTTTCTACAATTAAGCAATTCCTAGTCTACTGTGTCTAGTGTCTAAAACAATTTATTCAAATGAACGTTTTGTAACTCCTCCACTTGTTAATTGATATGCTTTCATTCCACAAATAGATCACCAAAATATGACCAATTAAAAAACTTGTATTATTTAAGACCATGCTCATATAGTTTTATCAGAATTCAAGTTTATACGAATTTAATTGTTTAATGGACAATAAATAAACGACTCTTTAAGATTTTGTACGTATATTTTTTATTGCATACTTTCCGGCTTGCTTTTTTATGTGGATTGCTTTAAATTCGGAATTGAATTGTAATGAAATCCACATATTAAATCCACTTTTGCTGTCGGTCCCAAAAAGCAAAAAATTGATCAGAATTTTAAATTCAAAAGACATCATTTACGAGTCAAATAAAGACTAAAAATTTAATGGAAGAAACCAGACGAGCCAAAACTCAAAAAAGCCTTTTTAAGAAGATATTGAAAAATATTCATTGCTGTGTTTTTTTTTTTTGTGCTGTTTTGAATCCTTTTGTGCCCAGAATAGCTGTATTCGGTCACACTTTCAATTCTAGATCGTACAAACGTTGTATTAAGTAACATTCTGCCAAAATATCACTTCTGTGTTCTTATTTTGTAAAAGTGCTGTATGCTTTTGAATACACCTTGTGCATGTACTATTCAGTTTATGAATTGAAAACAAGACTTTTAAAAATCGAAACTAAGAGAAAGAAATGCATGCAAATAATTATTTTTCGACAAGTTAGTCTCTGCAAGACTCCTTGTCTAATGAGTAATGAGTAAATTTTTATATTTATATTCTAAGTGGAAAATGTTGTCTGGCAGAATAGATTACCATCAGAAAGAAAATCATTTTGCGTCTACATTATAACAATTTATGTTTATGTACTCAAGTATGCAAACGCTTTCACATCTTTAAACAATAAGTAGGTTTGCCAATTGAAATCCTCTTTTGATTTATTTTCCCCCATCGACTTTAAGATAAGATGGGCTGTAAATTATAGATTACAGTAAGTGCATGTCGTTCTGGGCTCTATATAAGTTCGAAGTAATGGCAGTGTAGTACAAGTTTTGTTCGCAACATGAAGGTGTTTATAACATTTTTGGCGCTTGCCATCGCATCAGCTGCGGCGGTCGAGGAAATCGTCCGTCCAAAGGATTTGCCGAAGATCACTGGCAATAAGATCGAAGGCCGCATTACTAATGGGTACCCGGCATATGAGGGCAAGGCGCCCTACACGGTCGGTTTGGGCTTCAGCAAGAATGGTGCCGGATGGTGGTGTGGTGGTTCCATAATTGGCAATACCTGGGTTCTAACCGCATCTCACTGCACAGCCGATGCTGAATCCGTAACTGTCTATTTTGGCGCTACGTGGCGCACCCAAGCCCAATACACTCACTGGGTTAGCAGAACCAATTTTATTAGCCACTCCAGTGCCGACATCGCCCTCATCCGTATTCCCCATGTGGACTTCTGGTCTATGGTCAATAAGGTTGAGTTGCCCAGCTACAACGATCGTTACAACAACTATGAGAGCTGGTGGGCCGTCGCCTGCGGCTGGGGTGGCACCTACGATGGCAGCCCCTTGCCCGATTGGCTTCAGTGCGTCGATCTTCAGATCATCAGCAATTCGGAATGTAGACAGACATATGGCTCTGGCACTGTCACTGACTCTGTTATATGTGTGCGGGTTCAAGACGGCAAGGGCACCTGCCAGGGCGATTCTGGCGGTCCATTGGTTACACACGACGGTAACAAATTGGTGGGTGTTACCTCATTCGTTGCTGCTGCCGGCTGCCAAGCTGGTTTGCCTGCTGGATTCGCTCGCGTCACCAGCCATTTGGATTGGATTCGCGATAATACTGGCATTTCTTACTAAAATTGAATTTGTATCCGAAGTTATTCAAATAAAAATGAGTTCTATATAAAAGATAAGGTGCATTATTTATTAAAAAAATAACAAACAACATTTCGTAGAAGGACTTTTACTTTAAACTTATCACTCCCATGAAATATTCGGCCTACAGATGCGACTCAAGCTTTGTAACACCTTTGTGTTAAAAACTTCCCCTTCGATTTCTCTCGTTGTGCTGATAATGCACAGGTATGAGGTATAATGATCGTTATCAAATAAAATGTAATACTATATGACCTATATGATGCAATGATGCCAAACCGCTTTAAAATGTTTCCATATTCGAGAGGAAATCATTTCGATTCCAAATTTAGAAAATTTGTTTTTGTAATGAACTCTTTAAATGCAAATAGAACACGTTTGGAATTGGGAATAATCAAGTTCAAAAGCTTTAAAATATTTGTAAGCAAATTGAAATTTATAAAGAAAAAACAACGCAGAAAATATTAGAAGAATACGAGAATTACTTGTAAGTATTACCATTATTATTAATTTAACTTATGGTTGTAATTATTGATAGAGTGGTATGCATGTATGTTTTTTCTCTCAACTAAAATAGAGTTCCAAATTTAGTCACGTTTTTACCCAAAAATATAATAGAATAGATCCCTCTCTGCCTATAGATATTAGTTTTTAAATCAATTTAACAGTTTTAATTCCATTCATGTTAAAGATGCCTTAGCTACCAGATGAATGTAATGAATTTTATTTGTAAATGCAGTTAAAGAATAGTTTTCTTTATTAATAATAAATAATTTTAAAAATAATAATTAAATTAATCTAAAAATGAAAGTTGGAAGCGGCAAAAGAAAAAACATTTGCAGATAACGAATACTTTCTCCCCGTCCTGTACCTTTGAAATCTTGCGTCAGCGTTTCAAGAAAATGGAATTATCTTGTACTTGGGAAACTAATGGAAATCATTTGAAACAAAACTTGTAGCCGTTTATTGTTATTTGAAATACATGTGATAGTACTACCGACCAATATCAAGTTGATGTACAACTTCATCTACAAGCTACAGCTTTTTAGTTTGTCTGTGGGCTATAATTTAAAGTTAAGCTGAAAATTAGAACAAAATTATTTACATGAATGTAGGGTTGGCAGCTCGTTAACCAGCAGATTATTATCGAATTATCGCAATGGACAGTCCAAGGCAAGGATGTAAGAAACATCGATGTATCGAGCATTGATGATGTTTTTTCCGATATTTTTTGCTTGCGATACATCGTTGATCCATCGATGTTAGTCCAAACATCGTACATATTCATTGTTTTGTTAAGCGGACATTATTTTGGTGAGCTTTATCGGAGAAGGTATATTTGTATTTTAATTTTTTTGATGTTTTCATTAAAATGTGTATTTTGTTATATATATTTTAGATTGTTAAGCATCGTTAATTTTGATTCGTATAGCCTCCTTTAATTTTTTGCGTAAATGCGTAACTGCAAAGCGTAGGAATGATTTGCTTTTAAAACAGTATATTATAATTTATTTTTAAGTAAACCATACAAGTTCATCAAAAGTCAGGATTACGATTACTGTATTGGTTAACAACATTGAGTAAAATACTATGTGAGCCGGTTTTGATTTATAAACATATTTCATTTAAAACATTTCGGTTTATTTATTTATTTTTTTTTGAAAGTTATTTCTTTCAAAATGTCGATGCATCGATGTTTTCTGCGATGCATCAACCATGCACCGATTTTTTATAAAGGAACACCAATGGGCATCAACATCGTTGTTTTCCCTTTGGCTTACATCCCTAGCCCAAGGTAGCCTAAGAACGTATATCGGTATAGTAGCTAGAGTTTGACTTCGGAAGCGAGAACACGTTTGTGAACAAGTTATGAATAAACTATACTTTAATTAACACGAAGAATAAATATGGATTAATACGACGACGTGTAGTGTATTTATTTACTGACTTTCTGGAGCAGATTTGTATACACTTGTAAGGAACTCACTAAAGATCCCTGAGCGAATATCGAAAAGTAATTTGACGCTTTTTCATTAAAAACAGATAATAGGGAGCTCATATATTCCGAGCTGATACTAAAAAATAGACTCTTTCATTTATATGAAGTTCTTTGATTTTAGAATAGAAAACAAAACGCCTGGCTTTATGCAAAGATTGTTGGAGCTTTAACAGCTTTGGGGGTGAGTGTACCAGCTAAGGGAGAATTTTCGAACAACTTGCGCAAGACTGGAGAGTGTTTCAAATTTTAAGTTTGCAAAATTGATTTCAAATATAATAGGTGTGTCTGGATTGCAATTACACAATCGAAAATGTTGATTTATTAAGTGTAACAACTTCTTATCTAGCTCATTATCCAGAGTCAAATGGCACAAAGTAAAGTGCTTCGTTTGCTTTGACTTTAAAATTAAAGAGGTAATTTGACAATTACCGTCGGAATTATACGACAATGCCAGTACATCTAAGATTGGGATCGCATATTTTAATTTTGATCGCATTAGCCGGCGCGCACGCGACGGAAAATTCACAAAATAATACAGACCCCGAGGTAAATAAGACGACACGATCTAGATCTTTTGCCCGCATATTTGATGGAGCTTTGGCTAGAAAAGGTCAAATTCCGTACATTGTGGCTTTAGTACCCAACAAGAATTGGAACATCAGGTGCACAGGCAGCATTATCGGTAGAAGATGGGTAATCACGGCCAGTCATTGCCTTAAGGGCTTTGAAAGTGTATTAATTATATACGGAGAGAGCAATATTCGGAAACCGAAAATCAAACATATAGTAGGCCGAGATAATTTCTTGATGCATCCAAAATATAGCGAAGAAAAATTACGCAATGACATTGCTTTAATTCGCACGCCAAAAATAACTTACACAAAGTTTATTCAAAAAGCGTTGCTTCCCAATCCCGATATCCACTCTAAGCTCGCAGGATTATGGAGTAGAGCTTCAGGTTGGGGCGTAACCCGCAAACAACATTTGGTTCAATTGGACTTGTTCTACATCGATATACCCATCAGCAAAAATTCCGTGTGCAACGGTTTTGAATTTTCGAATTATTTTATCGAAAGGTGCAACATTTGCGTTGCCATGTATAAAAATATGAAGCCTTGTTCTGGCGATTCGGGAGGCCCATTGGTACTACGAAAGTCTAGAATCTTGGTTGGTGTTTTATCGTTTGGCTTAATGCTTAACTGTAAGGATTCTGCGCCAGAGGTTTACGTACGAGTAACGAACTACTTGGGCTGGATAAGGAAGATGATGAAAAACTATTAAGTGGACATGCCTTTAACATATAAGATTTGAGAAAATACAATCTTATCATATTTTTTGTTTTGTTACTTCGTCCCGAGGTTTTTTTTATATTTTCATGTATTTTTTATTGTCGCAGTTTTGATTCGACTTAAAGCTCAGATGAGAATCGATTAGTTTGGCTTTCGCCAGTCTTACTCCTATTAGGCAAAATTGATTGAGAAAAATAGTGAAAAGAAAAATAAACCTCCGAAATTAAGACGACATGATAGAAAGGAAGAGTTGACACAGCCGACAATCAATTTCTGGAGGAACACAACTCCCAGGACAGTCTTCCGCTCAGCCAGCGAAGAGAGGAGAGGCAAACAGAGGTTAGGACCCCAGGTTACTCTACGAAGAGCAAAAAGAAGGAATTTGTTCGGAACAGCATCTGCTCGATCTTGAAGCGTTTAAACATAGACATATATGTGTATGTATATGTTTGTAGAATATAGTTAGGACCGACTACATAGTCCCCATACAATTTGCTTGTTTCCCATCGACTGCTTCTATAGCTATTCGACTTTTTGCTCTATAATTTAAAATCAAGCTAAGCTTTAGCTATTATTGTATTTTTATTTCAGCCACATATTCGGCAAGTTGCTGTCGTTTAGTAGGAAACGCCAGAGTTTTCCTTGATCCAGTCCAAGTAGCTGGTCACGCGGGTGAAACCAGCTGGGGCACCAGACTCGCAACCAGCGCTGGACACGAACGAGGTAACACCGATGAGCTTGCCATCGCTGGCCAGAGTCAGTGGGCCGCCGGAATCGCCGCTGCAGGTGGAGATTTTGTTGGGAGTAGCAACGCAGATAACCTTGCTGGTGACAGTCAGAGAACCATAGGTGGCTTGGCAGGTGGCAACGGACACAACCTCGAAGTTTTCGTACTGCAGGGTGCTGGCGACACCGGTTGCGCTATCGGAAATCTTGCCCCAACCGGAGGCAATAGCCTGTTGTCCAGCGTAGGTGGAGTAGGAGCTGGCAATAGCGGGCAGTTGGACTTTGTTGATGCTGCTGGAGAAGGTGACGGATGGGGTCTTGATCAGGGAGATGTCGTTGGATAAGATGATCGAGTTGTAGCTGCTGTGCTGCACAAAGTTGGAGCTGGCGACGGTTTGGGTGAGTTGAGGGCTAGTGCGCTGGGTGGCGCCGTAGTAGATGGTCACAGAGGTGGCACTAAAAGCACAGAGAATAAGGATATGCTGGACGATATCGTCATCGTAAGGAACTCACCCCTTGGTGCAGTGAGCGGCAGTCAGAACCCATTGGTTGTCAATGATGGAACCACCGCACCACCAGCCGCTGCTGCCGCTGGAGAAGCTAAGTCCGACCTGGTAGGGGAACTGGCCAGCTACGGCAGTCTTGCCGTTGGTAATGCGGCCTTCAATGGAAAGCGATGCTGGCAAGTCACGGGGGTGTACGGGACTACCCGGAGTCAGAATGCCAGCGGAGGCGGAGGCAATGGCCAGAGCTAAAACAACGAGCACTTTCATGTTGATAGTTCACCTTTCAACGAATGATTTCAACCGTACAAGACAGAGGCTTTTATAGTTCTTCAGTTGACAAAAGTTATCAGCCAGCAATAGATTTGACCGGCATTGGCACGCTTTGCCTCTTGGCTTATACGTTATCACTTACGTGAAATGGACATATTTATTTTCGGTATTCAGTTATCAGTTAAATGTTGCTTGCAAAATATTTGCAGACAATCTGCAGTATCAAATGGTATTAACACTTTGCGAGTCATTCCGTCTAGATTTTGGAGAAGTCGAACACATATTCTAAAAATGCATTGTCACTGGCCAAGTTGTGTTTGTTAGGAAATTGAAGATAACAATTAGTTAAAGGCGCAGATTTAATTCAATTAAAATTATATAATGTGAACAAATATAATAAATAAATACAAAAAATTAACAGGGCTTACAAAACCTTTGTAGTTAATGCTTTTATTACCATGGTTGCGGAGTATTTACAGAGATAGAGTCGCTATCTTACTACCAATCTGAACGAAAAGAACGCAGGCAGGGAAAGATACGGTCGTCGAAATAGCGGAAGGACTTAGTGTCAGCAAATATGTATTGTGAAAATGGAATTTATTAAGAGCGATTTATTGCAGGCGATATTTCCTGCTCAAATAGAGTTCTCAACCCCTAAGTATAGTATTTATATTTATGGCCTCCAAAGTGTGTGTTTTAAAACAAAAAGAACGCAGTTACAACCAACAGGCGGTAGTTATGTTCTTAAAAGCTCTTAATCTTTCTTTATATCATATTTTTATAGAGAATGAATGGAATTTAACTCATTTTTCAATTTTTCAATTATTTATATCCCATTACGACTCATTCGAATGGAATATACATATTCATCTGGATATTTGAGTATTAAAATTCGCGTTTACATTTATTTTTGCCGATTGCATTTAATATTTCTGCAAACATTGTTCCTTCAAACATATAGTTGTTAAATTTGTTATTAGAATACATAAAAAATAAACAAATTTAATACTTTTGTTAACTAAAAAAAACATTTTGTAATAAGCTTTCCTTTGTATATAATTTTGTAAAAAAGAAACAAAACAAATAATATCATGATGGATAAAATTTCCCATGCGACATGTTCTGTGCAAATGCGCTTAAGATTTAATTGCAAAATATGTATACATAATTGTTGGGTAAAATGAAAGCCATTTCACCTCCTAAAACTAGTTATATAATATATTGCCTCAGATTTCACTAAAATCTGGGTTTAAAACACATCTAAATTTGTCCCGTGCTAATACCTTGGTTTTTTTAAATTATCTTGGAAACGAAATTATAATGCCAGTTAAGAGTTATAAGTTAGGCCCATTAACAAAAATAATTTCGTTTTTATTTCATTTTTTTCACTTTAAATGTGTACGACTGTCCGGCATCATGGAAATGCCCATATAAGTACTATACTAGTAAGGGACTTATAGATACATATATGATCAGCACAATGTGATAAATCGAATAGTCATGTCTGTCCTTCTATCCTGCCATACAAGTAGTTTAGAACCAAGACAGCTAGGAAACCAACCTTAATATGCAAACTTGTCTTATCCGTACGCAGAGCAAAGGCCGAGTGGTGGAAAAATATGGTATAAGAGGAGAGCTGGCGCGACCAAATAAATATTTACTAGTTTCAATCAAATGTGTCATGTATCAGCCAGTGGAATGATTGATTTAAAAATCAATCTTAGTACAAAAACAATGTTACTTATTAAGATATCATAAGCGAAGTTCGCGTTTTTTATTTATTTTTATTTATAATAAAAATCGCTTCACATTAATCATCAGCCGTTATAGGAATGATTGATATAGAAAATTTGTTATACATATATTTATACTTGTAGTGGGTGCGGAATATTAAAAAATTGGGCTAATTAGTAATTATGAAACCTAAAAAAGTAGCACAAAAATAATGTATTAAAATTAAAATAATACCGCTGAACGCCTGCTAAGTTAATGATAAAATAGCGACACGCGAAGCATTTGCAAAATGTGTGATCCTATGTTGCATAGAATTAAAGCTAATATACATTAAAAAATGTAGGGGGACTGGAGCTAGCAGGAATCTCACAATGTGAAATTATTCCGGAGTAGACTCTCGGTTTGAATAACGGTCACTTATATTGGCTGCAACATCGCAACATAATAAAAAAATAAAAAAAAATAAAAAGTAATACTCATGTGCATCATTTATTGATCTATTTGTAATGCATTATTATATTTGTGGCACGTTTGAAAAGTATTTCTTTGGCAGTCGATTCCGTTTAGCTTATATTTGTGTAACTTTCCAACGACCTGCTTTTTTGATTATAATGATCCTTTCTATAGTGGGTCTTTGTTGAGGGGCAATGGTTTTGGGAGCAAATTCCGTTCCAGGGTCTTACGCTAGTAGGAGTCTCCACTGGCCCTGTTTATCTGCAGACTCGTCGAAAGTTTCCTAGTTAGTAGAGTTTTGCTGTGTAATTAATTATCATTTGTACCACCAAATAATGACAGTTTAAACTATACGTACACTCGTAATAAGTTAATAGTACGTGCAATACATATTTTTTGGGTTTTCCCATATATGTGGGTTTTACGGAGATATCTACCCATTGAATCTTTTGTCGGCAAAGTGCGTTTGGCTAATCTGGGGACTAAAATAGTATTAGAAAGTTTGTCACTTCATTCGAATTGACGCTACATAAGTGTCTCAATTGTTATTGATAAGGAACTGAAGGCTACGTGTGAACAGTCTTTAAGTGAAGTGCCTTACAAATAAATCCGTAAAGGGTTTGATACAAAAAAAAAAAAAAAAAACTCTATTCATGACATATTATTATTGTAGAATTTTTATTATCGGAACCGAAAAAAAAATATTATGGATATATGCTCAGACTGATGAATATTTTATAAGAAATTTAACGGAAATTATCGTATTATCGTATTATATTTATTATTTATCTGTGATATTTATGTACATAAAGATATCTGCTTATTTAATTAAGTACTGGGGCATTCAACTTAGATTTTGTTTATGCCTTTTATTTATCAAAAAAGAGTAAATCGCATTCTAAATATTTTCAGCTCTGCTTTTTTATTATTATTTAGAAATGATAAGATATCTGACTTACTTGCATTTGAAAATAACGTATACGTCAATATAGAGCGTAATCAATAATTAGACTAGTTAGTAAATAAAAATCACTTCATCTCAATGACTTCGTGAAAAGTGAATGCGTAGTAGAATGATAAAGCCTTTAGCGGTTGATAGCGAATATCGTCTCAAGTGGCTAAGTGTCATAGTCATACAGAATTGAATAAATTACACATACGTAGTGCCAACAAATTGGCGTTGGCCATCAAACGAACGCCTATAGTTAACAAGTCATGTCATAAATGTTGACACAGTGTAGTGAGTGGACCAATCGCCTGGGAAAGTCATCCGTGAATCTGTGAAATTGAAATCAAATCGCCTTACGTGCTGGGCATGCAAACAAATCCCTTCATACACCCCATCTTAAGGCTGTCCGAGTCTGGTCGAGCACTAGAGGGTATTAGCACATGAAAACAATTTTTATGCAGACACGCATACGAGTATGTATGTGTGTGTATTTATATATACTTGAGTTATATTCCCGAATCATTCTTGGCATGCTAACTTACTTCGGGCAACATAAAGAAAGAACACTATTTTGTTGTCTCCGCTATTAAAGACTATTGTTGAATTTTCAATGCTAAGCAAAAGAGTAAAACTATTCTAAATTTGTACGAATTAATGAATTTATTTGTATAATTATTTATTATTTATTTGTATACTTTCTGATATCAACGTATACGAAAAGTAATGTTGGTAAATGTAATGTAAATACATTAATGTAAAAGGCATTCAACACACTACAAACAGAAATTATTAAATGGAGAAATCCAAGTAGAAAGAGGAATTAATGGCTAAAATTACATTATTTGATAACATCTTGAAAAGGCATGGTTAAAGCGTTAAAAAAAGCAGAACTTATAAGGCATGCTTTGGCTAAATCTTGCTATGTCCAGCATTTGATGAACAGAGAATAATTTTGTTTTAGGACAGTTATACTTTCTGTTGAATACGCTGACTTGGGTACTGAAATCTATAGATACTTGGTGTTGGTCATCACCAATACTGCCAGGTGGACATTTTTGAAAGCCTCATATTGTTGGGTGCTGATCGTAGGCTACTCAACAAAGGTTTTGCGCTGTTCAAGACGATGGCTTATATATATATTTTGAATAGCACTTCAGTTGTCTTATCAGCTGTTCTAGGAATAAATTTGACCATCATTCCCTTTGTCTTTTGGCGTCATTTAATTTAGGTACTTAGTTATCAGTGAGATATTACTTTTCTTGCAGTTAATCTGAAGTCGCAAAGGGCATAAGCACTATGTGATTAATGCCATCGACATTTATGAGTAGCCGATATTTATATACATATGTAAAAATGGAAGTATATACTTGTACATATGTTCCGTATAGACTCCGTATAGCCGCTCAACCGATGTTGATCAATATTGATCATGTTCATTTGGCAATATTCAAAATAGTTCCGTGGGTGTCTGTGATGTTTTGCGGCAACCATCGTTTTCTGGCTTATTTCTGCTTATTCTAATATGTTTGATAGTTTTGTCAGTGTTTTATTCGTAAATAAATAAAATTGTAGAATCGAATTAAAAAAAGCAGCTATAAATGCCGATGAACGCGAATAACGTTTGCAAGATCTTTGCGAAAGGGCATCCACATCTAGAGCCATCAAAACGGAACAAGGATGGGAGTCGAGGCTTTGACAAATGCGCTAAAGGGCATCCACATCTGATCCAAGAAACACCAACAGGGACATCCTTTGTACAGACGACGGAAGGTGGACGACCGTGGGTACTCAATCAAGGACGTAATCGAAAACATAAAAAGCGAAGGACGTATTGAGAAAGATGTGACGTCGTCAAAAGATGAATGATTAGTCACATAATTTAGCTATTAGTAGTATTTGAAAGTATTAGTATTTGAAAAGAAAAGGTCAACTTTGAATGCATATATCTCATGAACTATAATTCCGATTTTTTAAGAGTAAGATTTTCTTAATATCTGGGAAATTTTCTTTCTTTTAGATACGTGTATTCATAATCCTCAAAGCGTTCATGAAATTTTTGATTTTCGCAAGCTGTTTCGGCCTAAGGCCCCACAGCGCGTAGGAAAGATCAAAAAGCACTCCAGTTCAGTGGCGCAGCAACGCAAGCCCGAAACGATAGTACTAAATATGCATTGTCACTTTCTTCATTATATTTGTGCCGACAAACAAAGCTGTCGATGAAAACTTTTTCGTAATATCGTTTCGGGATAGATAATATATTTAGCGAGTCACTGACCATACCCCACATGTTTTGATCAGGAAGATTGGCAATACTTGAAAACGGCATAATCAGCATCAGGACATCTGTTGAGGGCAATGTTTGGCATTACTAAGTAACTGTCAAGTAGAGTAGTAAATGACTCGCCGGTAACTCGCAATTAAAGGTTGCTGACACGAAGTCAAATGTTACACAAACGAGCTTGGAGCGCTTCATTATTTTCCTAATTCGTTAATACTTATAGTACCAATTTTTCTTCCACTCCATTCAATCTTCGATGAGAGTAATAAAGGGACTTTCAAAATCTTAGTACTCAGTGAAAACAGCACACATTAAACATTAAAAATACTGCCTCAGAACGTCCTAAGATTTCAAACAATTGAAACAATTTTCGATTAAGAGTTTTGTTTTAATTCAAATAAAGACCGTTTAGTAAGAAACACCGGCGTTGGTCTTGATCCAGTCCAAGTAGCTGGTCACGCGGGTGAAACCAGCTGGGAGACCAGACTCGCAACCAGCGCTAGCCACGAACGAGGTAACACCGATGAGCTTGCCATCGCTGACCAGCTTCAGGGGGCCGCCGGAATCGCCGCTGCAGGTGGAGATTTTGTTGGGAGTAGCAATGCAGATAACCTTGCTGCTGGCAACGGTGGAGCCATAGGTGGCTTGGCAGGTGGCAACGGACACAACATCGAAAGTATCGTACTGCAGGGTGCTGGCGACACCGCTTGCACTATCGGAAGTCTTGCCCCAACCGGAGGCAATAGCCTTTTGTCCAGCGTAGGTGGAGTAGGAGCTGGCAATGGAGGGCAGTGTAATCTTGTTGATGGTGCTGGTGAAGGTGACGGATGGGGTCTTGATCAGGGAGATGTCGTTGGCAAGGGTGGCAGTGTTGTAGCTGCTGTGCTGGATATAGCCGGAACTGGCAACGGTGTGGGTAACCTGGGCACTAGTGCGCTGGGTGGCGCCATAGTAGATTTTCACAGAGGTGGAGCTGCAAGCATTGAGAATAGGGATAAGTATATGCTGGAAGGTATCATCATTGGGAGGAACTCACCCATGGGTGCAGTGGGCAGCAGTCAGAACCCATGTGTTGGCGATGATGGAACCACCGCACCACCAGCTGCCGCTGCTGCTGGAGAAGCTAAGTCCGACCTGGTAGGGGAACTGGCCAGCTACGGCAGTCTTGCCGTTGGTAATACGTCCTTCAATGGAGGGCGTTGCTGGCAAGTCACGGGGGTGAATGGGATCGCTCTTAGTCAGAACGCCAGCGGAGGCGGTGGCAATAGCGAGAGCAAGAACTATGAGTACTTTCATGTTGATCGATAGCGGGACAACTGATGACTTCGACTGTCCAAGGCGGCTTTTATAGCACCGCAGCTGAAAAACTTCTTATCTCTTGCCGCAGCGATGGCACACGTTTGCTCTTGGCCAAGGCATTATCGCTTTGTGATAAGTGTTTGGAAATAAGCAAGCCGTATCATAAATAGACGGATGTTGATAAAACTAAGGTGGAGTGGATTCAAAGAATTATCTATCTGTTGAGCTGCGGCTATTATTATTAATGAGATTCGTGAACAGCCCAGAACTGTACCTTAAGCAATGGACATAGGTGTAAATTCGGTTTATTTTGATAATAGGAGTATAACAATACAGTATATAATAATAATATTTTGTTAATAACTTGAGGAAGTAAAGAAAAAGATACAGGGTGGGGAAAGATGTGGGGAATGGATGTTCAATTCGTTAGCATCATAATATTTACAAATCCTATAATAAAGCACGAATTTATTTTGGAAATAATAATAACAAGACATAGCATATTTATAAAATTGAGGAAATGAGATAAGACTGAAAATGTGAGTCTTAAACGTGACGATATTTCATTATAACCTGTTCCCAAAAGATAAAAGGTATATTAGTTTTATTTGAACAGGTTTCGTTTAAGAAAAGTCACTTTTTTCATCTTAATTCCAGCGGTTTCCTCATGTTGAATATAATGCTTTTTTATTCACTTTGAACAGTCGAAATTGCTTGCTACTGATCATTTATATTAACTCTTTTTTCCTTCGGATAGCGCAAAGAACTTTACGCGTTCTGTTTGCATTCATTGCTGCTCATTTTATGGCTTTTTCTTTGCACTTTTCACTGTTGATTGCAAAAAATTGCGCGCACTCTGGCTGCTCGGCCATGTCTGCCATCAAGTTGAAGAACAAAAGAAACTAATTTTCTTGAAATATTTGCCTTCATTGTTGTTTGCGCTGCAGCTTAAAGCGCCAATTCACATAGAAGGAAATGCAGAAAGGGGGAAAAAATGGGAATGAAAGTCGTCTATCAATTTAATGGGAAGGGCACACTTTAAAGGGCGACCAACATTTTATACGAACAAGCGGCACAAATGCGCTTACACACGCTTATTAGACGCATATCCTGCAGCCTTAACAACAATGTTTGCGCGTTGTCCAGCTCACACACACACACACACACACACACACACATACACACATTCACATAACTATATCAGTACGAGTATATATATATATGTATGTATGTATGTACTTGAGTTGATATATATCAGGGCATTTGGAATGTCCCTTGGCGTGCGCTAGTTTTGTGCTCGTTGCTCGGTTACTCGGTTGCTCCTTTGACGACGTTGAGAAGGACGACGACAAACAAGATTGCAGCAATAAAATTTCGACAAGTGAACAACAAATGATAAACGAAGCAGCACGATAAAAAGAACAGCCAAGGCTCACACACTCACATACTCGTATATACACATTGCTGGCACTTGAAATACTGGTGGCTGGCCAAGAACATTGCTGCCAAGTGCCCAGCTACACTGCTTTCAAAAATTTAGGAATCATTAATTTTTTTCGGTAGTTTTAAAAACTACAAGTAATATGACGCCGTGTATTTGAACTATTTTGTAGAAATAATTGACAAATTTTTACCGTTTAAGTCCCAAGATGCTTTATATATTGAGCAATGCATAACAATGAAACATTGTTAGTATTGTTAATAAATTTGTGAACTTTTACTGTTTTGTAATAATTTGAAATTTCTTATAAAACATAATTTCCATTCCAACACATTTTAAAATAATAATTCGAAAAAAATAGCTTTACGATCAAAAATATACTTAGATCATTTTAAGTATTGCTCTACTGTTTAGTGATATTTATTTGCAGAAGATAGACAACTGCTGTTGTACAGAAATAATTGGAATAATATCAACCGAATTCATGAGAGCGAAACTGGGTTCTAATTGAAATTTACTGCAGAACTCACTCAGGAGTTCGAGGTGTTTCTCATTTAACACTTGTTGCCAGTAAATCTCTTCTTAAGAAATAAAGCTGTACTTTATTTTTATTACATTGGAATTATTTCATTATTAATTAAAATAATTAAACCAATGAGAAAGATATTTAACGAGTAAAAACAAAAACAGAACAAGTAAATATATTAAAAATATAAATTAAATTATTGAACATGTCCACTAATATACATTTTTTATTTATGTTGTGTTTTGCGGTAGTTATTATTTATCGAATATTTTCTCTTAAAGACATATAACAAGTAAGCAAATTATAATCTAATATTTTTTTAAATTAATTACAATCAATTTTATGGCAAGTATGCCAAGTTAAATATAAAATATAAATACACAATATAAAAATATAAAAATATTTTCGCGGTAAAAATAATCATATATTACATACGTATAAAAAATCTCATTGATATATTTTATATATAGGAGAATATACACGAAATCTATCGAAACGGTTCCAGAGATTTTCTACTTACTTTCGTTGACCTACCCTTGTGTGCCTATCAAAATATTTTGCTTATCAAGAAGGCATGTATTGGGTAACTGGGACTTAAACAAAATATCATACAGGACAATAAAAGTGAGAATTTGTTGTGCCGCTAGTTATTTTGTGTTGAAACAAAACAGTACCTTTCCTTAATTAAAGCGAAAAAATGTATTTATTTATTTAACGAATTTAGCCTGAAATAATTTCATTAAATATAAAAGCAAAGGAGCTGTGTGTAAACAAAAAGAACGACTAAATAAATTTATTTTTGATGAAAACAAGCTTACTTATAACAAGACTTATGAGGCGTTATACCAAGGCTGTTTATGTAGCAGTTTCAAATGTGGAAAAGGTTCCTATTTGTCCTTATTCCCAATAAACGTAGAAGAAAACAAGTACATACAGAGAGAATAACAATCAGCGGCAGCAGGGAGAAAGTAAGAGTTTATGTTCGCACTCCGTGTTATTTTGTTTCTTGCACAGTTGGGCTAGGAAGTGGATTTCACTTTTAAATTTCTATATATTGTTCCCATATTATCTTGAAATATAAGCGAACCTTGTATAGTTTAAAATAAAGCCCCATCACAAATGTGAATATTAAAAGCTGCTGTCTTTATTTTGACGATGTACTTATAGTAAGTAATTGTATTTAACTAAGTCTGATCTAACATTATATTATACTTGTGATACGAATAGAGTACTTGCTTGCAATTTCTTTTTATATTGATGCCAATGGCTCTTGCTTTTTGAGAGTAGTGTTCAGTTGCAATAAAATGTAAGGGGCATCGATTACGTTGCCTGGACACAGCATTCCAATGGGGTTGTCTACACATACTCAAGTGTGTTAATGTATGTGTGTGTGTGAGAGAGTTTGTGGATGTACTTTGGCTGCTTTTTCATTAAATTTACTCATGCCTATTGTCAGCACAAATAGAAAAGTTTGCTCACTTGCGTCAAATTGTCAAGGAAATGTCTCGCGTGCGCTCTTCTTGCTGACCACACAGCTGACCAGCTGTCTGGCTGTTGGGGCGGCGGACGTTGGGCCTCTTCTTGACCAAAATTAATGACAACTGTCTGGGGCAGCTGACCTCGGGCGCATTTGTTGATGACTTATCACTTGCGAGTAGTTCTAGTTCTGCTCCTCTGGGTTGTCGGTGTAGGTGTGGCTGACAGTTGGCAGTTGGAGGGCTTCTGCTCCTGCTCCGGCTGCTGTTTGCTTATCAAACGAAATGATTTCCGGCCATAATTCAAAATCGTATGCTTTCCTGGCTGTCAACAGCAGTGCGCTTGCACCATTAATCATGGTGCTTTAAAATGCTTACAGTGCGTATGAGTAATGCGTTTGTCAACATGCTGCACAGGTTTTTGCTTTCCCATCAACTTTGTAACCCAGCCAAGTAGTAGTTGCCACTTCAACTTGCCTCAAGATGTTGCCATCTAAACAAGCTGCAGACGCGACGTCGTCGTCGTCGTCGTTGTAACTGGCGCAAATGCATTTTTAAAAGTTTTCAACAGCAATTTGTTGTCGCACATGATTTACACAAACACACACACACACACTCTTACATACCAATCCACACACAATGGCGAACTCTATGGCTACACAACACATTCACTTTGCACTTATGTAGCTCGTTTTGCTTCTGTACTTGAGCTTGGTCAAAGTTTTCGTCGCCAAATTTCTACTACAACTTGATGCTTTATGTGTATTTTATTTTATTTTATTTTATTTTTTTCTACCGACGTATTTAATGCCCTTCGTATTGGAAAAGTTTTATTGGCACAACTGTGCACGTTTTCTTTGCAAAACCTGAACGCAATTTTCATTAGATAAATCTTATATTAAACGGTTTTAGAGATTTGGAGAAAGCGAGAAAGAGGAGAACGCATTCCTTTCATAAATAAATGCGCTTAAATAAATCTTAAGCAGTCAGACTGTTTTCTATTATGGCTTTAAAAAATGCATATTTCATGCATTTCTGGTCAGAAAGACGAAAAGTAATAGGATTAAGACATATTGGGAAAATAGAATTATGTATTTGGCTTCGCAATAAACATATTGCAAAATTTTAAATTAAAAAAAAAACTTGGAATTATTGCTAAGCCTTTTAGCAGCATGTTTGTTATTGCTTGCTTTTACTCTAAATTTATAAGACGATAATAGATAATAGTTTGCATTCACATACACATTTTTCCAAAAATGTACATATATGAAATATTTTTCTGCAGTCTGTTTTCCATAAGGCACTTCTAATGCCCATAAGTCAAGTAAAATTGCTCATACGCCCTGCTGACCCAACATCGGCAAGAAAAAAAAGGAAAGCAATAACGCCCCTGACTGACTGTCAAAGTTTTGACACAAATCTGCTGAGACGACGACGACGACGACGACAGACAAATGCAAACACAAGTGGCTCTCCCCTTTTCCGCAGCTACTGGCTCCAAAGACATTAAATTTTATGCGCAGGGATCAAACTATATTATTATGTATGAGTGTGCATGTGTGTGTT